TTTAACCTAATTTCCTAATTTGCATAATTGTCGTTTTTCCCGGAAATATTTCACGCTTGATTAATTTGCTACATATTCCCGGTGTTTGTGACTAAGAGCAACACATTACTTTTTCAGATAGGTGGCCTGCATATTATACTATACTTCACTGTCAAACTCTTTGAAATATTGAGCGGTTCTGTTATTTGGTAGAAGTACACTTCAGGGAAAGATAATTTTCCATCCCTTATCTGATTATCTACAGACAGCTGTCCTGTTCAGCTGATTTTGCTGTTTTCAATATGGATGTTAGTTTAACTTGTTCGTTCAGTTCTCCTGATTTTGCCTGTAGTTTGGAGGGCAGGGGGTCGCAGGTTGTACCCCTGTTGGCGTGCAAGCTAGACATCACTGCAAATTTACTAAGCCTGGGAGTCAGCTCAGGGCAACTGCGAACCGGAGACGAAAACGTTAATGAGGTTGACCTGATCCTGAATAGAGCTGGATACTTTGTTACAACCGATAACGAGAAAATGTCAATGACAATATGCCCGATGGCAGAAAGAGCAACACATGCTCGTATCCAAGTCATCGAGGACCGGGGAAAACTATAAGGAAACCGCGCCGCGTAAACGCCACCTTGTCGGAAGAGATTTATCAATTTCACCAAGCCACAGTTCCCATTGGCTCGGGTAAGTACAAATTGGGTGCAGCCAGACCGCAGCCTTAATACTTAGAGTTGTAGTATGGACTTCACTGGTATATACAAACGAAACCTTTATTTCGAAGGTACTTATTTTACTTTGTGCTTATGGATATGGTTAGTACATAAATTTTATTTCTTTATCGGAATATGCTAAGGGAATGAAGCAAAACGTAATCCGATGCCATTCCTTTTTGTATTTGAATGAGCTTTTCTCTTTTAGTCGACTCGTTTAAATATACAAAGTCATTGCCTAATTATGTTGCATTGTCTGATATCCTTCTGACTTTTTCGGAAAAGGGGAGGGAGAGGGGACGTTGGGGTAGTGTTTCGAGGTGGATTGAAGTGGTAATTTGCTAATCAAGCACCCCGCCTGCAAGATGACGCCAAATGGGAGAGGACGGGGGAAGAGGAGAACTAGGAGGGGGAGTAGAGGGAATGGGAAGTTGGGTGGGGCTGCAAGGGACGCCCAAACACTCCTTATTTCACTCACCTTCCTTTCTTTAGCTGTTAAGAAAGCGAATTACCGCACTTTAATTTGGTCTTACGTGAGTGACACAAACTACAATCAATGGACATAAGTATTCGTCACTTTCAAAAATAACGCGCAGAATTCTTACCCGCGTTGTGCACACTACGCGGGGGAAAACTAGATGTGGAGCGCGACATCGGTCAATAAATTCGGAAAAATTATGCAAAAATAAAAACAAACAAAAATCCGACTAAGAGCAAGAAAAAAATTTCAAACTTCCCAAAAGGAAACGAACAAAAGCTGTTTGTGTTTTGACCTATCGTTCAGTCATTTATTCAACAGTAACTGCAACGGGTGGACGCAAAAAAAGATCACAGTTATTTTGTTTTGCTTCTGATAAACAATATTCAGCACTCGTGAGTCGAAAAAGTGCTTAACTGTCTGCAGAGACAAAAGAATTAATTGTTACTTTGTCAGTATCCGTGAAAAACAAAGCTGACCTGTCAAGACTGTTGAACATTCTAAGAACGACTATCACAGGTGGAACAAAAGATAAATTTGATCATCTGGGGATGTTTTTGATATGATGGTGTTGGAAGTGTGACTTCAGTTGAGGGCAACAGCAACTCTGCCAAGTACATTGACATCCTAGAAAATAATGTATGGCCAGTAGTTGTTTAGTACTTAGAAGACAAAGACTACATGTTCATGGATGGCAATACACCAGTTCACAGCGGAGCACACAATGTAAATAATTATAAAGATAAAGCAAAGTACCCTTAATGGAATGGCCAGCACAGTCTCCAGATTTAAATATAATAGAAAATATTTGGCTTTACATCAAGAGAGAGTTACAAAAGTCCACTGAAAATATCGCTACCAAGAATGACCTTCTTCGCGAAACCGAGAGTGTGTAGCGGAAGATCGAATTAGATTGAATAAGAAAGCTTTACCAGCCCATTCCTGATCGCCTAGACAATGTTATCAAAATGACGGGTCATCTTACTAAATACTAAGATGATTTTAAACTTAAATTTACCGTAAACGAAGTTAAAACAGCGCGCGTAAAAGCCGCCATATTGAAAGTGACGAATATATATGTCCCTTGACTGTATATTGATGATGGGTATGATAACGATAACCATAACGACGATGGTGACGGTATAAAGGGTCAATCACGTCGATGGTGATCGTGTTGGTTATTGTTGTCAGTATTGTTAATCTATTTATCATTATCATTTTTTATGACAGCTGTGTGTTCCAGCTGCCGTGGAGCACACTATAAATCCCGTAAGGCTCACGGTTTCATGTCTGGAGAGCAGGTAGGCTAGTACACATTGGCCATTCACAGCTTAGTGTAGCTAAGCATAGTGTAATTGACCATATAATCAGAGGATGGTTTGATACCGCCAACAGGTGCACCGATATCTCTAACAACTGACAACATGAATAACACGTACCTTTGTTGGTTTTCCTGTCTTTTCTTCAATGGGTAGCCATTTGGAATCCTTAAGGTGTGGTCGATTTCCAAGAGGCTTGGGACCTAGTTATAATGATAGCCATGTCTAGAGTTTTCAGATCGCGCGTCGAGAACAATTACTCGACTACATCTGAATGTTTTCTGAATGACAAATTGGTCTTGACCAGTGCCTGAAGAGACCAGCAACAACAAAGATGCGAGGGCACCCTTTGGCAGCGGCTTGGAAACACATATAGAGTTTCCACAGTGACATGTATTGGAGATCTTTGTGGAATTGTTGACGATTTGTCCATAATTTGCTAATCTATTCTGATTCTGCCACTGTCTCTGTCATTACTGTGTGCAGCGGTCTCAAGCACTGGTGAGGGGTCAGAAACAGTCTCTTTGCAATCCCATTCGTCCCAAGACTCGATACCAGACGAAGAGATTAGTTTATGGGTTGACGAGATGGAGGAACAAAACAGCAAACGGCAGAAATTAAACGAAGCTGTCCACAGCATCTCAGGTGGCCGCTACAGCCCCGTAATTTCCAGCCTGAACACGACCTGGGACGACGTCTCCGACACCCAGCAGCGATATTACATCCACAAAGCTAAGGAGACTATACTGACTTCATTGTCTGTCATCACTCCCGGTCAAGAGGAACTGGTTTGGAAGGCGTTACAAACGGAGGTACTTTTGGATCCAAACAGAGACAACCAAGGAAAGCGCAAGCGTTTTGATCCCAACTCTGGTCTTGTCGACATATTTTAGTCAAGGCCTATGAGCAAGCAGGTCATTGGCAAACAAAGCGACAGATCCTTTCCCTCTTTGCAGACGACTTTTGAAGAGCTGAGCTTCAAGAGATGATCCCTGGGCTTTCCAAATGGCGCATCGACCAAGCTCGCCAACATGCAACGGAAGCAGGGAAAGGCCAGCCTCTCCCTGAAATTCCTAGTTTCCGTACAAGAATTGAGCATGAAAAGGTGGATCATTTCATTGAATATATCTCCAGACCAGAATTTGTCCAAGACGTGACGTTCGGGACAAAGACTCTCAAGCTTGACTCGGGGGAGAAAATTGTCATACCAGCAGTCATTAGGACCGTCATTCCTTCACGCATCATCAGACAATATTTAGACTATTGTAAAGAAAAAGAGTTCGAGCCGGCGAGCCAGCGTTCTCTCTACCGAATGATTGAAGTGTGTTCGGCCTCTATGCAGAAATCTCTTCAGGGACTTGACAACACCACTGCAGAGGGTACAGAGGCTTTTGATCAACTCTTTTCTATGTTGGAGGCCTTAGCAGATCAGGGCATCAACGTTACTGCCACTCAGAAATTTCTAAAGGATGCAAAAAAGTAGTTAAAGAATGATTTCAAGACACACATCGGACGAGGAGAACATTGCAGTGATCACTGCACGGTCCACGCACTAAGTGACAGTAGTGCATGGGAGTTCAGGGGCGAATGTGATCATGAACATTGCTACGAATGTGAGCGCTGTGAGAGTCTAGAAGGAGTACTGAAACAGGTGGCAGAGATGCAAGACAAAGCGGACATGACGGAAGAGGAGAGGGTTAGGTGGAGGTTTGAGTACACTGAGAGTGTGCGCAACATACAAGCGTGGAAGGCTCACTTGCTACGGTCAAGTAACTAGGAAGAAGCCAAGCAGCATATTCTCAGAAGCTAGACGACAACTCGTGTCTTGTCATAATGGACTGGGCAATGAAGTTTCTGCCTGTGCAATACAGAGAACACATGAGTGATATTTTTGGCAAGAGAGGAAGAAGCTGGCATATCAGTGCAGTAATCACTAGAGCAACAGTGGAGAGCAAGCATGAAGTCGAGTGTTTTGGACACATTTTCAACAACTGCACCCAAAATAGCTTTGCAGTTCTTTCAATAATAGAGGACTTGCTGCAAAAAGTCAAACTGGAGTATCCAGGGGTGACAACAGCCTACCTCCGATCGGATAACGCTGGATGTTACCACAATGGGCCTCTGTTGTTAAGTCTTAGAGAAGTAGGGGTGAGAACCGGTGTTAGGCCAGTGCGATATGATTTCTCAGAACCACAGGCTGGCAAGGACATTTGTGATAGGAAGACTGCTGCTATGAAGGCAGACATAAAGCGCTGGGTCAACGAAAAGCACGACGTCGTCACTGCTGAAGATATGAAAGCAGCACCAGTATCCCATGGAGGTATCAAAGGGTGCAGAGCAGCGGTCGTTGAGGTGGACACGACCAGGGAAAGAAACAAAGATAACAAGATACCAGGCATTAGTGTGTTGAACAATTTCCAGTATGAGGAGTGTGGCATCCGTGTGTGGAAAGCGTACAACATCGGCCCTGGACGCCTCATCCCTTACAGCGGTCTTGGAGTTACACCACAAGGAGATACTGGAATAAGGGTGGTAAAGCCATTTGGTCAAGCTACACCCAGGGGAAGCGTGGGTGAGAGCGTCAGGTACCAGTCCGAGATCTACTCTTGCCAAGAGACTGGATGCGTCCTCACGTTCAAGACCCAAGCAGAGGCAGACAACCACATGGACACGGGCAAGCACTGTCTTGAGGTGGACTGTGAGTCCATGTATGACCGCGTTAGGAGGAAATGGGCGGGAATTGTGACAGGGGTGACGTTCGCTCCGGATGTGCCAACAACCTCATCGCAAGGTGAGAATAGTGGCAGCGCTTTCAGAGAACATGACCCTAGACCATTGGGGTGGGCTCTGAAGGTAACAAAATGACCCACTAGAATGACTGATAACGTCAAGACCTTCTTGATGAAGAAATTCGAAGAGGGTACAAGAACTGGAAACAAGGCCGATCCTGTACGGGTAGCGAGGGAGATGAAGACCCTCAGAAATGAGGACGGAGAGCTCACGTTTAAGCCTGAAGAGTGGAGGACTGCGCAGCAGATCAGTAGCCTGTTTTCACGTCAGACAGCGGCGCTGCGTCATAGGGCTATTGATGCGGAGGAAATCTCGGAGGAAGGTATCGAGGCTGCCGAGTCGGAAATAGCGTTTGACACCCTTAGAAGTTTGGTGATGGATGATATGGGCAAACCAAGCCATCCAATCATCGTGGGCATTAGCAGTATCTGCGAACTTGTAAAAAACAAGAAGCTTGACTCACTCAAACTGGCAGCTCTGAAAGAAATCTTCAACCAGCTACACCTGACGACAAGCGGACCACTGTCAAGAAAAAAAACTTTCTTTGAGGCCATTCAAAAATTCTCTGAGAGTTGCACGTGTTTTCAAAAATAACGTTACATGGTTTTAGTAGGGAGGATCTCTATGCTTCTACCCCAATCTTCTCCATTGGGGCCTTTTAGATAGGTACAGGGAGACCCTTCGATAAGAGGGTTTATAAAAACTTGTAAATTAAAAAATCGTGAGCAATATAAGACTGCAAACTGAATGAATGCTATGGTGAACACAGTAAAACAAAAAACTGCAAGGATTTTTACATACTGCTAAACACCAGCTGTCCGTCGCTATGCTTGAATGCTATCATGGATGAAACCAATTCGGTTTTCTTCCTAGACAAAAGAGCAGTGCCGAAAGATTTCAGCAGCAATGCACACGGATTGATCAACTTTAGTAACGTTGTGTCAAATCTATTACGTTATAATGCAGTTTCGACTCACTAATTTGTGCATCTGTTCGAATTGCATTTCCTCTGCCACGAATTGACTGTCATTTCGGCAGCCTGTTTGCCTTCCATCACACGTGGAGAAAACATTAACTCTGTTAGTCTCCAAAACTATTCACTACTTTACAAAACACAATCTTGAGCCTGTCTGGCATATTAATTTGCATGTCCATGTTTAGTGAAATGACAGAATTGTTATGTTCGCCCCAAATTTGTGGACTGTCAACGTCTGCAAGATCGAAAGAACAATTAGTTTCAAAAACAAGAACCTCATAAAAATTAATAATTAATTACGTGCAGGGTTATCATCGCTTGTATATAATATCAACAGACAGGTGAAGTTTTCCAGGGGAAATTCGACAACATGCAAATTAGTTAAATTTGAAGAAAGCTTACGGGAGGGGATTTTGACCTACCAAATGACAAAATAGGCCGATGAACTATGGCCACTTATCTGAAAAAGTAATGTTTTTCTCTTAGTGATGGTAAAGAAGCCAATAAACGCCTGCAACAAGTCGCAAATCAAGCGTGAAGTTTTTCCCGGAAAAACTACAACTATGCAAATTAGGAAATTAGGTTAAAGTTGTGAGAAAGCTCACGCGGCGAAATTTTAACTTGCCAAATAAGAGTTTGCGTATTTGTAAAGACTTTATGACAGGCTAATAAAAAATAGTTTTGATCTGGATATAAACTGCCGCACTTTAGAGAAAACCAGATTGGAAAATTGCCGAAATTCTTCCTACTTGCGATAGCCACGAAGTGATGATATTTGGAACCGCTCCAAAGTAAGTTATTTTTAACCAAATTCGTTTATATTGGAGACATGAGCTGGTTATAGGCTGGAAAGTATGTACAGTTCGTATAAATGAATAAGGCTAATGCCAAGTAAATAAAATGCGTCGTGGAAGTTTACCCAAATTTTCCGTCTCACGTGGGCAAAATAGCACCAAAAACTAGGGGGGTGGTCAAAATTCTAAGAAATTAATTTTATTTTACTTAAAATACCACCGATCGTAATCTTATCTGATAGAGAAAAAATGCTGAAAATTTGGAGGTAATCGGCCGACCTCGATCCCCGGACCCTGCCTGGTTCTTAGTGACAGTGACACTTAAAAGAGTGGTCATATGATACTGATCAAGCAAATTATCAAATATTATGTTGGCTTCATTTCCCACCAACACACTACATGGTTCTTGTGAAAGTAACCCTTTCATTTGTTTGAAAATGACATATCCATTAAGCTTCTTTTCTATTGTGGTGGAGCAAACCCTTTTTTTTTCCTTAACTGAGTGCATGTACACTGTTAAGAGAAACAGTGATTGCAGGACAATGACAACCTTTAATTGTTAACCATTTTTGACACAGGATTATAAGTTCCAAAGGAAGACCTTAGGTTTTACAACGATTTGAAGTGAAATCTTTTTGTGAAATTTTATCCTTAGAAAAGAATTACAATAACTGGGCAAACAAGTGGTATCTGGTGATCACTATCTTTTCTTGCTTCTGTCAGGTTTCATGGACTCTGCTAGCCAATTATAAATTCAACTGTTGATTGAACAAGAGAAATATATTATTTCAAATGTAGCTAAAGGCGACCAGACCTACATTTGTTTACTGTTATGAAAGAGCAACAAATCTATGCAGATTGTGATTTGAGTTTGTCTCAGTGCATTCCTGAGTATAGTAGACATACTAGATTTTGCAAAGTGGTGAAACATAAACCAATAATAAATTAAAAAAATACAAACTTCACCATGATTGTCTTAAACCACCAATAACTTCTTTCTTTCAGTAAGCATCTATTTTCTTATTGGTTGGTTGATTGCCAAGCTAACAGGAAGTCAGGCACATTGGAATTTCTGTTTGTTGCATACTAATAGCCTGAGCATTGTCACAATTTATATTGTCCTTATGAAATAACTGAGGCAAAGCACTTTGATACATTAATCATCCACATCATCTTCTTCTGGTGTGTCTTCATCACCATCATTCAATTCACTCTCCTCCTCATTGTCTTCCTCATTGCAGTCATGGACACCAGAAAAAAGCTTGCGCTTGTGGTTTGTCAGCCAGGTGTTAAGCAGTGCTACATCCAACTGGTCAAGAGGACTCTTTGTTAGATTTGGAAATGATTGAAGTGTTCTACCTTTTTGGTACTGAAAAGGTCTAGCCTGTTGCACAATAGTTAACATTGCTTTGACATCTTGCGTGGTACAAGCATGAGTGTGCTTGGTTGACTCTGGGTGTATGCCACACTCATCATCATACTGGGTGCAACATTCTTTAAGACCATATGCTGCAGCAGAACATCTTTGGACAGCTTTCAGCGTTTTGTTTCCACACAGTCCCCTAAGAGAGACCTTGTTGTCTCCAACCAGGTGTTCCATTTTTAAATCATTTGCATAATTGGATCCTTCTCCTCCCTTTGGATTTACAAACTGGCCATGTAACACTCTATGGGCAATCTTCTCTGTGTATAAACCCTTGACACAAGTTATGAATCGCATTGCCTCAAAGGCATATTTTTTCCCTCTTGGCCTACTTCTAAAATACAACAGAAGCATCTTCCAGTTAATTAGGCTGCGCTCTCCATCTCCCTCACCCTCTGTATCATTAAGCTGCATGAGCATCATTCCCAGTTGAATTACCTGCAACCCATAATTGAGATAGCGATCTTCCTCACTGCCAGGAGGGATGTCAGAAATGTTACTGTTGAGGTTACTATTGGATGTCTGTGATGTTTCTACAGTTCCCATTGTTGGAGACCTGTACACCGCAAGCAGATCTGTGGGCCAAAACACAACATTGCCAGGTGCAAGTATAGCAGAGGCACATTCCTCAATGGATGCTACAAAGACAGGAACATGCTTCTCTGGCACAGAAATATGGGCATCAACTTCAACAACTTTTCCAACTGCTAGAACTTTGTAATCTTCAGATTTTTGCAGCAAAATGACAACAGAACCTGCGGAATAATGACCATAAAAATATGAATTTTACTTGACTTATAAATAACATTGCAAAACACTATTTTCGCTTGACTAATCCAGTCCAGTGAAGTAGATTTTGAGGTGAGCTGTCCATTTACAAGATCAGAGCTGTATTTTATAAAGACAGAAAAATAGTCGTAATTATTATTCTTACTAACAGAGCTTAATAATAACTAGGGGTGCCCAACGTGCAAAGAAAGTCGCTTTTGATAGCCCATGGCTCGTGGATTTTGCTATCGGGCAAGTGAATTCTTTTCTTAACTTGCCTGATGGGCAAGTGAAATTTTTAGGAGAATTCAAATTACAGAACTGTTATCAGTCGATCGATCCTGCTCATCAAAATATATTTTTGGGCTATAGTTATATTAAAAATGACTCTTGGGCAAGTACATGTTCTATTTAACTACAGCTTGCCTGAATGGCAAACCACAAAACTGACTTTCTTTGCACCCTGGTGCCTTATACCAATATTTGAAAATTTTAATAGAAATAATGTAGTTTAATACTTCATTTTCACACACATAGCATTGTACTGTATGTTAAAGTATTGTTTATAGACATACCAGAAGAGTATGGTTGCTGAGCAAGGGATGAAATTGCAGTCATCTCATCATCATTGCCAGCAGATCTCCTTTGGTTTTCTTTCTGTTGGCATTGTTGTTCTAGCTGCTCCCGCCAGGCTCTTTCAATATCAAACTCTGTCAACACGTACTCATCAACAAACTTGCCAATTTGAATTTGCAGGCTTTCCCACTGGACTGCTGAATTTCTCTCCTTTGCAATAGAGCTTACCCATGATGGAGAGGTAGCAGTGTCTGTTGTCCCTGCCCATGCCATGAATGCTGCACAAATGTAAGCCTTTGTTGCCGACAACATCAGTGACTCACAACTTGAGTAGTTGTCTTGAACCCTTGGTGGCACATTAACAAGTCCAAAATTTTGCCTAAAGTAATACAAGGTGCCAATGTCTCTTCTACCACTTGCAGGAGTTGGCTTGTAAAGTTGCTCCCAGATATACTATAAAAAGAATAAGCAATGTTTATTAATTGTCTACTTGATCTATATGTAAACTCTGTCTGACTAACATCTGTTGTTATATAGTTGAAAGGAAATTCAGGTTGCTTTCAACCTAGACTGCATGTTGAATTTCTTTAGTTTTTAAATTATAGAGATTTTAATTTAGGGTGAAAATGTTTTTTGACCTTAATGACAATTCAATTTTGGACATGGAAAACCTTGGACCTGTTGTGTTATTGAACTTTGACCTTTCATGTGTCACGCGCGTGTGTTGTTTAGTATTTAGGCATGCGCACTACAGGAATAGAGGAGAGGAATTAAACATGGCAGTTTCATAAACACATGCACGCTGTTGTATCTTGAATGACTCGACATGGTGTCAGAAGTGGGATAAATTTCGCTTAACACGTCGTGGTGAAAAAGAAGAAAATTCGTACAAACGCTCAACAATTCATTCAAAGTGCAAAACGGCGAGAACATGTCAGATAACGAAGCCGAACAAGAAGGAAATCCTCCCGGCGCATTGGCGGGCGCCGAAGAACAACCTGTGATTGCTCAACCGCAAGTTGTCCTGCCAAACATTCGACCGGTCGCTAACTTTCAAGTAACCCCACCGGAGAAATTTTCATTCAAGCCGGAAGACTGGCCAAAGTGGATTCAAAGGTTTGAGAGATTTCGCAAAGCTACTGGGCTTGATAAACAAACCGGCGAAAATCAAGTAAACACATTAATTTACACAATGGGTGAACAAGCGGACGACATCTTCATCTCATTCGAATTCACCGCCGAACAAGAAAAGAATTATGAAGAAGTGAAAGAAAAATTCGAAAATTACTTCATCGTGAAAAGAAATATCATCTTTGAGAGAGCAAAATTCAACTCAAGAAGCCAACGAGCGGGAGAATCGGTGGATAGTTTTATCACAGATTTGTATGGCCTGGCAAGGTACTGCAATTTTGGCGCGCTAAAAGAAGAGCTCATTCGCGACCGTATTGTCGTGGGATTACAAAACCGCGAACTTTCGGAAAAACTTCAACTAGATCCGAATCTCACCCTGGAAAAAGCTACAAATTTAGCGAGACAAAGAGAGACGGTCAAACAACAACAAGACATTCTTGACGGCGGATTCAAGTCTACTCCAGCGCACGTTGATGGCATCGCGAAAGGAAAATCACGGAGAAACAAAGGAAACTTCAAAGAGAAGTCGCAAGACAAGTCTAAAGAGAAACCTTCCGATAGCTCCAAAGAGAAAAATCCTGATCAAAAGTGCCAAAGGTGCCTTGGAAAATTGCACCCGAAGAAAACGTGTCCTACACGCTTCTCCAAGTGTAACAAGTGTTCAAAAATCGGTCATTGGGCGCAGGCTTGTAAAAGTTCAAAACCAGGAAAAGTATTTGAAGTTACTGAAGGGGAAGAATCGTTCTTTCTAGGAGAAATCGTGGACGTTAGTGAAGTCCAAAGCAACCCCACAAAGTCACCATGGATTGCAACCGTTCTTGTGGACAAGAAACCAGTTAACTTCAAGCTTGATAGTGGTGCAGACGTAACTGTCGTCCCATACAATACCTTCCTTAGCATTGATCTGAAGATACAGCTTAAGCCTACTGATAAAGTGCTCCTGGGTCCATGCAATTACAGGATGAACTGTAAGGGAGAATTCACAGTCACTCTCACTTACAACCAAACTTCCACAAAGGAAACCGTATACGTCGTTGAAAGTTTAGCAAGACCACTTCTGAGTAGATCTGCTGCAGTGAAACTAAACCTTATATCAAGATTGTGTGACCTGACAACTGATGACCACATGGCAAAAGTGATGCGTGACTACCCACAGTTGTTTGAAGGACTGGGTACCATGAAAGATGAGTACACCATCAAGCTAAAAGATGATGCAAAACCCTTTGCACTGACTGTGCCAAGAAAGGTCCCTATACCACTGTATGAAGAAACCAAGCATGAAATTGAAAGGATGTTAAAGAGTGGAGTGATTTCGCCTGTGGACCACCCAACTGACTGGTGTGCTCCAATGGTAGTAACCCCTAAACCAAATGGTAAAGTCAGAGTGTGTGTAGACTTAACAAAGCTCAATGAGTATGTTCAGCGTGAGAATCACCCTCTTCCCTCCGTGGACCTCACCTTGGGAAAGTTAGCAGGTGCAAAGTACTTCACCAAGCTCGATGCAAATTCTGGATTCTGGCAAATAAAGCTGGCGGAAAGCTCGAGACCCCTCACAACCTTCATCACACCTTGGGGACGGTACTGTTTTAACGTGCTGCCTTATGGAATTAGCTCTGGTTCTGAAAAGTTTCAAAAGTGCATGAGTAGAATTCTTGAAGGACTTGAAGGAGTTGAATGCAACATTGATGATGTCCTAGTTCATGCCCCCACCATAGAGCTCCATGATTACAGATTACAGAAAGTGTTAGAGCGTCTAAGTGAGGCTGGTGTTACGCTTAACATTGACAAGTGCACGTTCCGAGTTCCCAAGATCAAGTTCCTAGGCAATGTTGTTAGCGCAAATGGTATTGAGGTGGATCCAGATAAAGTTGCAGCCGTAGTAAACCTACCTGCACCCAAGAATGTTCATGAAGTCCGTGTGTTTCTAGGAATGGTAAACCACCTAAGCAAGTTTGCAGAACGTTTAGCAGACAAGACCAAACCAATCCGAGACCTTATGCAGAAGGATAGCCAGTGGGTCTGGGGAACACCCCAACAACAAGCATTCGAAGAAATCAAGTCTATCTTGACAGCTGCACCAGTACTTGCTCTCTATGATCCTAACAAAGACACCAAAGTTTCAGCGGATGCATCCTCATTTGGACTGGGAGGAGTACTCCTACAGAAGCAAGAAGATCAGACTTGGAGACCTGTGATGTTCATATCCAGAGCACTCACCCCTGTGGAATGCAGATATGCGCAAATAGAGAAAGAGGCCTTAGCCCTAACCTGGGCATGTGAGCGATTCAGCGACTACATAGTGGGAAAGTCTATACTCGCTGAAACAGATCATAAGCCACTGGTTCCTCTTCTCACCACCCGTACCTTGGATGAAGTCCCTCCTAGAGTTCAGCGGCTCAGAATGCGCCTCATGCGTTTTCACTTTAAAGCGGTGAACCATGTACCTGGAAAAGAAATGTATATAGCAGATGCCTTGTCAAGAATGCAGTCAGAAAACACAAACAGAATGGCCACTGTTCCTGAAGAAGAAATGAACATCTACGTTGACAGTGTCCTAGACTCTTTACCAGTCTCAGACGTGAAACTAATGGAGATTAAGGAAGCCCAGGATGAGGACCCTGTCTGTCAACTAATAAAGAGTTACTGCCTGGAAGGCTGGCCAGACAAATTTCGTCTTAATGATGCACTGAAGCCTTATTGGTCAGCCAGAGGAGAGCTCACTACAGCACATGGGATACTCCTGAAGTCAACTAGAGTTGTCGTGCCGTCAGCCATGAAGCTGCAAGTTTTGGATAAGATACACGAAGGGCACCAGGGAATAGTCAAGTGCAGAGAACGTGCAAAGACCTCTGTTTGGTGGCCTGGTCTCAGCCGTGAAGTTCAAGACATGGTTGAAAATTGCAAAGTTTGTGCCAAGCACCGACAGCAGCAAGCTGAGCCACTCATGCCAACACTCTTTCCTGAACGTCCCTGGCAGATGATCGGCACGGACCTATTTGAGCTTGATAAGCTGAACTACCTGATAGTGGTGGACTATTTCTCACGTTATATCGAGGTGGCTGCCATGCAAAAGACCACCAAATCGCATGAAGTTATCAGAGCCCTCAAAGCTATTTTTGCAAGGCATGGAATCCCTGAAGAAGTAAGAAGTGACAATGGCCCACAGTATGCATCAGCCGAATTCACTCATTTTGCAAAAGAATGGGGTTTCAAGCATACAACAAGTAGCCCCCGTTTCCCACAGTCTAATGGTGAAGCAGAGCGCGCAGTAGAAACCACCAAGTCATTGCTGAAGAAAGAAAAAGATCCATCCAAAGGACTGTTGGCGTACAGGTCTACCCCTCTTGCTTGTGGATATTCACCATCTGAACTACTCATGGGAAGAAAACTGAGAAACACCATCCCAACTTTCCACACTGTTCTCAATCCAAGTTGGCCGGATATGGACAAGCTACGTGAAAGGGAAGAAGGAAGCAAGGAAACTCAAAGGCTGAACTTCAATCAACGGCACAATGCCATTCCCTTGAGATCAGTCCAACCTGGTACTCCTGTGCACATCAAAGATATGGGAACCACTGGTACAATAGCTGGAGCAGCAGAAACACCTAGATCCTACTTGGTCGAGACAGAGAATGGCACAGTGAGACGAAACCGTTCTCATGTCAACCCAATCCCTACCAACACACCAGCGTCGCCCAGTGTCTTGGACAAGCCAGTTTCATCTAGTGTTGTGAAGAAACAAGCCCGAGACAAGGCATTGACTCCCTTGAAGCAACTCCCATCACCTTGTCTCGCTTCTAGACCAAAGAGACTCATTAGACCCTCTCTCAAGTTACAAGAGAGCCTTGGACTTTGCTGAACATTGAACTTTAGTTAAAAGACACTTTGAAACTTGTGCTTGAACTTTGTTTTTATTTCAGTTATCACATATGGTAGATTTTAGTTCCATACCCGAGTTGTATGTTACTTTACAATCTCTCAAAAAGGGGAGATGTTGTGTTATTGAACTTTGACCTTTCATGTGTCACGCGCGTGTGTTGTTTAGTATTTAGGCATGCGCACTACAGGAATAGAAGAGAGGAATTAAACATGGCAGTTTCATAAACACATGCACGCTGTTGTCTCTTGAATGACTCGACAATATACACAATGGTAAATATTTTTCAGGTCACTGAAGGTGAAGAAGGAAATGAATCTGTCATTTACAAAATTGAAATTCCAGCCAACAGGTATGAATACCCTCATTCAAGGACCACAAAATTAAAAGAAATATATGAAGCTTAGTTGGAATTTCCAGGGTAGGGGTGGTTGGGGTTAGGAAAATTCCCATCATAGGGGAGGTACATGTACATGAACAGATATTTTCTGGAATTAAAAGTACCCGTACACTACAAATCTGTAACATTACTTAATCATGACAGCTTTAGTATTAATTTTTACTCAAAGTACATAAAATTCTTATAGAATGCTTTTGTACGTTTTTGTACAAAATGATTGTTTATACGGTAATTATGACACATTTTTTTGCTTGTTGTGAAGCAACTGTTAATGCGAACTGTACAGCTGTATATATATCATAATTTACTTTGAAATCTCAACAGATATGATCTTCTCTGTGTAGAGGGAATATCACGAGGAATTCAAGTTTTCCTTGGAAAGTGAGTGCTGTTAACTGTCTTTAAGACTGAGGCTGTTGGGTTGGCACTGGAAACTGGTTTTTGTCTTAGAGTTTCAGTGTATCTCTTGTCCGTTTTTCAGGAGTACACTACACTTCTTCAGGTGGGAAAAGTTTTCCCAAAAAAGCCCAAGGATCCAACATCCTTCCCAGACTTCTCTCCTACTCTTTGTTTGGAGGAAGAGTAGGAGAGAAACCTGGAATCAAGTTTGGCCGAGGATCATGAACATAAAATAATGTTATGAATGCAGGTCATCATTGAAACAAGATTTTCATTCAGGTTTTCTGGGCAAAGAGACATGACCTTTTTTGCATTACATGTAAATTTTTTGTCTGACCTGTTTGACTGAATTTTGCTCATTTGAGTATGATCCAAAAGATGTTTTCCCCTGTGCAAGGTGGATTTCAAAGTGTGTTGTCTAAGGTTGTCTAAGAGAATCAAAATTGATGATGCCACTAGTACAGTCAACTCTCTCTAAGACCGACACCTTTGGGACCGGCACTAAGTGTCCGTCTTAGAGAGGTGTCCATCTTATAGAGAGTCAAATAAAAGGAGTAAAGAAAGGCAGGGACCAACTCTAAGTGTCTGTTTTACAGAGGTGTCTGCCTTATAGAGGTGTCCGTTAAGAGAGAGTCGACTGTAGTCAATAAAAGGGATGTACATGTACATCCTACATACATCCTACATTAAGCCTGTTTTCAAATTGAAGCTGATGCTTATGGGGTCCCATAGTTAGAAACAGAAATACATGTATATGGCCTTAAGTGAAACTTCTATTAACAAGCACATGTCACAGGCTTGAGTTTAACAAACAATACAGTCTGTATTGGTGATTATTGATTCTGTCTTGTTTGTGTACATCTAGGATAAAGGCTCCAAGATACAAAGCTGTTAATCCAGATGGGGGATTGCAAAGGTTGAAGATCTCCAAGAATGTATGTCTTGTCTCCTTTCTTGAAAATTTTATCTATATATTATTTTATATGCTGTGTACTAACAGGTCCTTTGATAGCTCAGTGCAAAAACAAAAATCAGGTGGGAAGTTATGCAGTTTTTTCCCTTAACAAAGCAATCAATAAGGTGGCGAACAGGTCAGTTGTTATATGGCAGTTTATGTGATTTCTCTAGTCTAGAAAGTACACCACAGTCTTCAGATTGGGAAAGACTATAAACATGACCAAGAAAAACTATGGCATAAGTATGTCTGTTGAATGAATTGGTGATGTTCGCTGCAATTTTAATCTAGTGGCCAAAATTTTTCGTACATGTACTTGGCATGGCAACCGAAATGGCCCTGGCCTGGAGCACTGTGGAGAGTGCATACAAGCTTGAATACAGTCTCCTCTCTCTTAATAGACATCTGTATGAATCAGACACCTAGAGTTGACCCATGCCTTTCTTACAGTAACTTCATGTAGTTCACTTGACTCTCTATAAGACACATCCTCGGAGACCCAGGGGCAGTCAGTCGAGCCGGGAGAAAAGGCGCGACGAAAGTTTTCAAGCACAGGTGGAAGAGCCCCTGGGTACCGACTCTCACCGGACCATTTCCAAACGGTCAAGTGAATGCTGGCTCCTGATTGGGCACAAAAAATGCTTTGTATTATTGTGTCCAATCGGCGAACAGTTTCTCGTGAGTTCTTTTCGTGAGTTCGTACACGATGGCTATTATGTCCCTACAGTTGCCCGGTTTGTTCACCAAGCTTGTGCGTACAAGGGAAACTTCCATTTTCTACTTTCCTAACCAGAAACGAAGGAACTACCGATGAGTCGAAAAACGTTTCGGATGCTATCAGCAGGAACAATTCATTTTGCACTGAGAAAATTCTGTTTCTGACGGATCACAATGTATCATAAATAATAGGAAGTTTAAGATGCGGCGGCGGCGACGAGATGGTAAAAACTAAAAAGGCATAACAACAACTTTGCACGTGCATCACGCATTTTGCACATTTCTTTGCCCTCGCTGCACGACTACCACGTGAAAATGCCTAATTTCAGGTTTTGTGAAGGACGTAAACAAACAATGACAAAATTTTCTTTCTCTTTATGAACTTGGATATGGTTGACAGAAAATCAGCTCCAGAAGAAGCTAGAAGAGTTCGCTTGCATTTGACAAAGTAAGCGAGTTGGGATAATCACGATAGAGACTGGAAAAATGTGAATTCACTTTTCATGCGACGTTTTCGTGGCTGTCAGCTGTCGTGGAATCTTAAACTCCTTCATATTTACGAAGGCATGATCGATGCAAGCGTGAATACCTGTTGTAAGCTCAAGCTTGTATTTTTGGAAAAGCGTCTTTAGTTTACGGGTAGACAGTGGTAGTCTTTACACTAGAGCTTAAATAAGCTAAGAAATATTTCAAGACAAGTAAATTTTAATTACTTCAAGTAAAATAAAGCTTCATTCACAACCGATTCTTTTTTTACTTCAGGTTAACTTTAATAAGGCTATTTTCCCACGGAACATAATTAAGATTGATTGACATGTTTCGCCTTTCTCAAAGCTCAAGAAACCGCAAGTAACCGCAAGCTTTTAAGGATGGTTTCAAGTCGCTTGAAACCTTCTTGAATCGTTTCAACTTTCCGACTTCAATGAGATGCAAAGTAAAGTTACTTGTGATTTTACTTAGGTCTTCACACACGAATTTTTGGTTAAGTAAAACTTAGCAGCTCCTAAGTCTTACTTAACAGCCTAGTGTAAAGACAACCAGTATTTTGAAATAAAGTGTTTACATCAAACTGAAAGTTTCCTGACTGCGTGCATTTGTTTGGTGCCCCAGACAAGCCGTGATCGAGTCAATAGCTGTCGCGTCGTGTACGAACTCACGAAAAGAACTCAAGAGATGCTGTTCCCCGATTGGGCACAATAATACAAAGCATTTTTTGTGCCCAATCAGGAGCCAGCATTCACTTGACCGTTTGGAAATGGTCCGGTGAGAGTCGGTACCCAGGGGCTCTTCCACCTGTGCTTGAAAACTTTCGTCGCGCCTTTTCTCCCGGCTCGACTGACTGCCCCTGGGTCTCCGAGGATGTATAAGACAGACACCTCTGATCTCTAAGGTGGACACATATGCTGGGGTGCCTGTGCCAAATGTGTCCTTCTTAGAGGAGGTCCAATTTTGAAAGATAATCTCCCTTTGAGTGTTGTATAAATCTTGTATAAATCCTGTCATAAGTACAGCTTGTAACATTAATTTTCATTGATTTGATCCCTTCTATCCTTGTTTTCATGTAATTTGTCCTCTTTCATCAGACCGCTCTTGTGAGGCCACACTGTGTCGCTGCTCTTCTAAGAAACATAAAATTTACTCAGGTTTGTGTTGCTGCATACCTTGGAGAATTTTCTACCTATTATACACACCTCTCATTAGCAAAGTCCATGGTCCAATCACACTTGGGCCATAAATCGCAGGCGCTGGGAGAGTCAATGAAGATATAAAGATAATAATTTACAGAACTTTGTATACACAGACTGAGAAAAAGAGATTGATACAGTAAGATGTTTGTGGAAAAAGAAATAGGCACACAACACCTTAGCACTTAACACACCTTAGTATTATAATAATAATAATAAATTGTTACAAGGGTTTATGATTGGGGCTTTTTTGTTGGGGTATAAGCTAAATGTATATAGACAAGACTCTCTTGGGGGGGGGGGGGTAGGCTAGGTATGTTTAAAAACTTTTAGTTTGGTACATGTATATTGAGTAGGAGGCCATGTCACTGTTAGTATTTCACTATTGTATTTGCGCTTTTCTCTGTCGCTGTCACAGTTTCAACCCATCTCTGTGTTGGTTGTCCCAGTTTCAAGGCCATGTTGCCTGTCAGAATGTTACCCTGATGGGGCCTCATAAATGTAAATAGTTTTTGTTGAAAGAATGAAAAATCTCTTCGGTTATGTACACTTCTGTGTATTCAGAAGGATACAGCAGCCAAAAATCAACCAATCACGTGACGAGTTCTTATTGAATTGGCCATAATTATAACAAAGCAAGACATTCCAAATCAGTATGTGCAGGTAACATAGACTGACTGTTGTTTTAATATCTTTTCATGTGTAATTTTATAACGTTTTTGGCAGGCCAGTTATGATAGCTTCATTGATCTGCAAGACAAACTGCATCACAACCTGTGCCGACGTCGAAGCCTTGTTGCCATAGGAACACATGATTTTGACACCCTCAAAGGGCCATTTCTGTTTGATGCCCTCCCTCCATCAGAAATCAAGTTCAAACCACTTAATCAAGTATGTTGTGACAAGAAAATGTTAAGTAAACTAAGATTTAAAAAAAAAAGATGTTATGTTGGATTCGTGTAGATTCAGTTATATCTTACGTGTATTCTGAATATTGCTGCTGTTGTTTTTCTTCAGACAAAAGAATTTACTGCTGTTGAACTGATGGATTTATATAAAGTAAGGAAAGAACAGAAATGAATTTGTTGTAAAATCATCAATTTTTATGGTAACGACCCAGAAAATTATCTTTGGGGTTCACCTCAAGATCAAATGGTATATAGAGCATTAATTTTCACATGACCTTACGGCAGCTGTATTGGTGTTTTAAAACAATGAAATAGCGGCCATGTTGATGTTCCAAACCAATCCTGTTTTTTTTTTTGTTCCAACAAATTTGCATAGATGCTAACCATGTGAGAGAAAACACTCCATAATTATGTATTTGTTTGAGACCTCTCTATTACAGTTGGGGAGTAAGGGTGGTACAGCGATGAGAGCATGTACTCGCACCTTCTGCCAGAGTGTGGCAGGGCGGTATTGGGTGATTTTGAAGGTGTACGCATGGGAAGAAAAGTTAGAGTGCAGACGGGTCTCAGAAATGCCATTTCCTGCGTTTCCCGTATGTCATTTTCAGTAATTAAATTGCAGTAGTTAATATTTTTTATTTTACCCATCTCTAGTGTGATAATAAAAGAATATTAAAAGGATAAAGGAAATACTTGCACAAAGAAACCAATATAAATCGAAAAATTTATCTGTCATCTTGATTTCATGGTAATAATACTTTCTGGTAAGAAAAAAGAAATTTTCCCAGATTTCAGTTGTACACACTGACCTGTATTTGCGTATATGGACGCTTACGTTCCGGTGTGGTTCAGGCTGAAATCCCAACATCAACATGTGGGAACTTGAGTATGTTGTTCAGGTTTTTTTCAGTACTCTGAAAGGTCCTTCTCCAGGTATGTCTGTTTTCCCCTCTCCTCAAAAACCAACACTTCCAAATTCAAATTGATCTGTGACACACAGAAAAATGTAAAAGAGTTGGTAATAATTTCTTAGTGTTTTTTGGGTAAGAAAATTATTACAAATTACAATTTCAGGGCCAGTGCTCTGACCATTCAATCACCATTGTTGTTTTCAACATTGCTGTTTTTCATTTTGCAGGGAGAAAGCCATTTAAAACAGTACTTGCCAATCATAAGGGACAAACCAGTTTATCCCATAATTTTTGATGCCAATGGTGTTGTGCTTTCCATGCCACCCATTATCAATGGTACGGTATGATAATTAGTGGGAGCAGCGTGGTCAAGTATCGTCATGTTAGACTTACATGTACAATTCGAAGATCGCGGGTTCAAGTCCAGCTCTGGCCATTTGCTGGATTTGTTCTTGGTTGTCCAGAGTTCAAATCCTTCTCCACATTTGTATATTATAGCCAACTGGTTGCCTCCTGCCAGTTGGGTTTTTGATCCTGTTATGTTGTATTTGAATTATTTGTTTCTAAGTATTTGAGTGGAGTGCCTGTAAACTAGCTGGATAAGCTGAGCGCACTTTCCACTATAAACAAACCCTTAACCTTTTTGACCTTTATAATTACCATATTTATTTTCTCAACTGGCACTACCAGGTCCCGGGGGGGGCACTTTAGGAATCTCTGGGTGGGGATGTGCCGCTGGGACCCAGGAACCCTTGACCTATACCAGAGCTAGTTCAGCTGAATTTTGCTACCCTATACTAGAGTAAACTCCCAAAATCCCCCTATCCTAGAGTAGCTGTTTCCCCAGTCTAGATCAGATGGGCTCCTGTCTAGATAAAATCTTCAACCAACTGATCAGTTTCCTGAAAAATGATACCCTATTCTAGACCCAAACGCTCTGATTTATATACCCTATCCTAGAGTAAACTGCTTGAAAACCATACCCTTCACAGCGGCACATACCCATATAGCCCATATATGGCAGTACCCCCCCCGGGTACCAGGTCCACAAACCTAAGACTGAAAAAAGGCTGTTTAGTTGCCGTGAGAAAATCCTTTACGTTCATTTTGTTACAGATAATTACCATGAAAGTTTTTAAAAAGTATAAGATAGTGCCGTCAAACCTCTTTTTAATAATTATACAGACACCAAAATGACCCAGGTGTCTGTAGTATGGACCAAGAGAACTATCCGTAATAGCTGTCCTGAGTATGTAGAGGTGTCTATATTATGCATAGGTGTCTGTGGTACATGTATGCGTAGGTGTAGACTACAGTATGCAGAGGTGTCTGTAGTATCCTGAGGGGTTCACATTGTGCATAGGTTTCCTTGGTATGTAAGGGTGTCCATAGTTTATGCAAAGGTCTGTGTAGTAATGACTTGTATGCAAAGGTGTCCATAGTATGTGAAATGAAGAATGCAGAAGTGTCTGTAGTATGCATATTGTGTTGATAATGGAGAGGTGTCCACAGTATGAAGAGGTATCCATAGTATGTATATTGCATTCATAATGGAGAGGTGTCCACAGTATGGAGAGGTATCCATAGTATGCATATTGCATTCATAATGGAGAGGTGTCCACAGTATGGAGAGGTATCCATAGTATTCATATTGCATTCATAATGGAGAGGTGTCCACAGTATGGAGAGGTATCCATAGTATGCATATTGCATTCATAATGGAGAGGTGTCCACAGTATGGAGAGGTATCCATAGTATTCATATTGCATTCATAATGGAGAGGTGTCCACAGTATGGAGAGGTATCCATAGTATGCATATTGCATTCATAATGGAGAGGTGTCCACAGTATGGAGAGGTATCCATAGTATTCATATTGCATTCATAATGGAGAGGTGTCCACAGTATGGAGAGGTATCCATAGTATGCATATTGCATTCATAATGGAAAGGTGTCCATAGTATGCATGGAGAGGTGTCCACAGTATGGAGAGGTGTCCATAGTATGCATATTGCATTCATAGTGGACAGGTGTCCACGGTATGGAGAGGTGTCCATAGTATGTATATTGCATAATGGAAAGGTGTCCATAGTATGCATGGTGAGGTGTCCACAGTATGGAGAGGTGTCCATAGTATGCATATTACATTCATGATGGAAAGGTGTCCATAGTATGCTTGGAGAGGTGTCCACGGTATGGAGAGGTGTCTATAGTATGCATATTGCATTCATAATGGAGAGGTGTCCACAGTATGGAAAGGTGTCTATACTATGCAAAGATGTCCGTATTATGCAGAGGTGTTTGAAATAAAGAGGTGTCCAAAGTATGTGGACAGCTCTAATGTATGTCATTAAGGAGAGGTTAAACAAGCACAGCATAAGCAAAGCAAAACAAGCACATACAACAGCCATTCAGCCATATTGGGCAGCAGACAAGTAATATTTGTTCATCCTGCATTGTACTTGAAAGAAAATACTCCTACAAAAGCCCATACCTAATGCATATGTATTTATGGATACATATGATCTATTTCTTTCAGGTGAACACTCAAAGATAACTCTTAACACACGAAATGTTTTTATCGAAAGCACTGCTACAGATCTGCACAAGGTAACTTTTAGGCTAAATGAAAGCAGGTTTAAGCCGATAGTGTTGCTTGATGACGAAATGTGTTCTATGTACAGTGGTTCAAAATGTGGCCATTGTGGTGGCCATAGTGAGTAGAAAAATGAACTGTGAACACATCACTGACTAATGATTTTTTTTACCTTTTAAGGCAAAAATTGTCCTGGACACCTTGGTGACCATGTTCAGTGTGTATTGCGATGAGCCATTTGTGTAAGTTTGCTCTATAGTGTACATTGTAAAATGAACAAAAAATGTTTGTATATATATGTAAAAGTTTCACTTATCCTACGAGTGTTCAATGCATAAAATATGCAGAGCGCAATACAAATGCAAAGGATGAAAATTAAGTTGTAACTTGGAGTTTCACGTACTAGGTGATGATTGCTTAGTGCCTAGAACTCTGAGTTACAACAGTACTTAGTTTTCATCCTTTGCATGTTTACATTGTACACAGTTGTATGGCTGACTATGTGCATACCAGTGCTTGTACTAAGTCTCATGATTTTCTAAGTGATGAATCCCCTGGTCTACATTGTGGCATATTACCTAATGAAGCATTATGCATTTTATTTCTTCCAGGGTGGAGTCTGTGGAAGTAGAAAAGCCCGATGGATCCGTTGTTACTTACCCGGTAGGTTTTATTGAAACTCAAATGGATTTTTACAGTCCGACCGGGAAAACCGTGAAGACTTGAAATATTTCAGGAATGTTTATTGTCTTATGACCAATCACAGTAAAGATCAAGACACGAGAACTGGCCACGAAACCTGCTTGCGATTTAGTTTAGAAATATTTCTGGTGTTCACGGTTTTCTCGGTTTTAATACGGTAATTAAATACCATGTGCTGACTAAAGAATCGAGAACGGAGAACTTTTCCTTGACCAGCATGACAAGTATTAAACCATTTCACTCTCCCAGACCATGATTTTTATAGCCAGGTTATTTGTATAGTCCTGTGCTGTTGTCATTCAAATAAAAGCGCTTTAGCAGAATGTCTGCACAGTCTTTCGGGTTAATTTGAAGTGAAATGCTTTTGAAAATCGTTTGAATAAGCATGCACTATTATTTTGCATACAGAGCAATGCAGATGGTCATTCTTATAGAAAGGTGACTAACATGAACAACATTGCAGTTTGTAACTGTCCTGCAATTTTACATTGAGTCTTTTTTCTTGTGCTCGTAGGAACTCAAGTATCGCCATGAAGTAGTTGAAGTGGACCAAATTAACAAGAAAATTGGAATCAAGTAAGTTATTTAATTATTATGATTATCGTTATTATTGTCTATGGAAGATTCTGGTAATCTCCCCACCTTCCCCTCCCCTAATCCAATTTTATCACTAACTTCTTCCTTAGGGCAAAATGTTGGGTTAGGGAGGGGTGGGTGGGCGGATTTCAGGAGTCTATTTCAGACAACACTACCAACGTACGTGGTAAGGGTAGCAGTTTTCAATATATGTAACCAATGCTGGCACAACATCTCTCTATATTGGGAAGGCATTGGTGACACGGTAGTGTGAACAGTCCTTCTTGTCTCAGTGCGCTACCCCAAGAACGTCTGTGTGGGAGGCTAATGGCGCCTTCCAAAAATCAGAACTGGCAGGCCACACCGGTCATTTTGAAAATGAAATATTAGTATTCAAAGGATTGCAATTTCCAGATTCCTAGCTTGTTTGAGATCTTATTTCCACCATTTGTATACTGTTTAAAATCGTCTCTTAAGTTAATGTAGGACCTGATGCGAAACCCTATCAACAATCATAACAATCGTAACAATTCTATTCTTGTTTGTCCTCAGGGAGTCGCCAGAGCGTGTTGCTGACTTGCTGACTCGAATGTGTCTACAAAGTGAAGTCATTGATGGTGGTAAAAGTGTCAGAGTAGAAATTCCTCCAACGAGAGCTGATATCCTTTATTATAAACATTACCACTAAAGTTTTAGCCTTGAGAGACAATTTCTTGCAAAAAAGTGAAAAATGATTGCGGTTTTGTCTAACCTTTCGAATAGGTGAACAATTGTTCAATGCTATCCAATGGGCCTGCAGGTATCTATTCAGTGGTTAGGCTGCGGTTATTTTATTGGCCGAGAGGATTTGGTGAACTAAATCCCGGTCAATCCTGAATATTTACTTCAGTGCAAATCAAACTGTTACACAGTGTAATTTGCACGAGTGCCTAATGCATTAGGGCCTGTTAACATGGAAGTGGGGGACCCCAGGTAGGTGAGGTAACATGTGGCCAGTCACCCCACCTATCATGTAAACGTGTTCAAATTAAAATGAGAGATTATATGGACAGGCGGGTTACCTCACTAAACAGGTTACGTACCTGGGGTCCCCCACCTCCATGTAAACAGGCCCTAAGTCAGGTCTTTGCTCGTCAGTGTTAGTTACTATTCACACTTACGCAGTAAAGCTGACTTTTTCAGTGCAGTCTTGCACAAAGTAAAAAAGACCAACTATGCTCCGTACACAATTTGAATTTGCTTTGATACTTAATGGTGCGTTGTTAGTCCGTGTTACGCACAATGTTGATCTCCTTGACATTGTTTTCACATATCATCCATGAGTGCGATATCATTGAGGACGTAGCTATTTCTCACGGGTTCAATAACATTGTCAAGAGAATACCGCCAACGAATACCATTGGAAACCAGGTAACACCTCGTGCAGTTAACCCTGCTTAAGATATTCTGGCGTGTTTTTCATCTGGTAATTGGATTTAAAGCGGATAAGTTTGTTGTTGGTTGTGGTGTAGGGAAGTTTCGTAGTGAAGCGCAGCCATATCCCTTTTCACGTGAGCGAGTAAGTCAGTTTACTGCTGTAGATGACATGTCAGCTTGTCAAGTGTTAGCTCGTGGTTCGCTATGATTTGTCATTGTTTTTCCTTTTATTTATCCCCCTCCCCATTCATGTGGGTATAACTAACCTGAGATCGGGCCCAATTTTAGCAGTTCTCATACATTCTCTCTAACGTAGTCGCGCTGCCTCCCCCGCAGGAATGTTATTTAGAAAACGTAACGATATAACAGAACAATTACACGCACAAAACACTCAAGTTTACCCTGCGAGCAGAGGTTCCGCTCGCAGAGTACTCAAGTTTAATTCAACGTTGGGCCAGGGGCTGGGGAACACACACACAAAAAAAAAAAAAATAGGTAAAAGTACATTTTAGAAGCCATCCCAACACTGACGATGATTGTAATTTCAACATTCAGTATAAAAACCACACACACAATGTTGTTTTATTTTGAAGTCAATGGCTCTCGAAACGTCAGCTTCTCTCGTACCCTACGGCGGCCAATCTACCCTATCAAATTACTTGATAAAGCCAAATCTTTGTGTTACCGAATTCATATTTGTTTATATTGGAAGACGTACTTATGTCACTGTGTCACTGAGACAGTAAGCACTTAATGACTGATCCCGAGGGAAACAGTTAATTTTGTTTCCCGAGGGACCAGTCTTTAAGTGATTTGTTATATAGCCGGAAATTCATTAAACCTCGCTGTAACGGCGTTGGTCTGTCATCATTCGCGGTTAACAGTGCACTGTTACCCTTTGACGTCATAGATTTGCAATGCTGCCCGCTCTGAGATTTTGGCGGGAAACAGTTTCATTGTTAGATGTCACGTGTCCTCATAGTAACCAATGAGAGCGCGCGCTGTTGGGAAAAAAATTTCCAGCTATATAACAATATCATCTTAAGTGTTTTAATCAATTTAATTCTATTTCTTCACAGTTCAAACTGAACACACTGTGCGATTTATTGAGGCAGGAAATAGCTCAGGCTGGATTCACTGAAGTGCTCACTTTTGCACTGGTATGGAAATTTTATCCTGTTCCCTTTTTTATCAATCCCTCCCTTGAAAGATAGTTAAGTTAAATCCCGGGTTTTAACCTGTAATTGGAGCGTGCAAGATATTGTTTTAACAATATCTTGCAATATCTTAACGTGGTAAAAGTCTTTACCCTGAGATCCAGGTTTGGTAACACAAAATGATACTCTAAAAAAAAAAAAAGAAGGTGAATACAATCGTAGATTAAAATAAGCTTAGCGGTAATGGCCGTTCAGGAATCTTGCCCTGCGCTCCATCCAAATTTATGAAGCTGGTGTCATTCGCGGGAGAACTTGTTTGACCTAAAATTACAGTTCGCCTTACTTATGGTTGGTTAAAAAAGTGACACTATTTTTTTAGATAACAAAATCGCGTGGCAATACAAAACAAAAATGGTTGGAAGAAAAGTTGAAAAGATAAAAAAAGGAAAATAACTATCGGATACCATCAGCAAATTTACTGTTTGGTATCGGTGGTATATTGTATTATGAAAGGAAGTCTAATGAATGAGTCTAGTCTCCTAGTATTTAAGAAGCCCCGATAACCTCTATGAATACAATTGTAGACTTCTGATAGGTAATTATAAACTGGTCGAAAGCGATGATCCAGTGTAAATTGTCTAAAAAAGTAAATAAACCTATTTTAGATCTTTGAACTGAACCCTTTTTTCGATCTTCAATAAGAGGAGGGCCCTCAAAAGGTTTTTCGGGATTCTGGATTTCCCTTATTTGAAACTCGTGATTCGGGATTTCCCTTATTTGAAACTCAGGATTCGGGATTTCCCTTTTTTGAAACTCGGGATTCGGATTTTCCTATTTGAAACTCGGGATTCGGGATTTTCCTTATTGAAACTCGAGATTCGGGATTTTACAGCAAGATCGGGTCTAGATTCGTGATTAAAAGTATGCGCGGCAGGTGTAATGCCAAAAATAACCATTGGGTTTACGGGATTGCACGAAATTTTGGGTCGGGATTATGGGATTGAAGAACCCTACTGGGGCCCTTCAAAGAGGATAGAGAATCACGGTTATTCCAAGCTGATCTTTTTCTTATTTTTAACTGCAGTGTTCTCGTGATGACGTTTCGGAGAAGCTCAAGAAGCCTTTATCGTCATCCAAAGCAGTTCATATATCCAATCCAAAAACGCTGGAATTCCAGGTAAACTATTTTGCTTTGTTAGTTGGATTTTCTAAGTTCCAAGGACTTCGTAACGCTTTTGAATAACGTCTAAGCATCACGTTCACGTCAAACGTCAAACGTGAATTTGTGCCACGTGCAGACCAAGTTTCCTCTTTTACTGTTCTTTCTACACTCTCCTAAATGAGTTGTTTTACGCAATTTGTTTGAGCTGTTTTTATCTGCTCATTTTCTATTTTTTAGAAATTCTCTACTGGATTCTGACGTTTGCCGTTTGCCGTATACGTGAAGTTTAAACTCTCTGTTAGATCACATCAGCCTAAACCCTTTCTCACTGCCACTTAACATTACATGAAGTAATACTTATTTACACTCTATAATAAAAGAAGTGAAAACTGAAGTTTAAGCGCCTCAAACTCGAAGCGAAGAGGTTTAGACGCGATAAGGAATAGTACATTCTGTAAGCCTCATAAGGTCAAAGGTGTCTAAGGTTGTTAAGGGGTTTGTGTGGTTAATGCTTACCCCGTAGGAAGTTACGAAACAACAATTACCTGCAATTATTATTATATTTTTCAAGTCTTTCGTCTCTGTTAGCATTAAGCGAATTGTCCTAATGTTTTGTTCTTACGGTTTCTGTAGGTTGCCAGGACAACACTTATCCCTGGTCTCTTAAAAACGGTCAGTTGTAACAAGAAGATGCCGCTGCCGATGAAACTGTTTGAAATTTCAGATGTGGTGCACAGCGATGAACTGAAAGGTGAGGTTGAACTTAAATAAAGCCCGTTAAAATTGTAGTGAGTGGCTTAGCCTGTGCCACAGACGAAACGAAACTCTGGTTTAGCCCACTCTGCGAAACAGCGCCAAAATTTTTGTTATGGGCCGCCACCTGTGTACCAGGATGTGAGTACGCGCCAAGATTGACCTGTTAATAAAGCCATTGCCCACTTGCCAGTCAGGTTGAAGGGAAAATCGAAACACATTTCTGGTAATTCATTGAGTCCGTTGGGGGCCCAGAACAAAGATATCGGCGCTGGTTCGCAGACGTTACTAACCGGGGTTAGATTGTTGTGCGACGCAGGCAATAAGTGGCTGTGGAGAGCAGGTGAATTGTGTGTTCTTTTGGAGACAAGTGTGGTTACTGTAAGATTTGAATGCACGTGTTATGGTTGCTCTGAGTCATACTCGTGAACTGTCCATTGTAACGTGAATCGAAAGTTTGCAATGAAAATAATTCAATATCCCACCACGGCTTCAAACGTGTGTTGGTACAGTAGAATCATCCCGATTTTACAAACCCTTAGTTTTTCTAAATTCCCGATAATTCCAACCAGACATAACTTCTATGCAGTCAGTTGTTCGCCCGCTTTTCACAAGTGCCGTTAACATTTCCATTTAGATGTGGGCGCTCGGAATCATCGCCGTTTTTGTGCTGTTAATTACAACAAGACACCAGGGTTTGAGGTTAGTAGCGATATACGTGGTATTACGTCGTATCTTTTGAGAAAGTTTGTTTTGCTCTTGGGGTTTTAGCCGCGGCAGGATAAGCGCAGTCGATAGAACGCCTGACCGTAGAGCGGGAAGTCGTGGGTTCGTTTCCCGGCAACGGACCAACTCTCAAGGTCTTAATATAACTGAGAAATTAAGGCACTGCCTTTGCCCTGCAAACGGGTAGACCTAGCGTATTTCCCCCATTGGTACTTTCGTGCTAAATACATTGACACTCGAATAATAATGAAATAAAGAGGTTTTTCCTTCTGATTTTTGTAGGGTTCGTACAGGTCATAGAAAGCCTGGAAAGTCATAAAATTTAAGAATTTTATTTTCCAGGTATAGAAAGTTACGGAATGTAATAAGCCATTTTACAGTTTTAAGCACAGTGCCCTGGCCTTTGAATAGAAGCGAGGCTGGGGTAACTTTTTTTGCTGCAAACCTTCCCGCTTTTTATGTGCAAATCCTGTTTATCTCATGCGAACAAGCCCTTGAAAATCAGGACGGTTTGTAACAAGGCAGTCACGTCTAGCCTTGCTTCTATCCAAAGGCCAAGGCACTGAACACACAACTGTAAAATGGCCTGTTATGCAGGCAACTGTACAGATGCAAGGGAAAATAGGACAAGGACAAGTAATTAAATGACGCGAACGTAACGTGTTTCGGTGGACTCCAGAGTTTGTGTCTGTTGAACTGAGTTATGTCAAAAAAAAATACCCAAAAACAAGGGTAGTTTTGAAAAGTGTTGAAAGTGACAGCTAAACGTAAGGAGATGGAAAACTTGAAAAAGGTTATCAAAAACACTCATGGAAAAGTCATGGAATTTGAAGAGCTCAAAGGACTACGAACCCTGTTTTTTTAGCCGTTTTAAACAGCGTCGTTATGGAATGAACCACCTAAGTTCCTTCAGTGCCTGTATTGAGATTTGAAGTAAAGTTTCTTTTATAGGTTATCCATGGTCTGTTGGACCGCACCATGCAGCTTCTTGAAGTCCCATACACAGAAGATAAAACTTCTACTCGTGGATATTACTTGAAAGCTCATGAAGGTATTTTTGCGATATGTGCTAGAATGTGAACTAGAATGCGCACGAACACACTATACTATATTACACCTGACAGCACGAAAAACCATACCGGTATAGGTGAACATTGCCTAGTTACTCAAAGACTTGTAATAAACTGAAATCTTCTTTCCGGTGAAACCATAATTGATCTCTAACGTTTCAACGGCGACTATTTAAGCATGTTGTCCTAAAGCTTTTACATAATGTAAATGTAAGTGTAAATGTACAAAACTTTGTCGAATGGCCATTAAGGTGAGATCTTTACTTGTCAATTAGCCATTGTTCAGGGTTATGCAAACGATTAAAAAGACTTACACTAGTCCTGCTAGGAATTAGCCATAACTATGGCCTGTGTGTGCAGGGTATCGAGTTGGGGTTTCGCGCTGGATTTTTCGTGTTATTCTTGCGAGATGTGACAACCCAGCTGGAGTAATAATTGCATTAAAGATAATTTTCAGGAATCGTTCAGACCAAGAAGCTATTGCAAAGCTTGTTTAAAGTGAAAAGAGCATCAAATCTTTGCATTGTACGTAAACGTAGTTATTTCTGCTCTGGTAATGCATCATTGTTGGTAAATTGATTGATTGGCTGGTTGATTGATTGATTGGACGATTGATTGATGGATGAAAGAATGGATGTATGGATGGTGAATTGAATGATTAAGTGATTGATTGGTTTAGTGATTGGTAGATGGTTGGATGATTGGTTGAGTAATTAATTGATTGAATGATTGCTTGATGGAGTGATTGATAGATGGATCGATAGTGGATTGATTGATTGATTGACTGATTGTTTGGTTGATGATTGACTGATTAACTGATTGATTGATTGATTGATTGTATTATCGATTGAATGATTGATTAAGTGAATGATTGGCTGATTGATTGTGTTGATCGATTGTTCGATTGTTCGATTGATTGATTGATTGATTGATTGATTGATTGACTAAGTAGTCAGGGGAGCAAGGGTGGCGCAGTGTTGAGAGCACTTGCCTCCCACCAATGTGGCCCGGGTTCAAATCCCGGCGTCGACGCCATATGTGGGTTGAGTTTGTTGTTGGTTCTCTCCCTTGTTTCAAGAGGTTTTTCTCCGGGTACTCCGGTTTTCCCCTCTCCTCAAAAACCAACATTTCCAAATTCCAATTTGATCGGGAATCATGTGGATGTGCTACCTGCAAATCGTTATTTATTTGTTTATTTATTTTATTTGGCTGGTTGATTGCTGACTAGTTAACTGTTTACATGATCCTTCTTTTTTCAGATGAAACCTTCTTCCCAGGTCGTTGTGCGCAGGTCATCGCCAACGGAAAGCCAATAGGAATTATGGGTGTCTTACACCCGGAAGTCGTCCAAAACTTTGAATTAAACCTGCCATGCGCAGTACTTGAATTGGACGTGGAGGAATTCCTCTGAAAAACAATTTAAATACCATCTCGCGAGTGTTAAAAGATGTAGGTCAATTTTTTTCGACATGTATCTTTGTGTCACTAATATGTTAGGGATCTTAAAAGTGAAACATTCCCCTGCGGCTTCATCTCTTCTAAGCACCAGCATTAATCAAGACAGTTCTTGTGTTTACACTTTTCATACAACGGTAACCACTATTCTACAGCTGCCCTGTATGTGTATTGGCGGTCTTAAGAGAGTTTAAGCATCGTGTATACGGCAAACGACAACTGTCAGATTCAAGTTGAGAATTTCTCAAAATAGAAAATGAGCAGATAAAAAGAGCTCAAAACGATTCTTATGCATGGATAAAAAAAATTGCGTGAAACTACTAATTTTTTTGTTGAAATAATGAACAGTAAGCGACAAGTGAAGTGGAAACTTGGTCACGTGGAGCAAATTCGCGTTTACCGTTATACGTAAACGCAGGGTTTTTACAGGTCATGGAAAACCTGGAAAGTCATGAAATTTAAGAATTTCATTTTTCTTAAATTCAATTTTTCAGGCCTGGGAATTCATGGAATGTTGAAAAATTATCGGTCCTTGAAAGTCATGGAAAATTAAAGTTTTGTTTGGTAGTATAGTTACTTCTGATAACAAAGCAAGGACAATGTAAGGTAGATAGGACTAACTTATCAGCGCAAACGGCACGCATTTTGGTGGTCACCAGAGTTGAACTGTTTAAAGTCAAAAAATACCGTAAAACATGGAAAATTTTAAAATTTTTTTGAAATGACAGTTAAAACCTAAGGTCTTGAAAACTTGAAAAGGTCATGAGAGAAGCCATGGAAGGTCATGGAAATTGAAGAGCTCAAGAGAGCACGAACCTTGAAACGTGATGCTTATACTTTGTATTTTTTCTTGATGTTGTGGATGGGTACAATCACCAAATGTTATAAAACCTTTTTTTTGTCTCTATAGAAAGGTCCCCCCAAAATTAAAAAACAATCTATCTATCAGCCAACTCGAGCATATTTGAATTATTTGAAATATCTTAAAAGCTAAATTTTTATATCAGTAAATACCCAAATTGGCTCCTGGTTTTCGGTAACACGCTTTAAACTACAAAGTGTTTTAAAATATAGTATTTAGAATTGCACGTTCGTGTAACATACAGTGTAGCTATTTGGAACATATTGTAGTACAGAATGCATAATGTCAGTGCTCAGTGTTGGTAGGATCCATTAATAAAATTGTCGAACATACCTTAACGGTCTGGTGAAGTATTATAGCGTTACAAGCAAAACATAAATTTTTGTGATCAACCTTCGCGTTTTATGTAGTTTGATTTACGTAGTTTTCTTGAGTTGATCAGAGGGTTGGCATAGGAGTCGTCGTTGTTTCTTTATGTCTAACGTGGGGAAAGAAAGCTATAAACTATCGAACGATCAAATTGGTGGCAAAAAGAGTCAAGAGGAAATTGCTAAATGCGGGCGTTTAGAGACGAAGATAAATTTCGCGCTTATCCTGGATTATCTTAATCCTGCTTCAAACAACCGGGCTCTTACCCCAGTTGTTCAAATGCTGGATAGTGCTGTCGATCGGATAAATTTCTATCCAGTAGATGAGTATTAGGGAATTATGGAGAGCAAATAGGTACCGGCTTATACAACTTCACAAGAGGGTTTACGAGGATTTTTAAACGGGGAAGAGGGGTGGGGGAGGGGGTTTAGGGCTTATATCCAGTTGGACTTAGAACCGAACTAAAGTGAGTGCACTGTCGACCTCAGGCCCCAGTTGTTCAAAATTTGGATAGCGCTATCCGATGGATAAATCTCAATCCAGTGGATAACGCAATTGTTTTGCCAAGAACTTACATGTATCCGCTGGATAGTGATTTATCCGGTGGATAGCGTTATCCACCTTTTGAATAACTGGGACAAGGTTTGTTAGTCAGATGACTATTTCGAGCTACAGAGGTAAATAAGGACTCTTAACGTTTTTGTTTTGTTTTGTTTTACTCCCTAGCTAGTCCGCGCCTTTCCGCGCGAACCCAGTCTTTTGGAAGAATCAATCGACTTGTTTTAAGCGTAGGGTTAAAACTTATCTTCATTGGGTACTAACTTAATAGTCGTCCGAACCGGTAGATTAAGAGTTAGGCGTGGAACTTTAGATGTGTCGAATCTAATTAATTTGGGTATCTTCACAGCAAGATCTTTGCGCTCGCCTGTGAGCCCAACTTGGTCACGCGAGATGATCACGCATTTGAATGAGTCTTTAAAATAAACACGCGAAGTTTCTTAACGGTGATATAAATGTAACAAAACGCGAAGTCCGGCCTCTTGGCAACTGCGGCGCGAAAAGCACTTAACTCATGAAATGTGCCTCAAAAGACAAGGCAAATGATACACCTCGTACTCAACTTCTTTTCGTGCAGATCAGCGCAGACGTTTAAAGGAACAATGACAACGTCACTATGGCATTAGAAGGTGTTGTATGATAAAAGGCAGACATTATTTGCCATCTGTCGATAATGAGCTATTTTGTGAAAGCATTCTTACACAATAAATCAAGTGTAAAGCCGCTCTATTTTAATATCCTCAGTAAGACTCTAATAAAAGCGGAAAAAGCTTTTCACAGTAAATATCGAAAAGTATCATTTGTTGACGCAGCATCAGGTGAGATGCGGTATGTTCACGATACAAACCGTTCCGCCAATGATACCTCTTTGTGAGACGTCGCTAACCGCGAAAACATTTCAACTGTAATTATCGCGCTTCCGGTAGCGAAATATGCAAGCGATCAGTGTTTGATCTCGACCCCGGCTATGATCTTACAAGGGTGTAGATAAGGCTTTCCAGACCGTCAATTGCAACCAAATTACTCAGCGAGAGAAAATAACGGCAGTTGTAAACGATTTCTTATAACCTCCACGAGTACACTTCATAGGCTTCGGTGGCCCTGTAACAACGGCGATGCGGATAACGTGTTTCGCGGCATTGCCACGTGTTTTCTGTTTTCTGGTCTTATTGCAAGTAGCTAACAGCAGACCTCTAGAGGTGAGTCTTCTTTTTTGACTTTTTACTCCTGTATGAGTGTAGAGAGCACGGGGTTGATATGACAGTGTATAGCTCCGCATTACGTCACGTGTGATATAAAGTCAGTTACCCTTTATTTTCCAAAGTGAACTGCCTCTGTCGGCGTACATTTCCCTATGCAGCGCCTTTCATTTATGATAGCTGCGTCCATTGCAGGAGAAAAAACGTTACTGTGATTATTATTTCAAAGATGTGCACAGCATGGGGAGTAACTATCTGAGAAAGCTATGGTGTCTGTACGCTTTTTAAAAGGAAACATCATATTGAGCAGATCTCCTGCTCACCAAAGTCTATAATGAAAACATTCTTCGGATTAAAATCACTTTTCAAAGAAAGCATGTGAACAATTTTATTTAATCTGTGCGATACTCTTCAGATCGCAAAGGTTACGATTATCCAACAGTGTTAACATTGTGTTCTGGCAGGGGGGTGGGGAGAGGGTGTCCTACCGTTTTGTGGGCTATACAGAAACATTCCATTCGGGATGCTTTGCACCTTATCCGAGCTAAAGGTGTCCGTCGTCAACCCCCCCCCCCCCCCGCCCTTATTTTTTGCGAGGTAAAGAACATATATCCTTGGCAGGTTCTCAGCAAATCGAGCTAAGTGGGAGCCTGTCAGTTGACTTCGGGTACGCCTGTCAAAAAATTTCAGAGAGTGTACTCCCCCTGATACCACCGCCACATTTTTGTTTGTGTGAATGTGTTTTTATAAGTGGACAGTTCCAAATATTTGATAAAGGTTTATCTATTAAAAGTAAAAAAAAGTTCTTTAAAAACATTAGTACAAGCATAGCAACTTAAACACCACCTAAAAGGGCATCAACCGGCTTTGTCCTACATCACGCGAAGGCTCCCGCTGGTTCTCGTAAAATTAATCTCCGCTTTTGTAAGAATCCCGCTACATTCAATAAGCATTCCTAGTTCAAGTAGTCCACAATTTTTTTTTGTCAAAATAGAATTTCTTCACGTAAAAATAATAACAAGGATTAGGAAAATAAGATTTTCTTAATTTATATCAACACATTTTTTGAATATTTGTTGGTCACTGAGATTATTTTGTTTTCTGTCTAGGTTACAGATGAGTTATCTGTCGAAAGAAATTTGCAACGATCAGTCTTGTCGCAGACCGGCAAAGATAAGAATTCCACGGCAAAGAGCAGACCACCAGGTTCGTTGTAGAATAATAACACTAAAAATGCAAAATATAAAGTTAGGAGCCCTGATAATCTGTTGGCTCATAGGCCGTCCCAAAAACCGTCACTTTCAAAATGAGGCCAAGTGCACAAGCTTTCCTACAAAAATGGGGTCTATTTGCATGAGAATGATAAATCATTTTCAATCAAATGCTGAACACTTAACCTCGTTTTGATACAGAGGCCTGGAAGAACTCGGAAATGGCCTATTTATCGTGGGTCAATTATGTTAGCTACTGGCGTCGCTGGTCTAAGATGGGTGGGGAGCTCGTAATTGGTGGTTCATAACTACAATCTTGGACAAAATAAAATGGAACAGCAAACCCCCATCCCCCCAAACTCAAGGATGAAGCCGGGCGAAGGGCAAAACCGTGCCATTTTCCCATCCTTGATTTGGGGGGATGGGGGTTTGCTGTTCCATTTTTTTTGTCCAAGATTGTAGTCTGTATCAATTAGACAAAAAAAGTGGAATTTTGGCCAATTTATCCACAACCCAGATAAGTTGTCTGTCTGACAACAGAGATTTCAGTATAGGATGAAAGCTTACTAGTTTATCACTCCTTCAATTGAGGAATATCCGAACACCTTAGAGACTGGAACTACGCGTCCCGGCTTAGAGAGATGTCCGTCTTTATATAGAGTCAACTAAGAGGATTTGAGAGAGGCAGACCAACTCTTGGTGTCCATTTCAGCGAGATGCGTTTTAGTGACCTGTTTATAGAGGGAAATTCAGCAGTAACTCCCTAGGTACAGCCCTCTTATGCAAAAAAACAAAACAAAACAAAAAAACAGCAGCATTTACATGAAGTAGGGAACTGTTCCATTATATTGCCCTACAAGTAGTGGAGATGAGTTCGCGAGTGGGAAACTAAAAAAGACGTCCTCAAAGTCTTTCAGAGACTGGGGTGTTGCAAGATTGGAGGAAAAAGAGGAAGGGATTGACGGGGTGGGAGAGAGAAGGGGGAGAGAAGGAGCTATCTGACCCTCTCTCCCTTTCTCACTCGTTGTTTGTCCTGCTCACTTCTCTTTGCGCCGTCCCTAATATCTGAACGGTGTAAAGACAACATACCTCGAATTAGCGCCCACCTCTAGTAAGCGCCCATCCTAAAGGCAGAAAAAGTTAACTAGCACCCAGCCTAGAATAACCGCCCACCCCAGCCCACTCCCTCCCACAAAACTCAAATAAGAGATAATAAGAGACCCTCCCGAAGACGGAGTTTCAATCAGAGTATTTTACAGAAACCTTACTTTGTTGCATCTTCCCTTTTTGTAATTTAGCATTTACTGTTTTGTTGCAAAATATACCACTACACTTGCTGAGAATCGGTGAAAAGCTAATAAGCGCTCAGCCTCGAATAAGCGCCCACCTCGAATAGGGGCCCACTCTCAAGGTAAAAAAATTTAATAACCTACCAGGGCGGTTAATCGAATAAATACGGTATTATAGCGAAAATATTCTCTCTCGATAAAAATGTCTCCACATATGTACGTTCTTTTAGTCCTGACGTGACGCAGACTGTGTGGGTTTTCAAACTGGTGATCCTAATCTCGTATCCCAGCAGGAGAGTACCATAAGAGCGAGGTTGTAGTAATCTCTTTGTTTTTTGTTTGTTTGTTTTTTGCAGTATCTTAAAAAAAAAACAAGAGCTTACCATAAGGTTATACAGAACGACAATTTGCAGCTCTCTGACCCCGGGGGGTACTCGTGGGAATTCTTGCTGGGAGTGTACCACCTGGTTGTCAAAATCCTGACCCTATTTCAGACCCAAACAAATGTCATTTTCCACACCTACTTTCAGACCAGACCTCTGAAACCCATACCCGTTTTCAGACCTGGCCTTTCAAACCCATTTCGAATTCGCATATTTCACTTTCTTTCATACTCATTTGGAATTGAAACCATAAATACGTTCATACACCCCGTATTTCCCTCGAAAACCACACCCGATTCCAGACCAAAATGTTCAACGTGTATAAAGGATTAAATTAACTGCAAAAACCGTGGACGAAGATCCTGCTAGTTGTAAACGTTGGATCTCTAGAGAAGAGATCAAATCAGCCAAAATATAAAGAACAAGAACGAGAAGTCCGAAGACTACAGCAAAGCTGATTTAAAACAACGTGTATTGTTTTTTATAACAATTAACATCTGTAAACCTGAAGAAGGCTGGTATGGCCAGCCGAAATATTGTTATAAAAAACAATACACGTTGTTTTAAATCAGCTTTGCTGTAGTCTTCGGACTTCTCGTTCTTGTTCAACGTGTATACCCGTTTTCAGACCGAAAAGCCCCTAAACCCTGCCTTTTAGGGCGGCAATAACTATATGGCTTATATAAGGGAGTATCTCCTCCCCCGGACCAATGACTCTGGACGATGCAAAAACAATTGTCGACAGTTCGTTATCTCTTTAGCGCCGCAAACGTGACAAATCTCAGCAGGGTATTTATTGCTTGAGAGGCCGACGAGAGGTTTAAAAAATTCCAAATATTGCGATAGGAGATGAGTCAAAGGACGAACGGTGACAAATAGTTCATGATGGAACAGCTCTATCTAAAACAGATGCCAATCCTGACAGATGGGTTTGGGACTACAGGAAACCGCAATAGATGTTGATTATTTGCAATACTGACATTAACTCATCCAAACGTCGTGTTAATTTTTTATCATTAATTTTCTTGTTAAAATGTAGGTCGAAACAAAACCGCAAAAATTGTTTACATTGCATTTGTGACAGTTGAAATATGGGGAGTGAAATCAACGATGTACGCGCGAGAGAGAAGGGCACGCATGCTTCCTCTCTCTTCACACGTATGGCTCCCTCGCGATCAGCACTGTACATGTCTTAATCTTTCGTATTTTCTCGCCAGCAAAGCAAAAGCCAAGTGCCAAGTGATGACAATAATCGTTCATTATAATGGGAGTACGTTATTTTGAGTCTCTCTTCTACAAATTTTACTATGACGTCTGCTAGGAAGTCACTACTTTTATCTTGCCCATGATACCCCTCATGATTTGCCTGCCAAATTTCCTCATAACCATTGTTTCCAATTCCGCTACGTTATTGCTGTCTTCTCAGAGAAAGCAAAAACAATGCTTCTGCCTTTTTTTCGGTGGTGGTAGGGAGAGGGGGGAAGGGGTTGGGAGGGAGGTGGGGTGGTTTAGCAAGGTTCGTCAAAGTGGCAAATATCATTTGTCAAATCGGGGCGTTCGTTTTATAGGGGTTTGTTATACGGGGGTTTTACTCTAATAAACCCCTCTGAAGAGTCATTAATTTGTGGTGGAATCAACAGGCCTCTTGCAAACTCTGTCAACGAGTTAATCAGTCGACGTCATTGCGCACACTTGCGTCATTGCATCTTCCAAAACTCGGCTTCTCAGTTCTCTCTGATGATAGATTCATAGTCTACCCTGGGAAACGTGACAACTCTTCAATGATGCACCAGGGTTTGCTTGAAGAATTTTCTTTTCTTTTCTTTAATTAATTCACAAAAAAAATTCATCCAGGCATTTTTTCGGTTTTTAATACGGTTTCACGTGTAAAACGCAGTTTTTCCAGTTTCAACCTTACATGTACCTGGGCAAAGTTTTCTCGTGTAACCACAGCTTACGTATATTATGGTTCCTAAACACCTCTCTTCATCATAACCGCAAAAGGAAACAAATGCAGCAGGTGCTTTTGCTTGTATCAAGGTAGCCTGTTCCATGCAGGCCTTCGGCTTTTTCTGGTTTTATTTATTACGTAAAACCATAGTTATTAGAGGAGACTGGTTATGAAAGGCAACAAACACCAAATATATATATAAAAAATGTGCTGTAGTTTATGTTGGAAGCTCCCTGAAGGAGCACAATCCTTTGTGTTCTGTTGGAAGATTGTGACGGAATAAATTAATGGGACGTTTTTATTGGTCTATAAGATCGAAATGATGGGAATGCCGTTTGAACTTTGTGCACCGTCAGGTCCACAAAGACATATGACAACGGCGTCTGACGGGCTTCATCCATCTATTCCAAATTACAAACTATGGTAAAACATGCAAAGGAAAAAAACAACAACAGCGAGTTTCCTTCCTCTGTTCTCTTTGTTGTAACGATATATGCCGAAAGTCCCCCAAATCACCAGCCGTAGGGCGGAGATGATAACATATCATTTAAAAATGATATGTTAGGCCGTCGTATAAGGAATAAAATACCGCATTCCGATAGCCTCGGGTAAATATTGTTCTTGACTTTTTCTAATACAGGCTGCTGTACGCCCGAATTGTACCTCGGGTTTGACAAAGCAACCACTGGTCAACATGAGCTAGACGGACGCCGTGCCCAGTTCCCTTCTGGAGCCAATGAGGAGAGCCCTTGTGGCAAGTTTGCAGACCTGAATGCTGAAAATGTGCAATTCAATAGTGCAAAACTAGCAACCAAAACTGACGCAATAACCATTTCTCTTTGGATTAAATTGCTCTCCAAGAATGGTATCCAGCCAGTTTTGGTTGTAGCAGGAGAGGATGGCGAACTTAGGCTGGAGATTGCCCAAGGTCATCTCTCTTGGATGTACACTTCAATAGGCACACCATTGGCCACATTTGCTCTCCTAAGTGTAGTTCCAGTCGTGCCAGCCGGTCTGTGGACGCATCTGGTCGTGCAATACGACGCCTTCACTGGGCGATCTGCGGCTTTTCTCAATAAAAAGGAAATACTGCAAGGTGTCTCAGGCGGAGGTTCTCTGAAAATAAACTGGGGAGAGTTCACGACCATAGGCCAATCTTACATCAACGAGGTGTTACGACTCAAAACGAAAGGGAACATAGATGAGTTTTATATCTACTTCTGTGCCGTTCCAGAGATGGTTATCCAAAGACTCGCTGACTCGTGTCACGTAGACGGAAAATGTGCAGCGATTGGGCCAGGTAACATTGTAGGCTTTGCTACTTTGTAGAGTAACTGTTTATTTCTCAATCTATAGCCTTCAAACATCCAGTCCTGTCGGAGTAAAGGGGTTGAGGGGAAGGGGTGTAGACGGGGTTACACAGTGTCAGTAAGTCTGCCCTGGATGTCATTGGGGTGCGGCACGCATACATTATACTAGTTTCCTAAGGTGAAGCCAATTTTGGATACCAAACGTACCTGAGTTTCTGCCTTTCTTTGTTCCTATATTCCTTCCTTTTCCCTTTATCAATTTATCGTTATGCTAAATTAATTCGTAAAATTATATCCTTTTGCTTTTCCCTATTTTCGCCTTGTTTTGAGCACCACAAATTTGGATGAAAAATATTTCCATGTTACAGGAGTAAAAGATCCATGTGATGCCCACGATGCATTTTACTGTAAGAATGGAAAGTGCGTTGGGCAAGAATGGCGCTGCGATGGAGAAAACGACTGCGGGGACTGGAGCGATGAAACAGAATGTGGTTAGAGTTATCTTTTTCTAACTGATATGCAAAAGTGCCCTTTCCGTGTTAATGTGTATAGCTACAAGTTAACAAATACTTGCTCATTTGGCATATAGAGAAGATCCAGGCGTAGTTAATCGATGAACCGATAATCGGTAACAATCGATATCAGTCTTCCGATATCGATACATAGATAGCCATAAAGAAAAAAGGCTTTGACTTCGATTATTATCTTTTGCCCAACCAAGTGCGACCCCTTATGCAAAATAATGGCAGCGATCTGGAGGATTTCAATGGCCCTGTATATACCGCATTGAATTGGATTCCAATGTGAGCGAGATTCGTGGAAAAAACTGCAAGATGCAATCGACTGAAGCAAAATGTAATTGACATGTAAAGATCCATGAAAACCAGAGGAACAGAAAATCAAGACTACACCAACGGTTTTTTTCTCAAACTGAAGAAGGGACATAAACCCGAAACGTTTGTATTTTTTTAGAAAAACATTTGACACTTTTTTATATTTCTTTACCTAATATCACCTCATCAGCTACACCTGGAGTACTTGCTGAAGTCAAAAACAAAATGTGTTAAGCTGAAGCTGGTCTCGTCGGTGTTGTGTGCCAAATAGTATCGTTATGTTCAGAGTATCTGAACCATATGCTCTTCAATATTATTACTTGTTATCGATCACTATCGATTGTTATCAATTTTTGTTAATCGATAATAAGTGATAGATTATTTTTTCTATCGATTTCCGATATCAATCGATGACAATCGGCGGATGAAATCGATTGATATCGATCATACCGATTGATTTCCGATATCGATTTCTATCGATTAACTACGTCTGGAGAAGGTGTTTTAGACTTTTTGAGACCCTGTTTTTGGGTGACTAAAGTTTTTAGGAAATGGATGATGAGCTGGTTTACCGCTTTGATATCAGCAATGAGACTTCTACACAGCTACAGTCTACAAGCATGTTATATACACTTGTTGGGAATTTCTCCCTATTAACTACCTTGACTCTGCCTTCCGCCTGCCCAGGGCACTAAATCGGTGTATTTCACCTATCTTGTTTTCCTACCAGATGTTCTATGCTCAGTTGGGAGTTGCTTGTTTAGTGTTTCCTCTGTACGGCGTGCGTGTCAGCTTTTTTCAGTGTGCTTTAAAGGGACATGTTCACAGTTCGGCGCATGTTCATTAATTAAATTACTTTTTTTCCAATTTATTATTAATTCTATCGGTTAATAATCCATCTCACATGTATCTCAGCGATCTCAGAGTGTATTTCAAAGAAGAAGTGCATTTCAGAGTAATCTGAAGTGGGATGGAGGAGTACTAAAATCGCAGAAAAACTAGTGGATTATGCCAACACTACCAACGTTGAATTTATCGTTGTCCCGAAGGTTTTATTCCATGGTGGATAAATTTACAACTTTTTGCACATAAGTTGATCACGTGACTGCAAGGGGAGTGTCCAGATTGGTTCTTTGACAACATTATGACATGCTCATTTTGCTTTCATAGACGATACAGCATGTCCCGGCAGAAAAAACAGCATTTTCATTACCGGGCATGCGCTGAACCGTGAACCTGTCCCTTTAATTCCTTTGAAATGTTAGATAATGGAATACCACTCTAGATGCCTGGAACAAAGATTGTTCTGTACTATTTCTACCATCCATTAACAAAAGCATTTATTTCGTAGATGGCTTCTGTAATCCAGGAGAAAAAACATCTTCCACTAAGGGGAGGTGTGTGCCATGTTTTTGTATGGGGCATTCTCAGGAATGCAGTAATTCACAGATGTACCGGAGCAGGGTGAGTAATGAACATTGTCACATTTCCACACTTTGAAAAGCGTGTAAAATCAAATTTTAGTTAAAAAAAAGTGTGGAGAAGCTTGAAAATACGATCGGAAAGTAAAGTTTTGGAGTTTATAATGCATTTTAGAAGATTGGAACGGAGTGACTTAGAGCATTTCCAGATAGAAACCTTCCCACCTTTGTGATAGTGGAAAAGAAATCGATAACCGGACACAAATGAATGCCAGTCAGTTAGACTGTTGCAGATCTTAGCTTGGTCACGATATGCACGCCTATTCCTGAAAGGTTATGTTCAATTGCTCATGTTCGGGCCCGAACCCTGGTCGGTAAATCGTTTCGACCCCTTTGAGACTGGACTTGTAATGTGATGTCCCTGTCCTGGACATGAAATCTTATTGTTTTAGTATTATGAGGTGTCATAACATGTGCTTTTCGCTCTTAAAGAAAATTGTAGTTAGAAGTCTGTAAGATGTGTTCACGATGGAACTCTAACGTTATTGTCATTGCTGTCAGGAAAAGAATTTGTTTTGGAGTCCAAGCAGAACAGATTACAAATTAAACTTTCGTTTTCAAGCTTCTTAACTACGTTAAACCATAGTGACAATAAATGGAAATCCGTTTCGTTTTGAATTCCTTCTTGAAACAATTAGTAAGAGTACAAGAAGTCTGTGAACTTTACCACGGGATTCATGTTTAGTATCATTTTTCCCTTTCTCCACTGACCTTGCAGAGAGCTGGTAGATGCTCATTTTTTCTTCAAAGTTTGGGCGAGCGGCGAGTCGCTAAATCGAGACGAGCAAAGTGACCGTCGCGCGTGTGGTCATTTACTGTCGCGCTAAGAGCGCTTGCCAAAAGTCAGAAATGATCTGAGTATGGCGAGTCGTTTTGAAAATAAGACACTCTTTATAAGAGTTTTTGTTAGAAATCCATCACTTCCGTGCATATATTTTAGGAAACATGGCGTGACATAGCAGGGCGGTAATTTTAACGACTAGACCGGTCTGGCCAGCGCGTTCTTGCTAATGTGAGCCCTCTAAGATAAATGGTAGATATACTAGTAGTCTCCTTACCCTGCGGGTCTTATTTCAGATGAATCTGGAAATAAGGAATTTCACCGATGGACCAATCATCCGTCTAGTAGTTGTCGATGGGGAGAAAGTGTCTGGCATAACTTACACTACAGAGAAAATTAACAATGAGGTAGTGGCTCATAACATTTCCAAGCAGATGCAATATTACTGGGCTCTACCGAAAGCGTTTTTAGGGAACAAGGTAAAGATCTCGTAGTCATAGCTTCTACATTGCTACGGGGAAAGGTTCACGGTTCAGGGCATGCTCATTTACCAAAATGCTGTTTTTCTGCCGGGACATGCTGTACCGTCTATGCAAGCAGTATGATCATGTCATAGTGTTGTCAAAGAACCAATCTGCACAATCTCCTGGCAGTTTCTTGCACATCATCAACTTAAATATTTGCAAATAGCTGTAAATTAATCAATCATGGAATAAAACCTTCGGGTCAACAATAAATTTAACGTAGTTAGTGTTGGCATAATCCACTAATTTTCTCTGCTATTTTGGTACTCCTCCATCTTACTTCAGGTTACTCTGAAATACAATTCTACTCTGAAATATATTCTGAGATCGCTGAGATACATATGAATAAGATTATTAACCGATAGAATTAATAAAAAATTGGAAAAAGGTAATTTAATTAATGAGCATCCGCTTAACCGTGAACCTGTCCCTTTAAGGTCCTCTCAATCATAGCTGAACCAAAAATAAGAATAAGCTTCTTCCATGGTCGAATTGTCCGTTTATAAGTTTGAGGAGAGTGTTTTTGTAGCTGCAGAGAACTGTTGTATAGGATTCATTCAACTTGTAGGATTGCAGTTTAATTTCATTAGCATAAAAAATGTTGAATTAGTCTTTCTATTTAATTTCCCAAGTTTTTTGTTTTATCTTTCAATCCCAGATAAAAAGTTATGGTGGAAAGCTTCGTTTCACTGTCAAGCACAGTCCAAAATCTCTGCCTAAACATGAACGAGTTGTGAGGGAAATAATTTCCTTCGAGAACTTTGAAGCAGACTTCCTTATTGACAGGAAGGGGAGCGAAGACACAATCGATGGATCTGGAATAGAGGACGTCACCACTCCAAAAGCATCCACAACAAGATCTGATACGACTTACCCTGTAACAGATATAGCGACTGAAGAAGATGAAACAATCACGTCTGTTACCTCTCAAGCCTACAACACTGAGAGTGCTACAACAGTAGCATACACATCAGGACCTGACACGACCTACCCTGTAACAGTTGTAACTACAGAAGAAGATAAAACAACCACGTCTGTCCCCTCTTCAGCATACAGCCTAGAGAGTACTGTCCCAGAGGCATCCACAGCAGGACCAGATACCACTTATCCTATAACGGATATGGGTACCGAGGAAGATAAAACACCCACGTCTGTTTCTTTTTCCGATAGTACTAACAGTACCATCCAGGAAGCATCGATAACGGTACCAGATACGACCTACCCTGTAACAGATGTAGTGATTGAGGAAGATGAAACAACCGCGTCTGTTCCATCTTCAACATACAGTACTGAGGGTACTACCACAGAGGCAACCACAACAGGATCAAGTACAACTTATAGCGCAACAGATGTAGCTACCGAGGAAGACGCAACAAGTACATCTGCTCCTTCTTCAGAATACGGTACTGAAAGCACCACCCTAGACGCATCCACAGCAGGACCTGAAACGACTTACCCTGTAACAGATGTAGCTCCTGAGGAAGATAAAACAACCGCGTCTGTTCCCTCTTCAGCATACACTTCTGAGAGCACTGCCCCAGAAGCATCCACCACAGGATCTGATACGACTTACCCTGTCACAGATATAGCTACTGAGCAAGGTGGAACAATCGCGTCTGTTCCGCCTTCAGCCTACAGTACTCAGGGTAATGCCCCAGAAGCATCCACTGCAGGACCAGATACGACGTATCCCGTGACAGATATAGCTACCGAGGAAGATGAAACAACCACGTCTGCTCCATCTTCAGCATACAGTACTGAGGGTAATGCCCCAGAGGCAGCCACAACAGTATCAAATACGACTTATCCTGTAACACATGTGGTGACCAAGGAAGATGAAACAACCACGTCTGTTCCATCTTCAGCATACAGTACTGAGAGTACCATCCCAGAAGCGCCCAGAACAGGACCAGATACGACTGAACCTGTGACAGATATGGTGACCGAGGAAGATGAAACAACCCCGTCCGTTCCCTCTTCAGTATATACCACTGAGAGCATTACCCCAGACTTATCCACGACAGCAGAAGATACGACTTTACCAGTTACAGATATAACTACCGAGGGAGAAGATGGCACAACCACGTCTGCGCCTTCTCCTGTTTATAATACTTACAGTGCTTCTAAAGAGGTGCTTACCGAGAAAGAAGGTGAACCAACGACTCTCTTGCCCTCGTCTGCCTACAATACTTACATCACTACTTCAGAAATATCTTCATCAATAACCGACACGACTTTTCCTGTAAAAGATGCAACTACTGAGGGTAAAGAGAGTGAAGCCACTTCCGTGCTTTCTTTAGCTTACAGTATTGACCAGGCTACTTCAGAAGTATCCACCGCAATGCCAGATATTACTGACCCTGCAACAGATGCAACTACTCAGGGAGAGGATGAAACAACCACGTCAGCACCTTTGTCAGCTTACACTTCTGATAGTAGCACTAAGCAAGCGCACACAACGGTATCAGACTCGACCTACCCTGTAACAGATGCAGCTACTGAAGGAGAAGATGTAAAAACCACGTCTGCACCTTTGTCAGCTTACACTGCTGGTAGTTCTCTTAACAAAGCATCGACAGCGGTACCAGATATGACATACCCTCTAACAGATGCAGCTACCGAGGGAGACAAAGAAGTCACGACTGTGCCTTCTTCAGCTTATGGTACCGACAGTACTACTACGGAGGTATCCACAGCAGTACCAGATACCACCACCTCTCTGCCTCCATCGGTCTCCAGAGCTGAAACAACAGCCACTGAAACATCCTCAACTGTATTAGGTTCTTCCACCACAGAGGCACATAGATACACGGATGACCAGAAGGAAAGGTCGGCTGCCATACCTTCCACATTGTATGGTACTGACGACCTCTCTACTCCTTCAGTAACCAAGCGATCAGGTACGCCCGTTATAGATGCATCCAGCGACGCTCCTTATGAAACGACATTTTGGCCAACCTCTATCCAAACGACGGAAAGGCCTTCTACCGAAGCTTCTGTCACTCCAGTCAGTAAAATTACAGACGCCGTTCTAATGGTGGTATGTATTTTTTTCAGTTAAGTTGATACTTTTTGTTTTATCCTCCGCTTCATCAGGGACCCTTTCTCAAAAGTCCTGCTAATTTTTCAGGCCAAAAGACAAATTTACCCCACCGGGTAATTACCGGCGCATTTGAGAAACGGGCCCCTGATAATCAAAGCTCTTTTCTCCCACGTCTTAGCTGTGACTCCACTTTTTGCCTTCTTTTATAATAGTAATTTTGATTACACAGGGCAAGGACGCTACCTTGGTTTTCCATCACGAGTTACGGTCGGACAGTGACAACTCCCAAGTAACAATGGAGGTCTCTATTACTGAGGTAGCCTAATCTATGATTAATCTAAACATGGTAAACCTACTGTAACCTATGTTCACACTTGGTAACTAAGCACTAGTTCTTAGTTATCGGCACAAAATGGTGTGGTCTTCACTGGGAGAACTTGAGTGCCTAATATTCAACTCATATTGTCAGACGCCAGTTTGAAGCGTGAATGTGTCATGATATGCAAAGCATTGGATTGCCTCAGAAACGTGTGCACACAGGGTAACCAGGAAAAGTACCGTACTCGGGCACCGTGCTCCGGCAACAAGTGTGATCACAGCCTTAATAAATAATGGATAATTTACCGTGTAAGCTGCTTAGCTGCCTAGCCTTATCTAACTCAATGACAATGACGATAATATGTAAATGACACTAGCAACTGGCAAGTCAATTGTTGCTTTTTCAAGTTTTGCATAACGTTTTTTAGAAAAGCTTCTCAGGGCACGAAGAAAAGTTCCACCCAGTAGTCTGGGACTAGTAATTTTTCTTGCTGAGCAAGTAACTTTTCAACCTTACTTGCCCAATGGACAAGGGTCCACGCGAGTCATCCTGTAACAAAATCATTAGTAAGCTTTTGCAACAGGACGGGAGAGGAAAGAAGACGGAAAACCTTGTGTGACAATCGTGACAATAATTTTGTTCGAAAAACGTTTTTGCCGAGCTTCAGCCTCCTTTTAACAGGCCCTTATGTGAAAGACCAGAAAACATCAACGTGAGGGAAGATCACCACAAAATACATAAGTAATAGGCCTGTCACGTTTGTCACACACAAGCGTTTTGCCGTCCTCTTCTTTCTGCCGTCCTGTTGCATAAACGCATTATTAACTGAGACCAGAAGTTGCCCTGGGCAAGCAAATTGTTAGAGATGCTTGCCCAAGGGACAAGCAAGAATTCAATTTTCTTAGACTTGAAAACCTACTGGGTCTTTCAGAATTTCCTATATATGTCTGCAGTTTATTTTAACTTGTATTCATGAATAATCCAGCGAATTCTTATTCTTTAAAAATGACTTTTTGCAGTTTTACGTTTGATTGTGTGACCTTTCAGGTCAAATGGCGTTTACCGAATGGCGTGGAAACGTCCAGGCACACTTTCATGAGAGTTTTGTCAGATATACAGGCTATCTATATCAGAGCGTCATATGGTGGCGATGCATCGAATCTGGAGTCTCTGAGGTGATTATACTTTGCTCCACCTGTCTTTGCGTTAGTAACTCTGTTTGAAAGTTTAATTGACCTTTGGTTTTGTTCTCTTTAGCATCAAAGACCTTTCCCTTGACGTGTCTAGCCAACACGATGCAGGGTTTGGGAAAGCCTTGTTGGTAGAACAATGTGATTGCCCTGTTGGATACAGTGGACTGTCGTGTGAGGTAATATAACAATGAAGCAAGTGTTTGTCGCACATAAGTAGTACGCTTATGGCAGCTTACAAAAGTGTTTTCTTGTGATATTTAGCTGAATTTTTCATGTCTCTATTAAAGCACGTGAAATACAGTTTGAAGACTTCAAAGATTTTGGAAAGCAATCAAAATTAAAGTTCTGGCCGACCTTTCTTTTCCACCGGTCCGATTTCTCACATGAATCTTTTTACACGAGGAGTTGTGTTGGAGGCATTTTATCTAGCTCTGGATGAACACCAGAAACACGTACGTTCAAGCTGCTTTTTTTTTTTTTTACGAAGTCCTGAAAATGACATGGTGGTATCTGTAGCATTTGGAGTGGAAGCGAAGACTGACAAGTTCTTGACACTACTATACCAGCCTAGAGTCTTCTCAAAACGATATTTTAAGGCTAAATTAGATAGAGTTACACTTTCTGACCTAACGGCGAAAAAGAAGAAAAACACCTTTTCAATCGTTCAATCTCAGATTTCGAGAGAGGATTGATGATTTGCTTGGTTTTGGCTGACCTCATGCTGCTCTTTGTTTCAGTCAATGTAATTCGTAACATAAGCCCTTTTTCCTCTCTAAACAGTCCTGCAAACCGGGTTATTACAAATCTCGTGTTGATCCCGACACCGGTGTCAACTGTGTCAAGTGTGACTGTGAGGGTTATTCAAATGAAAGTTGTCATCCCGAAAGTGGGAAGTGTAACAGCAAGGTAAGTGGTTACACTCCTGACACGTAAACCAGTAGCTTCTGTTGAGCCTCTAGTCAATACCAAGTGAGATGTGATGGGAAGTAAGGAAAGCAAAGGTGTGAGACACACTTCTTTCCTCTTTCCATTTCACCCTTTGAGCCGGTAGAGACAACTGAGAACGAATTAGGTCCCACTCTTAGCAAACGGTCGATTGGAAAATCGGGATTTGGATTTTTGAAATCTAATCCAGCTTTGCCAAACAAATTCAAAATTCATGGCATATTCTGACAAATAGAAATCCTGCGGTGTGGCTTTCAATTAATATATTTACTGATTCACGAAATTTGTTTTTTGGATTTTACGTTTGATTGGGATTTCAGTAAAATCGGAATTTCAATTTTCTAATCGAACGCCCCCTGAATGTTTTGTTCATAAAACCATATTTCAAATACGAACATGTGACCAAATTGGAGGTTTTGCAACCAGAATATCCATCCCACGATTTTTCATTCTTCGCGGCCCTTTAGGTTTTCTATATACGTGTTGAAATGAAATTCCTTACCAGCCTTTTCACAACCAGGCAGAACACACCACTGTTAAGTTGTACTATAGCTGTGTACGGTTACAACCTAACTTTGACAAACAGGAGATCTGTAACATGTGCATTTCCCTTAAGTTCCTCTACAGTTTCTAGCACTTACCGGTATATTGTCGTTTCAGTCAATTTTGTGAAGCGTTAAAGTGATCAACTTAACTTACCGTAAGCAAAAGCTAACTTCTTTAATGAGCTTACTCGTTGTTTGCACTTTTCTTTTGACAGTCTTGCAGACCAGGTTATTATAAATCAAGGTTTGATGCCGACAGTGGCAAGTGTGTTAAGTGTAACTGTCATGATCATTCAGATGAATTCTGCGATCCAGAAACTGGACAGTGCAAGGTCAGCGGTTCCACCCCTTATGAGCAATTCTCTTGTGTCTGTATGATTTTATTATTATTTTTTTTGTTGATGCTACTGAAGTTGATCTCCATAGAAGTTTTTTTTCTTATTATTTGTTACCAGAATTGCCTACACAACACCACAGGTTTTCACTGTGAGAAGTGCCTGGAGGGTTTTTATGGAAACGCTACAATCGGAGGACCAACAAACTGTAAAGAATGTCCATGCCCCATGACTTCACCACCAAACAGGTCAGTAAATACTCTACAGTGGAATCATAAAAATTGCGAAGCCTCTGGGGAAAATTAGATCGGTTCGAAACTTTGAGCGGGCTAGAATAATTGAGCGGGCGGGTGGTGAATTTTAGGATGGTTGTTAAAATTGGGACTTCGAAATATCGAAATTCCACTATACCAGTTTCCATCAACTGTTATTGAGATTGGACCTCATGCGTGTAGAGGAAATGGGTTGTGAAGAACTCAAATGTACATATATGTATGGGTTTCCATATGCGGGTTCAGGGGTTTGTTGTTTCTCTCCCTTTGCTCCAAGAGGTTTTTCTCTGGGTATTCCGGTTTCCCATCTTTTAAAAAAAAAATTCTCAAATCCTGATTCGTTACGGAACGCACATAATTATGTAGATGTTGTAGTTAATTTTTTATTTCAGTTAATTTTTGTTTTTCCATTGTTTTGGGGTAATGTATGCTTTTGAAATTTTTCCAATCTTAAGAACTTTTAAGTGTTTCGTGGCTGAAAAAAATTACAATACAAATTACACTTACAAAATGAAGCAAGTCAATGTACATATTATCCATTATTTAAATTATTTCTACTTCCAATGACTATTTTGTCATTCCTACATGTATCATCGATAAGTATTATTAATTAACGAACAAATCATCTGTTCTATGCTCGCTCATGTTCTATGAATGCCCGGATCCATTTAATTCTTAGTTTGTTTGTTTGTTGTTGTTTGCTTGTTGTTTGTCGTTATTGTTGGTATTTTGTTTTTATTTTCGTTTTCCATTAGTAGTAATTCTGGGCACAAGTGCCCAGCATTGCTACTTCCATTTTTTTGTACTGTTTAAAAACGAACAGGAGTGTATTATCCTAATAATACACGACTGACAGGTTTTTGAACGGTTTTAAAATCTCTGATATAAATCAACTCATTCTTGCACTAGTATTAAGATTTGAGGTTGTTTTGGTCTTAAAAATCGGACGTAAAGTTTAGCTATGTCTTTATCAGATGTAAAGACACTCATCAAACATTAAATTCTCTCTTTTTTTTCTTAATGAAATTGTTAATGAGTTTTTGAAGTTCCATTTAGAGATGCCTACCTTCCTTCACCAGCCCTCAACATCCCTCCTTTGCCATCATCATCGTCGATAATGATTGTCTTGGTACCAGCCCTCACAATCATTTTGCGTGACCGTTGACTTCAGCATCAGTATCATCATCACTCCTTTATTCATCTTTAACCATTCTTCATGAAGTAGAGTCCCGAGTTTTTCACCAAAAACCGAGCGTTCATAATCGGGACTGTAAGTTGTAACAACCAGTTTTTATTCATTTATTTCAAGCCAATCTATGTGTTTATTTTTTGTCAGGTTTAGTCCCACTTGTTTTATGGCAGATGATGGCCTGCCGACATGTGACGCATGCGCTCCGGGTTATGGCGGTAGAAGATGTAACAGGCAAGTTCCTATGCAGTCAATAGTTACCGTTCAATTGTCGTCATTTTCAATTAAAGATCCCTTCAAGTCAACGATTTATTTTTACTTTTTAAACTGATCGTTCCACTTATTTCTCTCAGGTGTGTCAAGCCTTACTTTGGCAATCCTACTGAGCCGGGAGGGACGTGCAAGCGTGGTAATTGTTTAATTATGGAGATTTAGAGTCAGTTCTGCTAAACGGCGCGGCAAACGTGAATTTGTACCACGTGTTTAAGTTTACTCCTACACAAAAAGTAGTAGACTCACGCCAGTTCCATCCAAAAGAATAATTTCGGGTTGTTTTTATCTGCTAATTTTCTGTTATGGGGAATTCTCAACTTGAATCCGACGTTTGTCGTTTGCCGTGACTAAAGCGACTCTTTAAGTGTCTCAATACAGTTTTTCGGAGACCTTATACCGATATTTTTCAATGGGCTTGAAATTGATTTTATCCTTGTCCAATCACTATGAAATTTTCACTACTGACTGACTTTGGATTGAAGTTTGTTAAAATAGGGTTTTAAGTAAAATCTATATCACGATGAAAACAATTTTCAAAAAAATTTGAAATCGATAGAAACCGAATTTTGCGCCATCAAAAACTTCTACTGAAAACCCGACACCAGAAGTTAAAGGGACAATTAGAATACGTGTATATCGCAAAATAATGTCTTTTACCATCTATAAAAAGTAAAACTTGTTACAAACGTCCATACAACTGCTTCCACTATTTTTTTCATGTTTTGTTTCTTTATAGAAGTTGATTGCAAATGCGATGCTCGTGGCAGTGTTAACAGCACATGTGATCCTGAGACGATGCAGTGTTTTTGTAAGGTACGCAGCGGCACTCGGTCTTTCCTTTATGTACGATGCTTTCCTATTCGCTAACCAGTTAAACCTGTTTGGTGGTACTACTTATTTTTAGCATTTAACAAAGTGAAATGTAGAACTTCACTACAAGACATTCGCTAAAAAACAACACAACATAATATACAGAAGACCTTTAAAAACATCGCTTTTTTACAATGTACTGCCTGTAATTTGTTCGACGTTTCAAATAAACAAAAATATTTTGTTTCTCTTCCATAAACTCAAATTACAACGTCAGTCAACACTATCCACCCGGCTTATACCTGTCTTTTCACGGTAGTTCACTGGTCCCGATTCTTTAATTAAACAGTAAAGAAATAAGATAACTGCCTTCTGTTATTTTATGAAGGAGGTAAAATGACAGTTTTGGCACCAAGAATATTTCCCAAGATTTCTGCCTTGAACTTAAACGGAATTTACCATACTCAGGAGCTATGAAACCTGCTGAGAAGTGAACACGGGTCTGTTTGTATTGAAAGTTATCCTGAAGCATATTCCTCACGGCAAAAAATTAAAGGCATCTAATACAATTTTTCAACGAATTTGTGTGGCCTACGATTGATGTCTCCCTTTCTGGTTAGCTCAGTGTCGGAGGCGAGAATAGTAATTATTAACTTCAGGAACAATAGTTATTGAGTTTTTCTGTAGAGGTGTACACTTTAAATAGCGTTTTCTAGTTAAGGAGTCGATCATTGCAGAACTTAAGATTCGATTTATTACCGTATTTATTGAACATGTCAAGAGAGTATCTGGCTACTGAAACTGTCTTATAATAAACTGAAAATCGGAGACAGTAGGGCCATTTATACGAGGAAAAATAAGACGCGTCTTACGTAAGACGCGTCTTAAATAAGACGCGAACTGTACCATTTATACCAGCATGTCTTATCTAAGACGAGAACAGCTCGTATAAATGGTTCACGTCTTATTTATGTTCTTGACTCGTTTTCATGTGATTGTTGCCCGTAGCAACGTCAATCCAACGTGGCGCGCCAAAAATTAACGCATGCGTACTATGGGTTCGCGTCTTATTTAAGACGCGTCCTATGTAAGACGCGTCTTATTTTTCCTCGTATAAATGGCCCTAGTGAGATCTAGAGATGGTGTTCATTTCTGCAGTTTTGTTAAGGGAGGGCGTGGCAGGTGCCTAACAGAGACGGCCGAGAAGATCTGTTTTATAGACCTTAGCCACCTGGAGAAAGGCCTTAGTAGGCACTTTAAGAGAAAAACACTTTTTCTTTCTCATAAATACAATTCGGTGTTGCATTATAACACTTTTTGGACTGGACTACTGTTATAAAAACGTATCTTTTATTATGTGCGTATAATTATATCTTGGTATTCATCCCCGGTTCAACCATCCTCGGTTTTCGTGCGACATTACTATTGGCTTATTCGTTTTTGGCACTGCATTACGGAAGTTGTTAGCTGACACTTGAACGCCGGTGAAAGGTTATTACAGACCTGAGAGAGAGATAACACCAAGGGTACTCACTTTAAAAATACTTTATTCTAAGAAACACAACTCATCATACACACGCAAATCAATACTTTGTAAATGTTATTCACATCTCGCAAAGTTCGCTTTTTCCACTGCTGTTATATAAGGAAAACAGTGCGCTAACTTCAAACGCTCCTCTCAAACAAAGCAGAAACTGCGATAGAATGCACGCCCCAGAATGCGGAATGTCCATTACATTGGTAACCACCAAATGTCCCTTATCTACGTAACAACTGCTTCGTGATAAATTGACTTCCTATTTATTTTTTGATTTACCTTCTAATGGTTACTATTTCTACTTATCATATCTGCAAAACTGTACTCGATTTTGCATAGCGCAAATTCTGCAAATTGGGCTTGACTATTTTGTTTTGTATGTACAAGAAGAATTGTTATTTGAAATAGGGCGCTTTTCAGTTTCTTTCTAAGATAGATAAACAAAGATTGTTTGTAACCTAAACAACGCTTCATTTTGATTTGAAAGTTCGTGAAAAGTGTCAGTTTTTGAGGCAGATAATTTCATTCGAAAACATGTTATCTGCGATAAGATCTGGTTCAGAGAACTTCCTCGGAAGATTCAACAGCTACGGGTATTTACCGCCAGCATACTGTCGCTTCACCTTGAAACTTTTTTACAGTGCACTTTGCGTGCGCTTGTTTTTCTTGCCTTCGGAACATTTTCGTTGAGTAAATAAGTGAAGAAAGCTTTGCTGGTGTTGGCGTATTCGGAGTTTATAAATACTTATGTTAAAACGACAAGGCTGTTAGGCTATTAATAACCTCTGCTTCGTTCGTTGACATACAGATTTGCAAAGTTAGTTAACTTCGCAACAACATGTGTAACACGCTGTTTATAAAAATGAACACATTTCATGCGCTTTTCGCATTAGTTTCGTAACCTTCAGTGGAGTTCCATCGTACTGACAGCTTATTTCAACTCCATTCTCGACTGAGGTCTGATTTTTTGGCGCCCTGCCGTGTAAAAGAGGTGCTAAGAAGTTGAAACGGTAACCGGATCACTAGTTATCTTTCGCGACTTTTATCATTGAGGGTCAAAACTCAGTCAAAACCGAGGAACACTGGATTGAGTTTCACTTAACACTCTTCTAAGTTGTAATGCTCTTCGATGACGGAGAGATTGGAGAAGATCGCAGTTGATCAAAAGATTCCTGTAGAAAGAGAAGTCCCATAGGAGTAAATTCTCCCAGAAGCGATACGGAGTTCGGCTGATTTTAATCTTGAATGTCATTTATGCGGAGGGCCTCCTTGAACAGTTCAAGTCAAAGCTACTCTTCGGTTCTGATCTACAATGAATACCCATTCCCTGCTTCTTGCAATCACTCTTCTACCTTTGACAATAGTACTTCTACTCGAGGTAAGTCAAATCATCTCAAAACGGATTCGATTTAACTACGCCTAGAGCAATTTCTCTGCAGATAGGCATTTTATAGATTCCAGTTTTGATTTGTTACTAGATAGACTGTTGTTTTAACTTCTATCTTGTGTAAGACTCCTCGTTTGCAAGGTTTTCAAACCCTCGAGTGGCTTTTCTAGATCGCATTGCTCGTAATACAGAGTAAAACAGGAATTATACACAATAAGTGTTTGGCTTGAGACTTATCGAGTAAGTTTTCCTTCGTAAGTAAGGAGATTAGCTGCGATCAATGCCACCCAAAATCTGGCGTAATCCTTCAAACAGATGCAATTTAGTTCTCGATTGTTGATAGCAAGTTTCCAACAAATATTTCCATCACTTTTGCAGAGTTTATGTATATACACTTGCTGTGTTTTAAATGCCCCCTCTGTGTGATTCACTTTTGTTGTTATTTACGCCGCGAAAATATGCATTTTCCATCCTAAATGACCTTTCACCCTATTATGCAAAGATTGATCTCTCTGTAGTGTGTTTTCTTTGTAATTCAAGCGACCTCTTCCAAATTGGAGTGTCTGACTCTGCTTTTATCATAACTTACCTTGGTTTAAAGACACTTTTTGCGGACATTTTAAAGTCAATTTCGAAGAAAATTTAAAATGATACATGCTACAGCGAACAAAAACTGACGAGCAAAAACGACGGAAAAAGCAGTTGGCTTTTTTTGAGTCTCGTTAACAATGGAAATTGGAAATGCAAGGGTTATCGTAAACCTGACTCATCCTTTACAAACACACAACCTGTTCCAACTTAATTTGCGATACTGAGCAATTTGAGTGATACTTAACTGTCATTGACGTAATTATCTATAGTACAGTTGCTTTGTGAATGTATTAGAAGAAAATAATTGTCGGCTTTGCGCTTAAAAACGTGAGCTTATCAAACCACCCGGCATGCCGGAAATCAAGGATATATTACTATTCTGTGATTGTTAGGAGAGTTAGATTTTATATCACTAACAGCTTTAATTTTGATTGAATCGCTTATTTCATGCCTTGTTCCTGAGACCGTACCACGATTTATTGTATAAGGGATAGATTTAAGATTTCAACTCAAATAATCATAGTATTTTATATAAATAGTAGGGGAAAATCCCACCATATTTGCCTTAAAGTCCAATAATTCCTCACTTTTCAAAGGTGATAAAACGACTTTGAGGGTTTGTAATCGTGGATAGTTCTTCTTGTTGCTGATTGATATGAAGAAGTCTGTTCGACACTAAAAGAGAGCATGAGATAGAACTGAAGCAGACTGTAATTTTCTTTGACGACTTTTTCGTAATCAATTCAATATAATCGTTTTTATTAGGTTAATTCTTCACTTGTGGTAGTTTTAGCCAAAGTCAATTCATTTGAGTTGGAAAATCGGTTTAAATTACATGAGACAGCTTTAGACATTAAACTAGACTGACTGAAATTTTTGCGAAAGAAAAGTACATTTATAAAACTGGAAATTCTTTTAATTTACGGTTTATTTGCTGTTTCTGCAACGTAAACAATATCTGCGACGTGTAAAATCGCGAAAAAAAAAAATCTTTTTCAGTGGAGAAAGAAACAAAGAAAATATTGATGGTGTCGATCCGTTCCAACTGTGCCCGGGGGGGACCTTGCATATGAAAGGGGTGGGGATGCTCGTCGGAAATTTTGAATTAAACCCCTAAAGGAGACCGATCTGTGCGTGGGCCAAACTTTTTTGAAACCTAAAAGAGACCATATTAAAACACAGACAAATGAGAAAACTTGGATTATATGAATGGAGTAAATAAAATGAATTAAAAATATACATATCAAATATATTTTTATATTTTTTCGCGTGACCTTCACGGCTAAATATGATGGCGTTTTGCCCAGAACACCCTAAGTGAGACCAAAATGCGAAATTTACACCCCTAAGCGAGACGACGAGCATCCCAGCCCCTTTCATATACGGAGTCCCCCCCGGGCAACAGTGATCCTTGAGCTGTGATAGTGTTTAGAGCTAAGTTGGCTACCTCAAGCTCAATATAGGGGAAAAAGCTAAAAGACTTGTTGCGAATAATTTCCTTTAATCCTCAATTTGTAATTACTGCTACTGTTAAGTACCAAATTTCACTATGGCTGACGATCTTATCAAACAGTGAAATTTAAAACTTGCACGTTAAAAATCTTTTCAAAACCCTTGTACTTTTTTTTCCTCACAGACTCTTGGTAAAAACAACAGTTCGTCTGTTAAAAAAAGGGTCTCAGCTGCTACTATTTAAGGGCAAAACCTCCCGTCTCTAAATTGTCAAAAGTTGATGAGACACTGATCACGACTCTTTTGTATTCAATTGCAATGTTCCAATAGCAATGCAATAGCAATAGCAATGTCCAATAGCAATATTTCCAATAGCAATAGCAATGTCCCATTCCAATGTTCGGGTATTTATAAAATTTATAAATTTTTTTGATTCTGAATTCTTCTGAGAGCAAACAATTTAAGAGTAAAATAATGCATAACCATTTTTTATATGTTGGTTCGAGGTCTTTAGTAATAAAGCTTTCTTTCTCTCATTTCTCTATAGAAACACGTGGAAGGCCAGCAATGCGACAAGTGTAAAGGATCATTCTTCAACTTGCAGTCAGATGAGCCTGAGGGCTGTATACCATGCTTTTGTTTTCAGCTGTCGAAAGATTGTAAATGCGCCGATTTTTACAAAGACATAGTAAGTCATAATACTTGTGAAAAAAAAAAATTGAAACGACTTCAAATCTCAAAACAAAATGCAGTCAATTATAGCCTTGTGGACCCCTCGCTATTACGGTCCCTTCAACCATCAGGGAGAGCAGCCAAATTCCCGACAAGAATCAATTGCAGACGTTTGACTGAAAGAAAGTTCTGTTACTATGGACTCTTGTTATTACGAGAACTTACTCACGGTCCCGGGAGTGTCCACAACCGGCGGAAGTAGTGTACATGCGCAGTGTCTATCGTCTGTATTTGTGTATTGAGCGGTCTGCTTTGATCTATTTTTCTTCTATTTTTGGTTCGTTTGTTATCATGTGTTTGTTTTCACATTCTGGCAAACACAAAGCCAAACTGAATTGTCGTAACATGTTACAGATGATGCATACTAGAAATTTTGTCACAAAAAATACCGGCAGTGGTAACGCAATTCGCTATTTACACCTCCACACAATACACCTTGTTTGACATCCCCCCCCCCTCCCTCAAAATGTGCATAAGTAGTGTATTCAATTTTTTTTGAAACGACTGAAATACCCAGGAGAAACGAAAAACAAAGCTATGCATTGTTGGGGGGAGGGGGGAGGGGGGAAGGAGGGCAAATAAGGTGTATAGTGGCAAACGAGGTGTATTGTTGGAAATGTGCAAATAAGTCAATTGCACGATGACGAACTTTAACTTCAACTGCCAGAATCCTTATTAAAGTTTCGCCACATCAGTGTTCCAAAACAGTGCAAAACGGTGGCCAGGTTGGTATTCCAAACCGGACTTGTGGGAGTTGAACCTCTTTCTCACATAAAAACTTTCTTTTTTGTTCCAACGAATTGGCAATTAAGCTGCTGGCCACATAAGTGACAACGCTCTATGACTATAAGAAAGCAAAAACGAAATGAATTCTGGAAGATGCAGTCAAATGTCGCCTTGAAAATGAACTATTGGTTTTCCTAACACCCATCTACTGCATAGCGATTTATCCGGTGGATACCTCTATGATCCTCCATCCAACTTTTGAAAACTGGGGCCAGATAGATAATCAAAGTGAAACTGCACCTCTTGTCGCATTTTCTTTAAAAATGCTTAGTATCTTGTCAGTATGAGGTTATAACATTAATGCTATCAAGTTTTCATAGCACCCACTTTCCTTTTTTATGTTTTAGATCCCTGTGCTCATCGCCATGATTAAAGGCCCCGACTACCTACGTCTCACAGACTTGTCACGTGATCCAATAATTAGTTCAGACATCGTGGTTCAGGGTGATCCGGCACATTATGTCTATGACAAGTTTGATAAGCTGCCTAAAGTCACGTATTATTGGTTCCTGGGGAAGGAGTTTAGAGGAGACATGGTAAGTCTTTATTCCCGCCTTGAACATTTAATAGTGACCAACATGCAGTTTCTCCATATAGGGACGAAGCTCAGTCAAACAACCAGGTTAGGAGAACAACAGGAAATATCAACAAGTAATACAGGTCGTGATTGCTAAGCGAATTTGCACGATACAAGAAAGCCAGGGGAAAAAAGGTGTGAGAGGCGAGGGTGACGCGCGAGAAGACGGAACCAGAGATTTTTTTCTCGGCTAGTGTGCTGTCCTAGTTATTTTTTTTTTCGCGCTACTATCACGCTAATTCGCGCTCGGCTGAAAAACAAGTGATATTCAGGCTGGAACTTTGGTGACCTCTCGGCTTAATAGGCCTCTGGTTGATTATAGGGCAAATCTAAGTGCGAGAGAGAGGGGAAAACGGAAGTGGAGAGGGCTGTAGCCTCCAGCCTTCCTCTACCTACCGCCTATTCTTGATCGTTCCAGGGAGCCTTTTTGCTGGCCAATGTGACCAATTTACCCATCCCCATCCCTTCCCTGCCTCCCCAAACGGTTTTGGGTATTTCTTTCTTTTAAGTAGGCAAGGTGTCGCGAAAAATGGAAGTAAAAACAAATAATGCCATTTATCTGAGACCTCGTTCATGGACCTTCTTTTTTTCCACAGATTACGAGCTATGATGGTATCTTGCGTTACACAGTTTCACATGAAATGGATCCGGGAGGCAAACTGACCTCAGAAACAGATGTTCAGTTGAGGGTAGGTTGTGTTTTTTACAATAACTAAGCGAATCCTCACGCGCTGATTGGTCGAGAGCTATGGTCTATGCGAGTATAGACCGTGAAAATGACGTAACATTTTCCGAGAAACTTCGCAGGAAACGAAAAATAAATGTTATTGTAAAAAACAAATCGACCACAATTTTCCATGGTCTACACTCTTTTAGACCATAGAAATTACGCCATAAAATGTTGAAACTTTGCAGTGAAACTTGAGTTTTGGACATTTTATGACGTCATTTCTATGGTCTATGAGAGTGTAAACCATTGTGAAATTGTGGTCGACTTGTTAAATACACTCCGTACCCCGAAATATACAAGAATTTTTTTGGCAACATTATTTCTTTAAGCATCCGCTTACTGGCTTTTCGGCTTTTGACAGCACATAGAGAACTGAACAGAAACACTTTCAGTTATGTAGCCTGCGAAACAGCAGACGCATTTCCGGTCGTCGCTTCTCTCCCTCCGAAACGACGACCGGAAATGCCACCATTTCGCATGGTATTTGATACTCTAGAGTAAGCCATCGAAAGCCTACGTTAAAGTGCGGACGCGGAAGCTAAAGCCAGAAATCTTCACCTAAAACGAATTTAATTTAACTGTAGGCCAAAGGAAGGCTAACCTGGACTGCGTGGTAACTCTTTGACATTTTCCACCTTTTTTTACTTGTCCTTCCATGACACCCTCGCGTTGCCTTTTGCTTACGTGTTTGTTGGTTTGTTTTTCATATCTTATAGGGGAGAGGAATTGTTCTGAACTTTAGCCATAGGAGACGTCTTGAAGGAGGAAAGAAAATTTTTTATGGCCTAAAATTCAACGAGGTAGTTTACATGTTACGAACTTGTGTCAACACAATGTCGTCTGCGAGCGGGAAATCACGCGTCTGTGGCGAATCATTCAAAAAGAGACGTGAGAGTTTTTTCTTCCTTGTTCCACTTGTCTCCACTCGCGGCTCTTACTGCTTGCCAATCGAATTGGAGGCCAGGGTTAGGGTTGATTTCCACTGCCGTGTAATTTTTGCGCGCGTAAATGAAAAAGAGGCAATGTATGAAAAGGCCACGCGTAAACGTAAAACTTTTACGTATACACGTGACCTTCCATACATTGTCTCTATTTTATTTACGCGCGTAAAATTTATGTGCGTTCGCACGTAAAAAGTACGCGACGGTTGAAATCCACCCTTACTCTAAGCCGGACGTCTGTCTGGTGGAAAAGAGTAACGTGGCCTCCGGGACGATTCTGTGTGCTTTTCTCTGTTTTCCGCTAGGCGTAGCCTGGATTGCGAGCGTTTTCGCGCTTTTTAACTGAAAGGAGGCTTAAAACGGTTCATTTGTTTGTGAACGTTAGAACGTGCGTAGGTTTTCTCTAACACCGACTGCTATTACACCAGGACTACCTGAGGTTCCCAAATCGTAGCCGTGTAACAAGAGAGGACGTAATGACTGCGCTGTCTTCTGTGGAGAGCATCTTAGTTCGAGCAACTTATAGCACCACCACAACACAAGCCAGGTTAGATTAAAACTAACTTATTGGACGTTCTTATACCGTTCGTGTAAAGGCTGTAATTAGCTTTGTTATTTATTTATTCATTTTTATTATTATATGCTGCATATTAATGTTATCATTTTGTCGTAAAAGAAAACACCGTTGCTTTACGGAATCGAATTTGTATAGTTGCATACAAGGACGGCTGGCATCCAACACCGTGCCTCAAGCAAGGGAGATAAAAAATTCTAGACCCCCGGCAAGATTGGAACCCATGGCCACCCAAAACCCCCTATTCAGTGAGCAACGCTAAGTTAATATTTTGGTCTCAAGAATCTCCAAATTTGTAACATTCATTTACCGAGCTTTGAATTTGCCATCTTTATTATTTCATAAAATTGCGTACTTCGAATAAAATCCCCTGTTAACTTTCGCCAACACGCCAAGCTACTATGCTGCACCAGGAAATAGTGAGCTGCTTGGACTCAGCTTTGCATGACATACTGCGCATGCCTCGCCAATATCTTAAGCTAAACGTTCCCCTTCCCTGATATATTCTGTAGTCTATATGACGTTAAGCTGGAAACAGCAGTGAAGCAAGAAACAAGATACGGAAAAGCCAAAAACATCGAGGAGTGCGCATGTCCTCCGGAATACACTGGTACATCTTGTCAGGTGTGTCTATGATAATTAACAGTTAATGAATGAGGCTGAGTATCTTTTGAAGAATTATGGAGATCGAGGAGGGTGTTATCCGTCGAGGCCGTAGGCCAAGGCGGATAACACCCTCCGAGATCTCCATAATTCTTCATATGATACGAAAGCCGAATTCAATAACTGTTTTATTATTCATTCAAAATAATTCCTAGTTTAAAAGCATAGCTAAAACATGCTTACCTCCATCGATCCATCGATGTTGAGTTCATCTTCGATAGTGTACGTTTAGGTTTGTCCAGGTCCGCAGATATTCTCCAAATAGCAGATGTCGCCCTTCGAGTTGTCTTCTTGCTGTTCTTGCTATGTTTTTAGCTATTTTTTCGCTTAGTTCTTACTCTTGAAACGAGTGAAATGTCCGCCATTTTTTCAAGTTCACAACCAAAACAACTCAACCTCGTCCCCAGGTCTTCTCGGTTAACGGTGCCTAACCTGCGAAAACGCTGCATTTTTGACGTCATTTCCTCGTTAAAGTAAAAATTCTTTCAAACTTGGTCATTAGTAACTGGTTATGGTGAACTAAACGTGTGCTTTTAGCCAATCAGAATCGGGGAAATATTTTGAATGAATAATAATGTAAATTAAAGGTCAATCACACATCGGCTTTCATTCGTTCGCCACACTTACGTATCACCGATCTATCATTTCATGCCTTATTAACTTCTTTGGTGGAAAGCCCTTTTTTGGTTTGGTCAGTGTTAATAAAGTGCAATGCAATGGATAAGAAGCCCCTTAGCCTACTTTGGCATTTTTATCTATTTATGGATTCATTCATTTTTATTTATTTATTGTTACTATTATTATTGCCCCCGCAGGGATTTCGCCCAGAGGCGAAATCCCGAGGAGGCACCCTAGTAACTCGCGCGTATATTAATGACAGTACTTACAGTTCAAATATACAGTCAGTATACTAGAAAAACTCTCGATTTGCTCGAACTGGGGCCGCGAGGAATCGGTAGGTAATAATGACGTTTCTATTGTTTGCGCCCGCAAGTACGAAATGGTTAGGATGACGTAAAGACAGAAAATCCCAAAGGGACCGCTCAGGTAGATTTTGTGACATTTATTGTGCGGTCATACTTCGACACTCTTTTGCTTTACACAGTGACATTCTGTGGAGCAGTTGTTTTGAAAGTTATGGACCAAAAGACACTCGTTAAGCGCAGGAGAGGTTATAAGGTGGCTGCGTTTAACTGTGTATATATAAACACTTGGAGAGTTTGCCAGACACGAGTTCACAAATCTTTGATTTATATTGGAAACCTTGCGAGACACTCTTTCTCTCTCTTTGATCGGAATAAGACTCAGCCCCAAACAAGCAAGACGAGTGAACAACGGCTAGCTTATCACTAGCAGATTGTTGGACATTTACAGAAATTCGCCGACAATCAAATTCTGTGCTGACTTATTCCCTGCTCACAGATGTCCTTCCGTTATAAGACTAGAATGCGCGAGCGTGAATCGGTCAAACGTCCTTTTAACTTCTAAGGCTTACTTTCCGGCAAATAAAATGAACTGAATGTAAAAAGGGAGAGAGAAATAGCGAAAATTAAACTTCTAATTAAATCTTTTCTTATGGTTTAGAATAAACTATTCTCGAAACTGAGAATGTTTTGATCAAAGCTGTGTAAATCGAGCTAAAACTGTGCATGGAACCTTGCGTTTCCTGTATTTATCTCACCTATTGTATGGAATATGTGTGAAAATCTTCATTATGAATCGATATATTCAAAGAGCTACACAGCCAGCAGGAATACTGTTGACCGACAATATACAGAACGGAGGCAGCTGTAGTGTCAACTATTTCTAGTTAGTATTTTTCTGGTTAGCTATATTTGTCTTCATCGTGCACAACTTTCAGCGACATTTCTATCATTATCAAGTGACTGAACCAACAGAAAAAAAAGGGACATTTTAAATTTATGGAGTCACAATTTGTGAACAAAAAGAGAGGATTATGCACAGTCAGAGAGTTCCCAACATAAATGGAGGCACCGTTGTTTTCATTTTGGTGTTCGTCAACTTTTATAAACAATCTCTTCTGCCAACTATCGATAGTGTTTGTTTACCAGTTTGAGACTGCATGTTGTAAATCTGATGGACATTTTCTTTTTAAGTGTCTGATTCACAAGGGTGTGAACAAAGAGGGGAAGAAATATATTCCTTGAGAACTTAACTATCACCTGGTAGAACGGGCGGAAGATTTGAAACTCTTCTGTCTGAATACAAGATATTTTTGAAACACTTTTTCCAAAGCTGCCTATACGCTAGCCTAACATCCACAATGAATAAAACTTGCAAAAAAAAAAGTCACATTGAGTCTAACACGACAGTGTATTAACCTAATCACGAGTGTGTTCATTCTGCAGCAATGTGCCCGTGGATATACGCGCTTGTACCCGGGTCCAGACTTCTCTCCTTGTGTACTGTGTTCCTGTAATGGGCATTCAAAGGAATGTCACCCTGAAAATGGCCAGTGCTTGGTGAGTATTTATATTTGCTCTCTTTGTTAACAATCCGCAAATCGCATTAAAAAAGAAATAATGTTGAAACCTTACCAAAACGTGTAAACTCATCCTAATCGACGTGGAGAAAAATCCAATATTATTGTTTTGCTGATCTTTTTAAATGAATGTTCAAAGGTATTGTATTTCTCACAAGCCATTTTGAAACAATAACAAAAAATGACGCCCCTACTCAGTAAAATAATCCAGTTTCGAGTTGGCTATCGCCTGTTGAATGACATAAGTGAAGGAGCATTTATTCTTTACAGGCGTAGCCTCCATCTGAAGTAAACATAAATTATAAGACGTTGTATGAGAAATATTCTTTGCTCACTTAATTGATAAAATGTGCATTGAATATCGCCTTGAAGCTCACCTTTAGCCTTTTCTTGTTTTTCTTTGTGTCTGAATACATTTCAGACCTCCTAGGCACTGTTTAATGCCTTTTTTTGAGCGACAGTTTTTCACCCAGACGACAGTATGGTCATTTTAATTTTTTTAAATTTTATTCTTAAAATCGTACTTGTAGAAATGTCTTTATCGTGTTTATAAAAACCTTGCACTCGCTTGTTTTATATGTAATAATATTGGTTATCTACATTCTTTTTGATAATTATGTATTTATTACTATTTCCTTGGTTGCGAATTCCAGGCTTGTGATCACAATACCGCAGGCGTCAAATGCGAGAAGTGTGCTGTTGGTTACTATGGCGACGCCACCAAAGGAACGTCTAAAGACTGTGAGCCGTGTCCGTGTCCTCTGATGACCCCATCCAATCAGTAAGTACCTCAGAGTTCCGGTTAGTTCCTGCCCACCCATGAGAGGCCCATGGGAGCTCTTTCTTGTCCAGTTTCAATTTTGTGTTTTATTAAAATACGGTAATTTATGAAAATGATTTTAAATCAAAGGAAAAAATTAACCCAAGGATAAAACCAAAGCACAATCTAAACGTTGCCTATTAAGATTCCGGCCTCAGATGTCCCGTTTTTTCTAAGCCTTGGGCTCCGAAGATGTTGGCTATTGCATCGAACACATCATCAAGCTACGCTATGAAGTCATTATGGAAACTCACACAAAGTAAACCACTCTTGTCTCACCTTATTTACTCTTAATTGAAGAGTGTGACCTGATTCTGATCAATGGTGCTGATGTAACTGTTTAACAGGTTCAGCCGAATTTGCAAGCTAGACACGGACGGCAGACCAACGTGTACCTCATGTCAACCTGGTTATACTGGCAGGAACTGTGAAAGGTATGTGGATAATTCTTCTGAGTCCCGTTCCTGAGAGATATTTCTTTCTTTCCTTTTTAATGTATTTTTTGGCTTGTTTGTTGTTGTTTTTTTTTTGCTGTTGCTGCCGTTGTTTGTTTGTTTTTTTTTTTACGTATTCGTTGTTTGTTTTTTTTAGTTTTCAACTTAGTCTAGAAGAGCTATTATTTGTTTATCCAGGACCGGGTTGTTCGAAGTTTGGTTCAGATATTCAAGCAGATATTCAGATATGAGAGCTTAAAAAGTACATTCAGTTTAATTCTTTTTGTCAACAAGTTGTTGATTGGATGCTCTTAAAAAATAGTTAAGGCATGGAAAACAAATTCTTGGAAAACAAATCAGGTCGAATTTTTTGCGTTCGACAAGTTTACAAATTCTTGCCAATAAATCTGGGTGCGTGCAAACCAATCTTTTATATATTTTTTTATACACCACATCTGAGGAGAAAGAGTACCATGAGGCGCTGTTTTTATCATAAAGACCTCGTACAAAATGCAGTATTTCGCAATTTTTCAAGACAAATTGAATTCATTCAATATTCAGGACCATCGAAGCAAGCGTGGACTTTTAATTAGCGAAACCGTTCAAAAAATTTACAAAATCATCTATACGGCCAGCCGGTTCTAACTTTTGACAAGCGCCAAATTTGCGAAGAAATTTTAAAAGAGTTACGCTTCAACGTGATAAAGAATTTACTGAGTCTATTTTTTATTAATGGTTTTATAACGATGTGTAATCTTAAAAAGCGTTTGATACGCTCGGCATTTTGAGTACTCCTGCAAGCGATGTTTTTGAACGGCTGAAAACAAAGGGCAAAGCGATGAAAATTACACTTTTGAGACTACCAACAATCAATAAAGAAATATAATTCGGTAGAACATTTAGAGACAACAATTTTCATTCACGAAAACAAATGAGTATTTAAGTGTCTCTAAGAATCCTCAAGTCTTTACGAGTAAGATTAAAGATTAAGTTTATGTTTTAAGCCGCCGGTTTCCCGGTGTTTGCTGTTTTCAAAGATGAACTCACGACAAGAAAATCGCTCAAAGCTTTCTTTCTACAGCCAAAATTATAACTAAATATTCTTCGGAAAGTCTTTTCTTTCGATTTACGGTGAAAGGCTTTTTAAAGTTCTGTAAGCTTAAGCTTATATCAAACCTCATACTAGGTCAGATCAGTGTCTCAGTCAAATCTTAATACAAACGTGCATAAACCAGCTTCATAAACTGCGCCGCTGGACTTCATGAAATTATATTTAAATACAATAATTACTCAGGCTTACCATAATTCGAGATGCAGCTCCTGAAAGCTATCAAGTAAGGCAAGGATCGCTTGAGCCTTTATAATTCTCGTACGCATCCAGCAAGGTGAAAAACAAAAACGATGCCATCCAAAATCGGATTAGCGGCTTTGACAAGCGACGCATTTCTCAACCAAAAACCCAATAAACAAGCCGGCCATGAATAAGAGAACACTCTTGATAGCAGCTGTATTTCATTTTGTATATCCAGTGGAAAAAGACAGTTAAAAACATCACAAGTTAACTCAAACTCTGTCAGCTTCAGCGGTCAAAGTAAACAACTTTCAAGATGCTGCATAAATTTTATGCATGAACTCACCTGTCAAATTTTAACCAATCAGAGCATAAAAGTTGGACGTGGAGCGTGATCAACACGTGACCATGGTAAGAAAAGGTCTTCCCCGCCTGTATTTTAAAAAAACTAGCTGAATTTTTGCGTCTGAGGTCAGTTTGAAATCAAAATCGTAATAGTGCGGGACGATACCGACATAAACACAACATATTTGATATGAATTTAAAAAAAAGTAAACGTGAGCCTGCGATCATTTGAAAACGAGTAAATTGTCAGCGGATAACTTCAAAAAACACTCGACCTTGATGGGTCGACACCTGAGCCCGCGACACGGTCAGGTGATACTGGTCAGCGGATACCCTGTTTTGACAGCTGTCAATTGATGACCACATTGATGTGCAGTCAGCTTTCTCCTGGGCTCCCAACGTAACTAGAAAGCGTGAGAGTAAACATTGGTATGCCTGTGGTGCGGACGGACGGTCGGTCGGTCGGTCGGTCGGTCGGTCGGTCACGTGATTACCAAATTTTCTGGGATGGGTAGATTTATTTACCCATGGTGCTCCGCAGGCGCGCTTCGCGCGCGGAGCTCCGCTAAAACTATCCGAGAAAATGCTTTTGAACAAAAGAAACAGAAAACCAGGCAAATTTAACCCTGGGTTAAGCGCTAATCGGCCTTCGAATAACTGGACCCAGAAGATAATTCTTTGGTTCACCCATCAATGCATTGCGTTATCGTCATTGTAGATAAGGTCTAGTGCTCCTTTTTAGTGGTTTAACCGGTTTGGCAGGATTGCGATAATGCCAAAGTCTATTTTCGTAACTGTGCACGTTCTATCCTGCACGCTTTCATTATCCGACAATTGTTAAAATTCCGATTCACTGATTCGGTCAATACCAGGTTAATTTCGGTGAGGGTAAGAGGCGGAATGAGTTTGCGGAATGGCATGTGTTATGGCTTGCGGAATGACATAATTATGCGGAATGTAAAATATAGAAAATGGCGCAAAGAAATAAATTAAATTGAAAAACATGCGCGCGTCTTTGCCGCGCCTTTTTTGGCGCCAATTTGAGTGAGCAACTTTTTTGCTGGTCCATTTATTACTGCTGGCTTAAACCAACAAGGCAGAGCAGAAAGTAGTGATAAGCTTTACTACATTCGTGTCTTTGTAATACTTAATTTATTTTTGTTGCTTTAGACAATACTTTTCCTCTTTCTGCCCACCATTATAATAAAGTCAAATGTCAAAACGCTAGAGGGAAAAGAACGCTCGTTGAACGTGAAGTCGGGCTAGCTACGATTCTAGGGATTATCAATTAATACGGTGGACGAATCAGAAAATATTGGAGACTAAATGAACGCCCCGAGTCAAACATTAATCTGTACTCCAGAAATCGAGTGAAGTGAACCGCTCTTGTCTCCTTTTGGCCCTTCCGTGTGTCTTCGCACCTTCCTTGTTTGTGTGAGTGTGTGAGTTTGATCGTGAAAAAATACTAAAACGGTAGGAAGGGAAAAAAAAAGAAAAACAGACAAACACTCAATTGCCAGGATTCGAACTCGCTCTTCTCCTCCAGCTGTCATTTTCGCGTGCAGGAAACTTAACCAGGCAGCTAAGGAAACAAAATACAGGATCCGTTTCATCTTTGAATATCATGATCATGTAACCCACCGTCTGAAAAAGAAACACTTCTCACGCGGTTGCAAATACAAATATAGGTAGAAGGAAACCGTAAAGTTAATCGTGCGAACATCTTTTGCACAAAAAATTAAAGCAGAATGGAGCGTGACCTTCCAAAACATATTTTCGTCAATGGCCGACTTTCGTCCTGTAGTATCGGTGCTGCCATGCAGCCCGACTAATAAAGGCAAGAAGAATCTTTGAAGCTGTGCGGAAAATGCTAATCGACAATTAACCTTCGTGGATTTCTGATTGTCATCGTGCAACATTAAAAAAGCGGCTGCGTTTCCAAATTGATTGGCGCAAAAAAAGGGCGCACTTTTCAGTTTAATTTATTTCTTTGGGTCATTCTGCATATATATTACATTTCACATAATTATGTCATTCCGCAAGCCATGCCACATGCCATTCCACAAGCTCATTCCGCCTTTTACCCTCACCGGGTTAAATTTTGTTTGTTTGCTTGTTCGTTTTTGTTAATCGTTTTACACGGCGTTTTAGGTGCGAAAAGGGATACTTCGGAAATCCTTCAAAAGTCGGAGAGAAGTGTATCAAGCTACCAGGTATGTAATTATCGAACCAGTAAAACTAGAGACTAACTTGCTTACAAGGCACAAGCAGAAATACGAAGATTTTAACACCCCTCTGTAAGGATACGATCAATTTTACAGTTCTGGATGACTTACAGTACCAATCCTTCGAAATGCTTTGCGCAAAACTTAGACCAGCTCGTCTCCCAAGGGGATGCAATTCTATTGTAGTTGGGACGCTTTATCATCTGCCAAGCGCCAGTGACCCTGCGATAATGGAATATTTAATCAAGTGCTTATCAACCATTGCATCGTGCTATCCCAACTGTGGTATTCTGATTGCTGGGGATTTTAACAGATTGCAAATAACACGCCTCCGAAACAATTTCCAGCTAAAGCAAATGGTCCACTTTCCAACACGAGGCAGAAGGACACTCGATTTAATCCGTACAAATATTTCTGAGTACTATCAGGATCCCATTGAACGCCCGGCTTTCGGTTTATCTGATCACGCCTCAATTGAGCTCCAACCGAAAGAAAGAGCACATGTGAAGCAACCTACTATCACCATTAAAGCGAGGAATTTGCGCCCCAGTAAGCGCCAAAAACTTCTTAATACAAATGAAGCTAACTATCTAACCATTGAAACCCTGCCCAGTGGTTTAATCAGTCTACCCAATAAAAACGTGGCCTCCCCGATTCTTTGCGAATAGTTGTTTCTACCCGGCAATTTTTTTTGCTTTTTCCGTTTCTTTCTGTTGGCAAACCAGTGTGTTTCGTCAAAAGAAGCGAAAATCAGTAGAAAACATTATTCTTACCATTGAGGTACAGGGTACACGTAAACGATCTCGCACAAAAAGTCTAACCCTTTTAGTTCTTCTCGCCAGAGCAATATGTGAAAGATTTTTAAGGATTTCATACTGATAAAGTTGTAAGAATTGCCACCCCTTCCAGCTTTTTCGGGAGTTACACAACTAAGAAAAAACCCAGTCGAAAATAAACCAACCCAGTGACGTTTTCAACGAGAAAAAGGGGAAGATATAGATTCCACTGGGTCTGTTACAGAGCGGCATATTTTAAGTCACCTTTAAGGATCTTTCTTGACTTGTATATGATTGTAATTACGATCACCCGAAGCCGTCAGTTCTATCCAGATGATTTGCCCCCGCATTGCACCAGACGTGCTTCTATCTGATCGTCTCTATTGCCTGCATATATATTAAGACGACTTGAGCGATTAAGACAGTTCTGACGCCGGTCATAATGGTGCGTATTTACCTTACTTCATACCATGGCCAAACAAATAAAACAGGTGACTTATTTCTCTGTTTATAGTGGGATATCTACCAACTGTCAGAGTCAGGCCCATGAAGCGCATCAAGGAGGAAGGTAAAAACGCCGTGTTTTATTGCTTTGCTGGCGGACAGCAAAGACCAAGATTCGCTTGGACTCGGGAAGACGGACAACCGATGTCGCGGCGCGTTTCAGTGAAAGGAAAAAGATTAAAGATCAGAGGAGTGCAGAAAGAAGACGAAGGAACGTACATTTGTACCGCTAGAAATGTTTACGGGTCCGAAACAGCTTCGGCAAAGCTGACTGTGAAAGGTAAATGTTCCCTTGTCGATACCTCTACTGCATTTAACAGAATTTATGTCAGTTTCAAATAAGATAGACATATGAACACTGCTTCATCGCAGCTTCTCATTGATGTTCTTTTGCTACAGCTGAATTACGTAAGGCCTGGTGAATAGCACAGCACACAAATGAATAATTTCAATACATTTCGTCATTCATGTCATTTTGATGACGAAAATCAGGCTAGTATGACCGAATACAAACAAAAGAGAGGAATTGTTTGATTGGCCAATCGTTTAGGTTTTGCAGTATGACGTGAAAGCAAAGTATCGACTGATTTCTGGAAAGTTCTCAGGCATGACGTCTTTTCACCAGAGCGTTTGATAAACCAATCAAATCGCTCTATTTCCGTTCGTTTGTTGTTTCTGTTTTGATCGCGTGTTTTCATTTCAAGGTCATACGAAAATCGCTCTAAACTGTGAACTACTGTCTTTTTTTAGACGTTCTTGTAGACCCTATTGCAGTAACTGTCTCCCCAAAAGTTCTCTACGTCCCATTAAACAAAAGTGCACAGTTCACTTGCACAGCCAAAAGTGACGCTGATTATAGTCTCAAATGGACGCTTGGTATGTATGGTGCACTTCCTGAAGGGGCTGTAGACGAAAATGGTGTCCTTAAGTTTGAGAATACACAAGGTATTCACGAAGGGACCTACACATGTACTGGTAAAAACTCATTTACTAATGACATGGCCAGCGTTCAGCTGCGTGTGGGAGGTAAGAAAATACTGGCTTCTGGATAGCTAAAGGTACTGAAAAACGGGCAACAAAAAGCGTGCAACTTGTTTTGCAACATTGCTGCAAAACGATTTGAATAGCGATCTTACGCGTTTTACCACCCACGTTCAAACCTGTTAACAACCTGATTTGTTGCGAGACAGGTTTTGATGTGGCTGGTAAAACGCGCAACATCGATCTTCAACTCGTTTTGCAGCAATGTTGCACGACAACTTGCACGTCTTTTGTTGCCCATTTTCCCATACCTCAAGCCTCGCCTATTACATTAACTTGTCATTATTAATATTTTCCTTCATTTGACTAAAATAATATAAAAATAATACATTCGAACATCCCGCAGGCGACCACGCAAAATGTCAAGATTTTGTTGTCGCTTACGAGGATCAGCAACTCAACAGTCGAACAGGTTTTCAGTAGAACAGGCACCCAGATATGCTTTTACTCGGAAAATGAACTCGGCTAAGATGCCCCTCTTCTTGTTTATGGGGTGTAAATCGTAGATTGCGGTGTGACTTGAGGTGTTTAAGACAGAAGTCAGACATTGTTCCAATGAAGGTATGGCTAATAATCTAGATTAAATGCTTGCCACTATTAGTAGGTGGTCATTTGATTGAATAAACTTAACCTTTTAAAGAAAAAATAAACGAAAGTGCCAAATATTTAGGGTAAACAGATTTTCGCCTTAACTCATAGCGAGTTACTATTCCAAATACTCCATTTAATCTTGTTTCTCGTTGTAACAGATTTATACATATATATGTCAAGTTTAGTAACGGTTACCAGCTGTATGGATTAGTGGAGTTCTGTCATGCAATTTAGTTTTTTACCTTCCTCTATAATTCAGTATGGTTAATGGTTATATTTAGTATACGTATGGTTAATCTAATGGCCGCAAAAGCGCTTATTTTTCTTTTGTAGTGACAAGTCCGAAAGTGTCGATTTCACCCGTACTACTGAGCGTGCGCGAAGGAGACTCGGCTCAATTTCGCTGCTCAGCCATTGGATTTCCCGCTCCAGTCCTCCAGTGGCACGGTGGTCCTGACAGTAAACTACCATCAGAAGCAATATTGTCTAATGACAATGGGCTTCTTACAATTCCTAAAGTAGAGAAGATAAATGAAGGAAAGTACTTTTGCACCGCTGAAAACTTGGGTGGCATTTCCGGTACTAGCGCGTTTCTGAATGTCTCCGGTAAGAAATTGATCCTTCATTGTTCCTCATTTTTTCTTTGATTTCGTTGATTCTTTCCCAGGGGTTACAAACAATAAATAAAGCTTTGAAAAATTGTTAGGTTAACACTGAAATTTAAAAAAAAGTTCATCTCCATTCCATTGCTTTTGAAGTTTTGAGCAGTTATTTTTATCTTTCGCTCGATTTGGGTTTTGATATTTTTCGTGAAGTAGCTCCCTTAAGCAGAAAATAAACACGTTTTCTACTCGGTGCCAACATGGTTCCCAGGGTTCTTACCCCCCTACTTTCCCCTTCCCCCTCTCCCTCTCTCTCGTCAGCATTAACACTTACTTCCCACTTAGGGCAAAATGTTGGCTTAGGGAAGGGGTAGGTGGGCAGTTTCCCAGAAACGTATAATGATCCCTGGGAACGATGTTTGTTTCTTACATCAGTTATTCATCATCTTTTTAACAGCCGGTGGCAGCGTCCCTGAAATCTCAGTCACTCCCAGCACTCTCAATGTTATAGAAGGTGATGAGGCGTTATTTGAATGCTTTGCTGTTGGAGACCCGACTCCTACAATTCGCTGGTCACGTGAGAAAGGTCAGCTTTCCTCGTCATCTTCGTCCGAGAATGGCGTGCTAATCATTTCCTCAACGAAGCTTGAAGACGCAGGAACTTACTTTTGCAGAGCTGCGAACAAATTCGGAGCCAAGGCTGCACCTGTAACATTGAATGTTGAAAAAGGTATTATTTAGGCCCCGTTCATACGTGTTAGGAAATTTTTGAATCCGCAACTTTTTCTTTGCGAATTCGGCTTCTGTCCACACATATCCGGTGTATCCGGCATACGAATCCGTTCGCCAAACTGGAAATTTTTGAATACGCTATGAATCCGGCATCGCGTGGACGCTAATTCCAGATATGTTTTTATCCAGTGACGTCACAACATCGAGCCCAGTTCTTTACCATGAATATTCAAGACGATGCCGAGCGCCATGGGTTATCGCTTCCACACTTCTTTGACTTCAGATTCAAGTCATAACTTGTGGACTGTTAAACCTAGTATGATTACTTGAGACTTATGCCAAACGGCGGCTCGACATTTTGAAGCTTCTTTCCAGGTCGGACGGACGAATTTGGACACCGTAAACAAGTTAAAACGAGCGAAATAGTGCTTGGCGACGATTTTGTCAGTGAAACAGTTATTGAAGAAGACTGGCAATAAAATTTTCGCATGAGCCGAAGATCGCTGTACAAATTAGCTAACGAACTGAGAGTGAATCCCAGTACGGGTGGACGTGGGCAAATTATATTAGATTTGAGTACGGATACATGTGGATTTAAAAATTTTGCGGATTAGAAAATATCCGGATACGTGTAGACGTAGACGGGACCTTATTCGACATTGGATAAAACTGCACTTAAAGGAGAGCCAAGGCAGTCCAGTTCATTTTGTTTAATTTTGCCAGAGTTACTCGCCCTCAATCGCTATGGAACTTAAAGTAAGCAAAAAAAAATAACTTGTAAATGACACAAGCAAAGATTCGAGACAAACAAATATGTCTCCTGTGCATTATTTTTCAAGTTACAAACAGCAGAGAGCAACTTTGATAAACTGTTAGGTTGAACAGTTTTCAAAAACCCTAATTTCAATCCGTTTCAATCTTCTTCAGTTTTGCCCATCCGTGGCATCTGTTGTAACTGTTGTGTTATTTTAACCTTCCTTTAATGTTTTAAGCGGTTATTTTTGTTTCTCTTAATTTAACAGGCATTTTGTAATTACCTAATATGGCTGAATTTCGTGGCACAGCGTCTTTAATTTTTTTTTCGTTTTTCTTATTTTCTAACAGAACACATCAGGCTAGTAGCCTGAGTGAGGTAAAACTTACTTTTGAGAATCAGTCAAACAGTTTCGAGTTTTGGTAAAACTAACGCTTGAGTCTGAGATAGAGGGGTATAAAACAAAAGATTCCAGCCCAGGTTTGAATAAGTCATAATATTTTGTTTAAATTCCCTCTACCTCAGAGCCACGCACGGTCTCTCAAAAATGAAAGTTTTAACATGATAATATTTTGTCAGTAAACTTAAAAGATTGAAATTTATTAAAACTCTTCTTATTAAGAGGTGAGATGGTAGAGTATATACCTCGTTTTTTTCTTCAGACAACTCTGTCGCTCCAACAGCAGTCATGGTACCGTTAAATCAAACTGTTGACGTAGGTGCATCAGCAATCCTGTCATGTCAGGTGACAGGACGTCCCTACACCACCATACAGTGGAACAAAATTGGCGGCAGCTTAACGGAGAATCACGTAATTGCAGAAGGCGTGCTGCGGATACAAAACGCGACTATTGAGGACGCGGGAACGTACGTGTGCGTGGCGCAAAACAAGAAAGGAGTCCAGCAGGCAACAGGGATAGTTGATGTTAGAAGTGAGTAATACTCAAAGCACTCCTATCGGTGAACTTGTGGAATAGTTTGCATGAACGCATGGAGGGTCAGCCAGGGCTATACTGAGATAGGTTATGTTATTAATACGCATACCATAATTACCCCTTTCACTCCAGCCAAAAGTGTTACGTAACAGGGTCTACGTTGCCACTCCAAAGGCATTATTCAGTGAAATCAGAAAATCGCAACTTTACGTATAATGATTTGAGGGAAGAGTTTAGTTTGCTCCCACGATACATTATTTTTGCAGTTATGAGTGCATGTAATGCATCAGTAGTGAAAAAAGGATGCGCTTTTTCTGCTTGTGCGTATATTAGCAATCGACAAGATTAGGGTTTAGTCATATGAAGTTTTTTACGCTAAGGTTGGGAAGGTTCTAAGACCATATTGCAAAATCTCATATCGTCGAAGCTATAGTTACATTATTTACTTCCCATATCCACATTAACTCGGTACTTATCATTCTTTCTATATTTCTACGTTTCTTTCTTTCTCTCTCTCTCTCTCTAGCCATCTTTGCCAAATAACTTTGATCAAAAATTGTTTTTTAATTGCCATACGTTCGGAATTTTGTTAGATTGCGCAATGATTATTATTGTTTTTTGTTGTCGTTGTTGTTGTTGTTGTCGTTGTTAAGAACTGGATGACGTGGCATAACAACGATCTTGCATGTGGCATGTTAGGCCGAGTTTTTTGAGACCCAGTTAGTTCTTGAACATATCGGTTCTTATGGTTAGCTATCTTAAATTTCCTCCAATCGGGCTTCAAGCAACTCGGCTCTGGTGTGGAGTGAAAGGGTTAATGAATCAGCACAAGTTGGTCTGCTCTTGAATTCTCGAACGACTCTATTTTGCATTAGTGTTAATTCCATAAACAAGCAATCGCCAGCTACTTAAACCCTTTCACTCCCAAAAGTGCTCTTGTTCATAATCCGATTAGATTTTTAGTGCAGTGTTGAAAACAACCACAGAATCTGACAGCACTGCCGTATCGTACTGCTCAGTAGCTTCCCATCAACTGTACCACAGTAATATTTTCTCTTCACTCGAAAGTTAAAGCCAGTAATTGAAGTATTCTTGTTGTCTTTTAAAGTTTACGAGTTTTGAAAATTACGAGAAATTTATGAGTTACTTTGGGAGGAAAGGGTTAAACAACGCATGCGCGTGATCGCTAAGAGACTTAGAGGTATGCTCGTAAAATATTACCATACATATGAGGCCATAGTGCCCTCGTTACTAAAAGTAGTTTGTCAGCATAGTAACCGCTAGTGCAAACTCATTGACGAAATTTATATGCCTGAGACATTTTGAGGCATGTTAAATGAGCACAATGCAGCCAAATTGACTTCTGGATCCAAATAAAATGTGCATTATTACACATTGTCTCGTAAGTAAGCACCCCGCATTTCTCGATTACCATTTTCTTTGTTTCGTTTTCATTGCTTTAAAACTCTCTGAATGAATAGATTTGAAGAAAAAAAGTACCAAAAGGAAAAATACCAGCTGGACCTTTCCCTTGACCAATGTCCCATTAAAGTCTCTAAACTACATTCTTACCATTCGTTCTTTGATGGGTAGGCTATAATTTCTTTTGATAAAACTGCAATTTTTACTGATGACATTCAGAATAAGCGTTTTAAAATGTTATTGGCCTACAGCATCCAACCGCCTAACTCATAAATTGCAAGCGGCCATGTCATCTTTCATGCACGAATTCTCCATACTCGCTGATTGTTATATCTTTGATAAGTACACCCTTTTAATGGAATCTGAAGAATCGCTTTTTGTAGACAGTTGACACGCCTGCCTTTCAGCCTGACTTTGAGGTTGCTTATAACTCATATATTTTTACATCCGCCGCACCCCTAGCATAAAACCATAAAATGCTGGAACATTTCTCGAAAATATTACTCCAGAAAACCTATTTATACCATGAACAATGGTAATTTTTCCTTTAGATTTCTAATCTGCGATTAAGGCAAAAGGAAATAATCATTGTGAAAGTGTTACTTGTTCACTTGAACTTCTAAATTAACAAAGCATATTAAGTTCTAATAAACTGTTTACGCTAGTAACGAAAATAGATTCCTTTTGAATTGAAAGGAAATATACAACTTAACGAGATACTTTCCAACTTAGCATTCATTCTCTCCACCAAAGGCGCATGTAAGAGATCATCATCATCGGTCGACCGAACTGAGTATCACGGTGCCCGTAACTAAAAAGAATCATATCCAAATGAAAGGGAAGTTAATACCGGTGGCGGACCGACACGTGACTTGGCATGAGTGTCTTACATGCGTGACTACTTGAGTACGATGTACTGGAGTTAGCTTATTTGCAACTTTCCATTCCCCAAAATGCGGTTTTCTTTCCCACAAATGTTTGCATAAGTATTGAGACTGTCAATCGTCCCTTATTGAGAAATTGACGCAATACCCATGCGCTTTCTTTTGTGAGAAAACCTACTGTATTATGGGAAAGGTGAAAGTCGCAAATGGTGGGATTTTTTACAAGGAAATCAGAACCACACTATAAATGCATGCACAAAGAGAATTAAAAAATAAACTCTCTAAAAATCAAGTGAAACCCTATCTTTTGCATTCAGGTGTAGATACCTTAACACGTTGCTTACGGTGGCAGGCTTTAGATTCACCGTTGGTAGTTGGTTTGTTGCCTTAACGGCTTTACCTCATTAAAAAAAGATAATCATAAAATCAGTGTTGAAAGGTTTTTAAATACTCAATTTCACAGTTGTCCTTGGTAGATCCCTTTCCTAGATTGAAACCTCAAGGCTTGTCCTGTATTGTGACCTTTCAAATGGAGTTGGAAGCTACTGAGCAGTTTTTGGATGGTGCCATAAGCCGCTTTTCTGTTATGTTTTCATCAGAATTGACTAATCGTGTTTGAGTTGAAACCGTAACGAGGTTGGAAATTTTGTGCCACTTCATCGACTTTCACGCCAAAACTTGCCCGTGCTATGTCGGGGCGAACGGGCAAACTGTGTTTTGAGTTTTGATTGTGATTTCCTGCAGCACAGATTTAAAACTTGGCTCTGGTTTTTTTTTATTCGGCTTTTTCGTGATGCAAAAAGGACACTTACCGACCCAACTTGCTTTTTGCACCACTCAGTTGTTCACGGGGAAGGGAGGGAGGGAGGGCTACTTCCTATAATGGCCTATAAGTGGAAGTTCCCCCTGTGCAAGTTTGTGGCGTACTCCCCTCGTACTCTCTTTAGCGATGGACTCCAAATGTTCGGTTGGGCAATGCAAAAGGTCTTTACCATAACATTAGAGATATTTTAAGCCCATCTATAAAGCCTTGGTCTCACTTTGACTCCCAGCGAAGGTTCCACCAGAGATAGAAATCATGCCTGCACCCAACCACACAGCTATAACAGGAGAGGCAGTGGTTTTGAGGTGCGTGGTCAAAGCGGGTCATCCACCTCCAGCTGTAGTCTGGGAAAGAGACACAAAGCAACCACTTAACAGCAGTAGCGACGGCATATTGGTGATCTCCCCTGTAACTTTTGACAATGAAGGAATGTATATCTGCAAGGCGTCGAATATCATTGGGTCAACTGAGGCCGTGGCCTTGCTTACTGTACAAGGTAATTAAGTAATGATCCGGGTAAGGTGGATAGCAATTTCTTTTGTTATGCGGCAACGGTGCTTTCCCCACACAGCAATGTTCTCAATTTTACACAGAGAATGCATAAACCTACATGAAGGTCGTTTACGCAATAAAATGCACTTACACTCCACTTTGAAATGGTGTTTTTTTGTGTTAAAAGATTTTGACCAATCACAAGAGTTGAAAACAATAGCCAAGAAAAGTTTACAATTTTACATGTTCCCCACATAGGATTTCTTTGTTATTCAAACTGAGACCAGATTTTGTTATATGGAAGATGGTTGAAAGTAAGGATGAATATATGTACCGCTTTATGAAGTTTTGTTAACTTTTGCTGTTTAAGCCAATCAGAAGTAAGTACCGACAATAGAAAAGTTAGCACCTTTCTTGCATTCCAACCTGTTCGTTGCCATTGTTGCTATCGTTCTTATCTGGACTGTTACTTAAAGAAGAAGGAGAATTCAAACACCAGAAAGCTCAGAACAATTTTCCGAGCTCCAGGTGAGAATCGAACTCACGACCCTCCGAGTTCTAGTTCGAACGCTCTAACCACCGAGCTTCTGGAACTCTAATGGCGAACAGGGTCGGAATTTAATGTTACAATGAGAAAAGCTCTTATTGAAAGCTACACTGTAAGATACCGGCCTCCCTGTCGGTTCTGTCATTTATGGAATTTGCTGCAACCTGTTCAGTAGCGACTATCTTTCAAGGGTTCGTCGCTTATAAAATAAGTCTTACTAAATCCTCCTTCCTGCTTAAATGTTCCTCAAAAGACATGTTAGTGTGTCTCCTAAAGGTATCGTTCAATAAGGTTATCAAGGGCCTGTTTACATAGAGGTGGGGGACCCTAGATAGGTGAAATAGCCTGATGTAAACGTGATCAAATTAAAATGAGATTATATGGACAGACGGGTAACCTCACCTAAGCGGGTTACCTCACCTACCTGCGGTCTTCCACCTCCATGTAATCAGGCCCTAAAAGTAACCCTAGACGTCTTAGGAAAGGGAGTGGGGAGCAAAGGCAGCAAGAAATTTCCCCGTTATTCAAATACCACACGGATTACCCAGATTATAACCCGGTGGTGTTCAATTCCTGCGAGCATGTTTTCCTTACTTCCTATATATGTCTTGTTTTCCGACCTCCCCGCCATTTTGCATAACCTGTTTGTGGCGAAAAATAATGTTGTTGAGTTACCTAATGTTTGTCTAGCCGCAGAAAATCAGATCCTGCATTAACATTAAGGAAGATGTGTGCAATCATTTAGCCCTTATAAACCTTTTGAATTTGTTTTAATTTACTTTTATTTCATCACACAGCTGAACCCAAGATAATGCTGAGCCCGCCCAACTCCATTTCCGTGACAACTGGGGGGTCGGTCACTCTAGAATGCGCAGTCGTGGGGAATCCCCCTCCGGAGGTTCAATGGAAAACTCAGGGAAATTCCCAATCCAATTTTCAACTGATGGTGAACGGTCCCGGAATGTTGAAACTTGTTATTAGAAAAGTGACTGCGGAACATCAGGGAAATTACACTTGTCATGCTCAAAACATTGTAGGGAAAACTCTGGAAACGATTCAGTTGATAGGTGAGTATGTCGGGTGTCAGTATGAGTATGTTTCCAATTCTTCCACTCTGTTGACAAATTAAGTAAAATAACTTGGTGCCACACAACGTTATTTAATTTGTTATTGTTATTGTTGTTGTTTTTTGGGGGTATGTGTGCGGCCCGGGAGGGGGGGCACTTAGGTATTTTTGGGGTGGGTATGTGCCGCCCGTGACTCCAAATTGGCACCCCGTTCTAGAAAAAATTTCCCCTAAAATTGATACCCCGTTCTAGAAATGGGCCAATTTTTTATACTCCGTTCATAGTAGGGTGCAACAAGAGTACAACGGTTTGCTTGTTAACGCATTGAACCGTATTTTTAAAAGCAATCTGTCCTTGAATACTTTCAAATGACTGCTTACAAAAGTGGAGCTTTCGTGCGTTCGAAATATTATACCCCGTTCTAGAAAACCCTTCTGAAATGGATACCCCGTTCTAAATCAGAAGTTTCAAAATCACGACCCCTTTGGGCGGCACATACCCGTATTATTTTTTGACGTCTGTATTCTAATACGGCTAAACGGGTGTGTTATACGTCTTTATAATGCAGTGCGCTTCGATTTTCATTCTCTCTTTTCCTCAGGAAATAAAGTGGTGTAATTCCGGTAACATTTGCTTTTGGTCTTTTGCTTTAAATTTTCTCAATGCACGGTAAACTTCCCACTATCCCACCCGTGGTTTAAAATTAAACTGGTTTGCTTTCCTTTTCGAAGTGTGTGGGAATGACATTGAAAAATTTTAAACAGAAAACAAGGATAGGTTGAACCACATGTATCAGTGTAACTGATATTTGCGTTGTATATGTATCCAAAGTTGTTTCGGCAGATCTCATGACGCTTGTGTAGACTATTTCATGCAAAGCAATTCCTAGAGATCAAGTAATGCGTGATGCAGTGATTCAAAAACTCTCCTTGTAATTTTCCATAAGCAAAGGTTGACCTTTGCTTTTTCTTTGCTCCTTAGTAAAGGTTCCACCAGAAATAGAAATTACACCAACCACGAACCTCACAATTGCCACAGGAGAATCAGTTATTTTAAGATGCGTGGTGAGAGCTGGTAATCCATCACCGTCATTGATCTGGGAACGAGAAGGGAATAAACCACTGAATAGCAGTAAAGACGGCGCCTTAGTGATCTCTGCTGCCACTGGCGACAGTCAGGGAAAATACATTTGTAGAGCTACGAATAATCTAGGAACATCTGAAGCCATTGCCTTTCTTACTGTTCAAGGTATCATACAGATTGTGTTATTTATATCCATTCTCCACTTAACAAGTGGCGAATGAAAGAGCTTCGGCTGAAGTGATAAAGGTGCTACATCCGTTCTCGCTAATGAATTTAATAAGGTACCATCAATTCAATTTAAAAAAAATAAGCTCCTTTCTTAACATTTAAGCGCCATTGGGACCTGTAGAATGTTTCCACCCAAGCTCAAGCTATGGCAGAAATAAATGTATACACTCTTTTAAAATATAAGCCTTGAGCCGTTGTGTTTGGTTTGTAAATTATCACGCGCGTAACAGAGCTTGAATTTTTGGCCATGAAGAATGGTGAAAAAGAAATAAATTCATAGAAACCAAAGAGAATGTAAGATGCCAAATATAAAATTGGGATACATATACTGCTTTTTGTCTATGGTTTAGGCTGTCCGTTTGTGCCACGTTGCCAAGAGGAGAGAGGAGCAAAGTTTGGCGATATTCATTGATATTCATGATACTCTATTCTACCTGTGTTGCACCACGTTCCCTGTTATTTTTCAGCTAGGTTCTGTGTGATGTGTGGAAAAAAACGTTTGATTCCTGAACTGGTTTATAATTTCACACTGTATCTGTCCCCTTGTGCTTTTCTTTCACAGCTGAACCCAAGATAATGGTCAGCCCTTCTAATTCGATCTCCGTGACAGCTGGTTCTTCGGTCACACTAGAATGCGCAGCCGTGGGGATCCCCTCCGGTGGTTCAGTGGATACCCCAGGGACATTCCAATCTACAACTGATGGAAAGCGGCCCTGGGGTGCTGAAACTAATTGTAAAAACATCACTTCATCGAACCAGGGTAATTACACTTGTCAGGCCCAGAACATCGTAGGAATAACCAAGGAAACAATTCATGTAACAGGTGCGTAAGTTGATTTTGCCCAGGTTATCAAAAGAGCTCTTGAAAATGCTTTTTAGAACTTTACGCTTCTGATCACTAGCCGGTTAACAGTGCATGAAAAGACTGTGACCGCCGGCAACCGAATTAAGTTAAGAATCGCCTTCTCATGGCTAAGGCGTGTCCGGGACTGAAAGACGATTGTTTTCGGTTTTAATATTTCTTCACTCAGAGCCTTAAATTGCCACTGCTTACGAAACACATCATGATAAATCAGCTTCCTTTTAGGAAATAAAACGACTTCACTAAATCCTCAAAAGCCTTAGCAAACGCAAGAAATTTACGTCGGTTTACGTCGTTTCCACTTAACTTAGTTGTTGTGATTTGCCAGGACGAAGAAACAATATAGGACACAGCGTTGAAATAACTTCACACGCCATGGTAATTATTTTGGTTCCACTTTTACCCAAATGTCTTGAGTTTGGAACCAAAACACGAAGTCCTTTGATGAGTGAATTCTCATCAGTTTGTTGACCTAAGTATCATCGAATGCATCATCGAATTTTCTCCGTGTGGCATTTCCCATCACTCTCAAACCAAAGATACTCTAACCTCAAACCCTGTCTAAAATCTGCAATTGCCACTAGTTAAGTAATTAAAAGTGTTACGAGTAATAATAGTAACAATAATAATTATATAACAACAAAATCTTGAATCTTCAGTAAAGGATATGCCAAGAATAGAAATCAGGCCAGCACCAAACCTGACAGTGAGCGGTGGAGATACTGTGAATCTAACGTGTGCGGTAATTGCGGGTAATCCAACCCCGACTGTGGTCTGGGAACGAGAAGGAAATAAACCGCTGAACAGCAGTAGTGATGGCGTGTTAGTGATAGCTGCTGCCAGTGGTGTCAGTCAAGGAAAGTACATCTGTAGAGCGACGAATATTCTGGGGTCCACTGAGGCAGTCGCCTTTCTTATTGTTCAAGGTACAATTATCTGGCAACGCGTTATAAAATGTACGTCACGAAATAGGAAATTTTTAAGATATAACGTCAATGCTCTCTGAAAGCACACCATTTTGCATTAGAGTTTAGACCTCTCAAATGAAAAATTAATAAAGTTATGCATTTGTTTATTTATTCATTTATAGACCATACAATACCCTATTTGTCTGTAAGATAGAGCGTTTACCGTAACTAGCGACCAGCTCGGCAAGATTCACTAAAGGGTCTCGCGTCTTCTTCCGTAACGTTTACCCCCAATGACCGCCCGTCATGGTAAGCCGGTTCTTCCAGGACGATCTTACTGTAAAACGGGGGACTGCAAACAACCTTATCAATTCTATTAACCATTTAATCTAATTAAAGGCGCCCTTGGTAGCAACTTTCAGTCTCAGTTATGATGAATTGTTTTGGCTAAGCGTTCAAAGGCTAGTGTCTCTTGTACAGAAGCAAAAACACAATGTAGAAAAGCAGTGCATAACGCTACTTCTGGCTTATGCTTTCATGGGCCATAGCGCAAGTTTCTGCGCCAATACAATAAAGCACATTTCTTTAATACACAGGTGAGCCAAAGATAATAGTGAGCCCTTCCAGTCCCGTATCAGTTAAAGCTGGCAGCTTTGTCTCTCTAGAATGTGTAGCAGAGGGAAAACCCACCCCAGATGTTCAATGGGAAACTCAGCTTAAATCTCACTCCAGCCTTCAGCTGGGGGAACGTGGCCGTGGTGTCTCAAAACTGGTAATTGAGACCGTGGGTCCAGAAGATGAGGGCAATTACACCTGTCAGGCTCAAAACATGGTAGGGAAGACCCAGGAAACTGTTCAGTTGATAGGTAAGTTCGTAGTGAGACCAGTTGTAATACAGGTTATTGTTGAAGTTTGTAAGTTTCTTTGCCAACTTAGAGCTGGATATAACAAAAGGGCATCGGACAATAGATGGAATTGCCCACTAGAGGACAAGAAAATTAATGTGGCTTGGTAATTAATACAGGCGCTATGATATCTTCATGCTGATATTTTTGTGGAAACGTTGTGTGGAAAACTTTGTCATAGCTCAATGTGCCAGTTTTAATGACGAAGTTACCTTAACTCAGCATGTCATTTGCCTGAGAACGTTTCTGGTTTTTCTGACTAGAATGATGTTCTGGTGGGTAATACCGGTATGTCCTTTTTCCACCGTTCTGAATGAAATACCTAAAACAGACCTAATATTTGCAGCTGTGCTATTCTTAATTATCAGCCCAGCAGCCTGACCGCCTCTACCCCCGACTGAATCTTTACAGGCTCATTTTTAGCCCCGCTCGGATGAGAAGCCATGAAGTGTACGAGGGTACGATAAGCCCTGATATCATGCATATGGTTACCAGCCTCAGGGCTGAAAAATCACCCACCTTAAACTAATCTTAGCTGTCCTAACAGTTAACTCTGAAATCAGTCTTTTTACTTTCATCTGTTAGTAAAGGTGATGCCAAAAATAGAAATCATGCCAGCGAGAAAGCTGACAGTCACAGGTGGAGAGAGTGTAACATTCAGATGCGTAGTGAAGGCGGGCAACCCGCCTCCATCGGTGGTCTGGGAAAGGGAGCAAAATAAACCGTTGAACAGCAGTGACAACGGCGTCTTAGTGATCTCTCGCGCGTCCGGTGACAGTGGAGGCAGATATATTTGTAAGGCGACAAATATCCTAGGGTCAACTGAAGCAGCGGCTTTGCTTATTGTTCAAGGTAAATTTTAATCTAACACAAGCCAAGGGCAACTACTCTACAAATACCTATCTTGTTTCTGACAACCCTTTTCAAGAACCACCACCCAAAACATCCAAAACTCTTCTTGTGTGTTCGTTTTTTTTTCTTGTCCGTCTTTTATTACTATGAATTCCTGAAGACAAACTTCACGAGGAAAGTAATGGCCAGTTGTCGTTTTAGCCAGATCCTTATCTTTACTTCACTTACAACAGCACGAGTAAGCAATGACTACATTACCCAAGGAGAAATTAAAACAATACTTATAATTAAGAGTTTTAAGGGGACAAACAACGAATATCTTGACCAGTGCTGAAATGGCGAGACTTTTCAACAAGAAAGTATCTCGTTTCTTCCTTTTTGAAACCTGTATTCATGTGCCAGTGATAAAGCTTATTTTATGGCATCTTGAAGGTAGTGACTGCACAATTACGGTATGGTTTGCTTAATTGTTACACAGGTGAACCCCAGTTGATAGTAAACCCTTCCAGTCCAGTCTCCGTGACAGGTGGAAGCTCGGTCACGCTGGAATGTACAGCTGCAGGGAGCCCTCCTCCAGTAGTCCAATGGATTATTGAAGGGCATCCTCGGTCTAATCTGCAAATAAGGGAAACCAATCGTGGGGTGTTGAAGTTGATTATTGAAAATGTCAGACCGGAAGACCAGGGGAACTTTACCTGCCAGGCAGAGAATATTGTAGGATTGACTCAGGAAAGTGTGCAGTTAACAGGTATATTCCTTATGCAGTGTAATGGCAGCAAGGTACTGAGAAATTAAGGACTCGCTAAATGTCCTTCTCAGACATCCGAAATGTAAACGATCGTAAACAAATCATTTCCTCTTTTGCTTTCCACCATATCATGAACCTGGAACTGGTTATCATAGAATAACAAGGTTTCATTTGTTTTTCTTAGGTTTTCTTGCGAAATTGCAACCACTGTTTCCTCATATTTGTTAATCTAATCATCCAATGTTGACATTAAAGATTCCTTATTGTCGAGGAGTGTCTGTGTCTAGCCTGACAAAACAGCTGACATTTCGAGACGCCATCAACGGAGAATACGTCTAAGGAACGGGTGCAGAAATTTCATACTAATGATGTGTCACTACCCAGATCTGGAGAGTGCCAACCAAAATCACTACCCAGGTCAGAGTAGTAGAACGTCATTAGTATAAAATTTCTTCACTCGTTCATCAGACGTCATTTCCAGGAAAACCATTAGTGGTGTCGCGAGATGTCGGCAGTTTTTTCATGCTAGGCTGTGTCAGGATGTCTGTCATTTTACTTTAATTTAGAAGAACTTTTGATATTGTCCTTACTTTAATTAAAGGAAGCTTTAATTTTAGGTCAAACTTGTTTTCAAAGAGGATTGTATGACGTGATATTTTAAGCATGTGGCGTATGTGTGGAAACTTTTTCACACTTATTCAGCTTAGAACAAAACTAATGAGTGATACAAAAGTTGAACTAAATTCATGTTTTGTTTTTCTCCATTGACGAAATATGACATAAGGTTATTCTGATTCCTTCTAGTAACTGTTCCACTAGAACCACCAGAGATCGTCTTAAATTCTGTTTCACAAACTGTCATCGAAGGAGCAGACGTGGAGTTTCGGTGCAATGCGTCCGGCTTACCAGCTCCGACCATTGTCTGGGAAAGACTGGGTTCTAATTTACCCAATGACGCCCTTGATAGAGATGGAATACTGATGATCCCGTCTGTCGCTGCAGAAGATGCTGGGACGTACTCCTGTAAAGCAGTTAATAGTGAAGGGCAGGACAGTTTTAGTGTCAAGTTGGAAGTGATAGGTACGATTAAGGAAAAAATTGAACCTAAGAAAAGAGAGGATAAAGTTTCTCGAATCCAGGCTAATCAAAAATATTACTGAGAAAAATCACGTTCAGAATCCAAGTTAGAGACATTCAAAGGTTTTATTTCTTGTTGCTGAACAAGAAGATACATCTCCCACAAATTTCAACGCAAAACAAATTTTAACGTCAATTATCATTGATCGTGTATCATTTCGTAGAAGCATATAATTGAGTTACACATTTTATCCTGGCGAAGTACAACGATGCCGCCAACTGGAGGTTTAAAGGCCATTTCTTTAGGTACCACTTTGACCAATAAGGCATCCTGTTTCTGAGCCTTCCATAAAAAAAAATGGTTCCTTCTTCATATGCTTTAATATGAAGAGGGGCTTTGATTAATAACTAAGGGACTTTCCCTCACTTTCGCTTGGTAACAGTTCAAACTATAGGATATTTCAAAAAAGCCCTTTTTAAATACGAAATGGCACATGTCCTTACCCTTTTCTGTACTACAAACAGTCAAATACAGTCAAATTTCCCTTACGCAGACACCATCGGCAAGCAAAAAGGTAATTTCATTGGGAGCTGGCCGGTAACAAATCATGCTTTTGTAGTGAAGTTCCTAATGGGAAGATTTGTTAAGGTGGCCGTAAGTGAAGCTGTCCGCTTGAGGCATATCGTACGTCCGTCAAAAGATAAAAGACCTTAGACTGCTACTACCCTGTTATACACCTCTCCCATTAGATCTTTTCAACGTAATTATTACTATCAACGATTCCAAGTAATGCTGTTTTTTGAACTCGAGGTTTTTAACATTTTCCAAAGGTTTCGAAAACAGTGAAAAAATGGAACGCCACCTTTAGGAACTTTTAGGAGAAACGACAAATTTAAAAAGGTAGCCATGTGATTGAATATTCAAGACTGAAATTTTGTTTTCTTTTCTTCCCCAAACTTGATTCCTCCTGTTTTATGAGCATAAACTTAAACGCAACATCTGAAGGATCAAGGAGACAAAATATAGTGAGTTGTATTAAGTTGTCATACCAAGCCTCGAACCCCTTTTATTGTGTCTTCTCACCAAGGCAGAATTATGATTTTTTTTTTACCATAAAACTCGCAAATAGTGAACTGACCTATGTCTACATTTAAGTGATAAAACAATCCGAACCCTACCTGTTTCTTTTTTCTTTTTTTCAACTAGTGCCTCCTCTAATCGACGTGACTCCCTCCGAGATCTCCGTCAATCAAGGAACCTCCTTTAACATCTTTTGCATTGTTAGGCCATCACTTGCAATCACGTGGTCAAAACTCAATGTTAGTTTCCCAAACGGCATCGTGAGCGACAAGGGGACCTTAAAAGTCAGTGAGGCGAAACTGAAACATGCAGGAACATACCGCTGTTATGCTAACAATTCAGCGGGCTCCAGTGAAGGCTTTGCAAGCGTCGTCGTGTATGGTAGGAACCTTTAGGGGCCGTTAATTTAAAAAAATATCGCAGTATATATAAAAAAGTGCATACCTCAAGAGTTAAGGTAATAAAAGTTTTAATTGTAAAAACACAAATTAAAAAAAGGCCTTTCATCCCTTCTTCTTCTCTCTCAATGACTCCCATTTATCATTTTTCCCTTTTATTTAGAAAGAAACATTCTATGTTGTACTATAAATTCTATATTGTACTACAAATGATGTTTTTTTGTGATGGCAGTGAAAGTGTCTTTGAAATATACGTTCGAGTCTTGTTGCTCTTTGCATATCGATTATCTTCATTATTTATCAACTTATATTTGGGAAATCAGTGCTAACCAACACGCTAGTCAATTTTCAGTTTCATCCCATGTTCAATTTGTCCTGGCTTTTTGACTGACTTTCGTTCTGATATCTCAGCTGCACCAAAAGTGGTGGCCTGGCCTAGATCTTTTGAAGCAGCTCATAAATCCAATGTTACATTTCACTGCAACGCGACTGGCATACCCGACCCGGTGATCTCCTGGTCAAAAGAGGGAAGCGACATTCCCTTACGACACTCAGCTGGTGTCTTGAGTCTTACAGGAGTTATCAGTGACGATAATGGTCGATACATCTGCACAGCAAAAAAATGCTGCTGGAACTTCTACAACATCTATAGAACTCACTGTCGAAGGTTTGTTAGAGCTTCGCTTTGAAGAAAAAGAAGTCACTTTCTGTTCATCTCGATCCCCTTTTTATGCTTATTTCCCCTTATCATGCTTAAGTTCATTGGTCCGGTTCACGACCCCATATTCTAAAAGTACAGTGTTTAATTATATCATAACCAAAAATTAATGTCCACAAATCTTTTTCAAATGTCGAGCCGATTCATTGCACTCTAATTATATTATGCTATACCCTTGAGTTTATCCAATTGTTATTGTTATCATTATCATTATTATTATTATTGTTGTTGTTGCTGCTGTAATTATTACTATTGTTATCTTTATCGTTTTTGTCATTGTATCAGTATCATAATCATTATCATTATTACTATCATTAAATCATTCGTATGAGTAGCCATGTAATCATATCCTTTTCAGATCTACCCAGTGTGGTTATAACAGGTGGAACCTCCGTCAAAACAGTTTCAGTAGGAAAGAATTTGACTTTAGAATGCATCGCGAATGGAACCCCACAATCAGAAATACAATGGACCCGCGTCGACGGTCTGTTGCCCGAGGGACTCATTTCAAAAGGAGGACAGCTTATTTTTCCGCACGCGCGGCTTGCCTATGGTGGTGTATATAGGTGCAAAGTCACTAACAGAGTGGGCTCTGTGCAATCTGAAGTAGCCATCTTTGTGCAAGGTTGGTGTTTGCTGTTTGTTCTTTTCTGCTGTTACCTTTCACGTTTACTGGTCTGCAAAAGAAATTAAAGCTAATGCAAGTAAAGCTAAAAAACGCTTGAAATATTTGACCGTCGATTGCAAAGACATTCACATTTGTGGGGAATAGGAATGGTTCACTGGTTTGTCAACCGAGTTGATAAGCCAAGATAATAAGACAAGATAAAATAGCGAAAGCTGGCGATTGCGTGTCCTCGTGTCAGACCAAGTGAGGAAGGCGTGAAAACATAAGCCTGCTTTAAATCTTACTGCGGTAAACCAAAATGACCTTATCCGATTAGATTTTTTGGTACTACCACCCAACCACCCCAACCCTACGGTTACAACTAATATCCATCTGCGAAGATCATGCAGTTTTATTGACGATGTTACTATTAAACATTGTGTTATTAACTCGAATGGCAAGGCTGTACTCTATTGACTCTTAGAGGCCCCCAAGGTCATGGTTACTCCACAGAGTTCACGTGTGAAAACTGGTGAGACCGTGCATTTCACTTGCATCGCTAGCGGCCCCCCGTCACCAGACCTAACATGGCGGAAAGTTAACGGATCGCTTCCAGTCAGCAGTACAGTGCAAAGAAGAGTTCTGAAGATTGCCAATGTGACTCAAAAGGATGCTGGGAGTTACAATTGTGAAGCCAAAAATGTTGAAGGATCGGCTAATAGAAGTGGAATTTTAGAAATTAAAGGTAAGGTATCAAAGGGTCGGCTCTTTGGAAGTAATTTTACTTTAACCTCCCTCCTTGTTTCATGTCTTGATTTTGACGAATTTTGGAGCAAAAATTTTACAGTGCCTTTCCTTCCATACATTTTTCCTGATGCAATTCCAGCGCGAAAAGCTACGAATGTTCTTGCGGTCATGATGAGGGTTAGTTTGGGGAGTTTCTGCTAAGCACACTTCGCGTCAATGACAAGAAGGAACCTTTGTTATGATATTTACTCTAACCATAACTTAAAAATGGTCACCAACCATTTGTATCTGTACCTTTTCTATATCTCTTCTTAGTGACCGTTCCACGATTTACACAGGAACCTCTGTCCTACCTCAGTGTACAGACATTAACAGACGAGCCACTTAATTTCACGGTTGAAATTGTGTTCATACCGGAGATGGCGGATGGGCTGATTCTGTACAACGATCAGCTAACAAATGGCTCTGTTGGAGACTTCATTTCATTTGGAATGTCAGACAGATTTGCTGAATTTAGGTAATGGGGTTGTATTCACAAACAGGGACGAAGAGCATTCTTCTTGATCCCCGCCAGTAGTCCTGTGAGGCTTAGCTCTAGCAGGAGTCTGCCCTCGCAAGCTATTTTTTCCATAAAGCCTTTGGTTACTCACAAATCTTTTTTCGAGGTCATTTGAAAACTAATGCAAAAATAGGACCTGAACTTATTTTGTTACTGTAAAACCCTGAAACAGCAAGGTAACCAAACTACGGTATTGCTAACCAAGTCTATCATATTCCATCTTGGCTGCAGTCATATTGCATACATTTAGCCAAGCCTTAAAACGGAGCTTCCATTTAATACAACACTTTAAGTTCCGGTTTGGAACTTAAACTTCATGCACTCTGACTGTTCCATTGACTTATTCCAAGAACTGCATCACGTCATATGTAACAACATACTTAGCACGAACACACCATTATAAGATGAGGTAGTTTACTTGTAGATTGTGTGTTGGTTGGACTTATAATCCTATGGTCAATTATTACAAGTGTAATATAAACGTGTAGCCATTTTCCGTGAGCACAGATTGAAGAAAAAAGACTCCGCTTCAGCGCAAGCTTCCCACATATACTCTGGGCTCCGTTGTCCTAGTCTAACAAAGTATACTCGAATATCTCGTATTACGATTTTTTTTTTCGAAATAGGCTATATCCACGTTGTAGTGGCTGTGCATGTCGTCTTGATTTTAACCTAACTGTGGTGCACATGTTATAATCCAGTTTCATTCTTGGTAGATATTTTTTTTCTTTTTTGGGGGGTATGGTAACGTAAGAAAAGAGTCTGAAACAAACTAAATTAAATATAAACCAAGGTCAAAATTGAAGAGAACTTATCCGTATTTAGATTCAACCTTGGCTTTGAGCCTGCAATCATTCGAAGCCGGCAACCATTGAGCCTGTATGAGTGGCACAGAGTCGTCTTATCACGTAACAGGAAGGAAGGAAATCTCACCGTAGATGGGGAGCCACCTGTAACAGGAATTTCTAAGGGGAGTAGTACAGGTCTGAATTTGAATCAGGATTTGCACGTGGGAGGAGTCCTTGATTTCTCGTCAATAAGCTCTTTGGCGGGATTCAAGTCAGGATTTATTGGCTGTTTAAGCTACTTGGCTATCGACGGAAAAGTTGTAAATTTTGGTAAGAATGTAATTGTTTCTTTTTACATTCCATTAAAAAATGGTTGGTATCTAAAAATAGGGACCTGAAAAACAGAAAAACAGGTACATGTATTGTCTCCTTTGATTATTTTGAGAAATTTTCGTAGGGACAAAACGAATGGTAGTTGGATAAAAGGTTTTAAAGTTCAAATTTCTGGAAACTAGTTTTCGAGGAGATTTGACAGAGGCACCCAACGGGGAATTTGAAAAAAGACGTTAAAAACAACAACAAAGTATAAATAAAGCTTTCTGAAGGCATTTTAAGCATTTTGGGAGATCGCTTGGAAAAAATTATCTGTTCCTCACTCCCAGTAAGACTGATGGAAGAGTTCCCAGCCAGCAAAGTGCACCTAAAACCTGCAACCTGACGTCCATAGGCAATTGGGAGTGGCCTATGGGAGACATTCACCCCTTCAATGAGGAAGGAGAGATAAACAAATAGAATATACAAGCTATTGTATACACCAAATCCCCTCTGACATCCTGAATTGTGTATTGCCCAGCAACACTTTCCTTCCAAGGACATATTAATTTTTCCAAATTTCCGAGCCAGCAAAACTTGGCCTGAGGAACAGATATTTTGGGGAACAGATCCATTGGGTGCCCCTGATTTTAATTTTGTTCAGGAGTCGAAGAAACGAACAGAGTGTCCGAGGGGAGAGTAAGGGTGCTTTCTTGACAAGGGGAAAACAATTCATACAAATTCTTCAATTCGGTTTTACCAGCTGAGTTGATGAACACATCTTGAAAGTCTGCTTTTGGTTTCTGTTCTGGAGGTTTATTGTCTTTAGCAACTGATTGGACCAAAACCACCATTTCTTTCTCTTACCGACGCAACACTAAAGTTCTGGAAACTAACCCTTTTATTTGAACTCTTTGAACTGTCTATACGCTAATTTTTTTTAAACGCGTTCCAAAAGTGGAAATGATTCACCATCGTCTAATTGACATTACTAGATTGAGTCATGTCTATAGAACATGAGCATGTTTCTTTCTGTTTCTTCGACTTCTAAAGGAGCCAGCTCTTATTGGAAGTGTATGCGCTTGTCAAGGGCAGTATTGACGAACTTGAATGAGAATAGGGCCTGTTTCACGAGGAAGCTATTTTTGTAGCCTTTCGGTGTAGCTTAATTACCTAATTTTATGATTAGATTTTATCTTCTTCCTTCTCTTGCCAAAACACAATACTTAAATGGATTTTGTCACAAGGATATTATTGTTTTATGTCAACTCTCTGCTGATGTCATTACTGAAGGTCTTTACCCATACACAAAATGCTTCTGTAAAATAATGAAGAAGAGTTCAAAGAAATTTCATCAGGGAACACTAACCATGATGATTTGTTACATGATTTGTGAAAAAAAAAATGGAAAACTATTTTTGGAATTCAATTGATACGAAGACACTTTATAGCTTTTTAAAAAATAGAAAATAGCGTGACATAACCCTTTGAATACCTCTTTAAACAAATTTCAGGTGATCCTATTAAAAGCGTGGGTTTGGATGATTGTGAAGTCTGTCAAACAAGGCCTTGCAAGAACGGCGGCACGTGCACAGAGGTCGCTGGAGACTGGGGATTTATTTGTACTTGCAGGCCTGGTTACTCGGGAAGGACCTGTGATGACGCTGGTTACAAGTGTTCACCTGGCGTTTGCAATGAGGGGCGTTGTGAAAATATCGGCAATGATGGTTTTAGATGCATCTGTCCTGCTGGTTACTCTGGGGAGAGGTGTGAGGAAGGTTTGTTGTTGACCAAAGGCCCCTGAGTCCTTTACGATCTGATGTCAAAACATGAGCTTTGGTATAATTCCAATTTTTTTCCTGTTTGAATAGGATGCATTAAATACTTTTTAACTGGTTTGCATCAGTTGGTATGGGCGAAAGACCGTAATATATTGTTTGATTCACTGGACAAAATAAAATGGATTTCCCCCCCCCTGTTTTTTGGCATGCAAATGACATTTACCATCCTGGCCCCATATTTACTCCTCCAGTTTTCACAAATTTGCTATATATTTGCAATTATCATGTTGGTGCAAATTCATTTTTTTGCCCAGTGATTTATATTTTAAAAGTGCCGGATCGAGGGAGGAGGGAGCTCGGGATGATAGCTTGCCAGGGCCTCATTTTAAGGTCATTTTCGATGGTGCCCCCTCCCTCTTTGAAGGGTTTGAATAAGCAGCGCCCCCAATTACTTGAAGGTCTGGTTATATAGTAGCTGCTACTTGAAATACCAGACCGAAGAATGTCGCTATAAAACGCCTCTGTCACTTGAACGGCCCCAGAGTGAGGTGTATGATAGAAATCAAGTGAAGGGTACTTCGTTAAAGAAACGTCTCTTAGACTTCTGGTGGTGTTTTTGGTTTTTTATGTCATTTGGTGTACTAAAAAGGAAACTTATTACGGTATTCATCCTGTAGGAAGGCCAATAGACACTCCTATGTTCGAGGGCGACTCATACATGTCATTACCAGGAATCGAAGGCGCAGTTCTGCAGCTAAGGTTCTCCATCAGATTCCTCGCGCTTAAATCAGGCAATATTCTTCTACTGTACAATGGTCAGACGATATTCCCTGGTCGCGGTGACTTCATTTCCCTTGCCATTAACGGTGGGCGAGTTGAGTTCAGGTTCAATATGGGAAGTGGTACTGGTATTTTACGCAGCGCCAGAAACATTTCCGTAGGATTCTGGCACACTGTAATAATAGAAAGACAACTGAGAGACAGCTTGCTGGTTCTGGATGACGATCCCCCCAGTGAAAGGTTCCTCCCCGTGTTGTTCACGTGGATTAAATCTTTTGTTAGACTTGTTCATAGGCGGAGTGAAAAACTTCACAACATTCCACACTAGTAAAGTTGGCGTTAGCTCCGGTCTCTTTGGTTGTATATCCGAAATATCAGTAGATGGTAGGGAAATAAACCTGCTCAAGTCCAAACTTGACATGCGCGGTATCAAACAATGCACAGAATGCCTTTTGCCTTGTGAATTAAGACCATGTTTGAATAATGCCACTTGCATCCCGGTTGGAAAAACGGGCTTTTTCTGTTCCTGTGCTCCTGGATATACTGGACAAAAGTGTGAGTTTACACTGGCCGATCCTTTGAAGAGCCACATATGTGTAAATGGCGGAGTTGAATTATCGTCATCTGACAGGTTACTTTTATTTATTAATTTTTTATTTTCCCAAACATAAGAAAAATGCACTCCACTACAGTCAACCCGCAGCTTGTTTTAATGAGGTGTAGCTATTAATTCCCTCCGGTGTCTCTGCTATTGATAAGTTCGGCTAGTCTGTCCAATATTTTCTGCGTTACGGTTGGTACTATAGTCAATCTAAATATAGTGATATATTGTAAAGAAATTTCTTCTCGGACCTCAAATGAAGATCTCTCGCGATTAAGGACAGTAATTCGTTGGAGGGTGTCCGAAATAAAGGGAGTTGACTATATTTACTATAATAGACGGAAAGTCTTTGAATAATTAGAATACAAACAATACTTAATTTTAAGACGTGATAAAAGCAGTTCGCAAACCTAGAGAGCTTCAGAAATTCTGAGCCTAAAAGTTGATTTACTGTGTTACAGGTTATGCAACTGCCCGCTCGGATATGGAGGCAGAAGGTGTAATAGAAGTAAGTACTTTCAGAAGTTTTGCCTTTTGAAATAGCTTCCTAATGCGACGGATATATTTTCAAATCTGTCATTAACTGCTGTTGTCGCAGTATAAACTTTTCAATGTAAGGGATCTTAAGGCACAGAGTCTTTGTGTGCGGATACAGCTGACCTCCCCATGCTGGAGCCGTCAGCATGGGTAAAGTGCTTCTTACTATAACCCGGAGGCCACACTTAGGAAGTCTTGGTGGCCTTTTAAAACCGGAAGGGGAACTACCGGTGGTGCAAATGGTAAGAGTAAACGCCTTCCACTGATATAGGCTGGGTTCGATTCTAGCGCCACAAAGTGGATTGACTTTGTTGTTGGTTTTCTTCACAAGTCTACTTCGAGCTGAAAAGTTTTCTCTAATTTATTGGGGACGTTTAAGAGGCCACACGTTTAGAACAGTGAAATCTATCGGGTGTCACGCTGTCTAAACTACATAAGTGTAAGTTTTCATAGTTGCAGTAGAATTCTTTGACGACAACCCCTACAAAAAAAAAAACATGCACACTGGCAATAGATTTTAAGTACTAAAGAAACCTTAGTTTACAAACTTCTGCTGTTGGGTTTATTTTAACCTTTTCGGTGCAAAGTTCTTTAAAATAGCTTGCATGAGGCAATGTATAGTTGAGTCGATTCCAGTGACTCTTGCTGATTGGCTGTTTCGTTGTAGCTGTCCAGTTTGGAAAAAATGCCTTGTTCAGTGGTGACGGTTTCTTGGAATTCCCATCATCGAGCATGCGAGGACCGAGGTGAGGTTTTTTCTTTGGTGTTCAGTGAACCTTCTGAGATAACATTTCTCAGCATCAGGAGAGTTTTACGACTGTCATAATAGAAAATGAGCGCCCAAGTTATTTCCATCCTGGTATTTTATAGCCGAAATACGTTATAATCCACAGTGCAATGTTTACGGCTTTGAGCATGCATGCGTCCATTTTTTTTTACAGATCGACAACACCTGACTATATGTCACTTGCGATAAAAACAGAAGCTCAAAATGGTGTAATCCTCTGGCAAGGAGAGGTAAATTAGAGTGTTGTAATGAGTTCGGCCAACAGAGATTGTTTATAACTCATGCCTGATAATCCGATGACCAGAAAAGACATCCATCTACTTTGCCATATTCAGTTCTGAGCTTTTTCTTAGTTATTAAAAGATTGTAAGAACAAAACCTTTTTCCAAAACACTTCCGTATCTCTTTGCCAACACGTTCGTGTATATTTCACACACACAGGCCCCTTGTATTACGAACAGTTCCCTTGATCTGTAAGGCATCAAGCAACAAATAGATACCTCATGTTCTCACCTGGATCAATTTGGTGTCCCTATGAAAAAGTTTTCTTCTTGTTCCTTCCAGAGAAGAGACCACTTTGCAATCGGATTAAGAGACGGATTTCTGGAGTTCAGGTAATTATTTTAGGACTCTTGACGGCCCAACAACTGGTCTCTTTCTAAACTTTGGTATTCTTTGCTTTCAGAGTAAAAACACCCATACATGTACGTGACCACCAAAAATGCCAAAAGTTAGGGGTGGCTAATGGGAGCTCGTCGCATACGAGACTCTGACGCATCTGAATGTCGCTAAAATGGCCTCTGAAATATGTAATGCATGCGCACTAAAAAACATAGACAGTATACACGTATTAAAAGAGTATATTTCGTCACATAAATGTACTGATGGATCACATAACCCACTTAACATCCGGGGGCGATAAAATAATAGAGAGTTTAAGCAAAAGCATTTTTGAGTGACGCACGTCAACCGAGGCTAAAAAATTGTATTGCTTTGCGTCTTTGCGTCTTTTTTCTCATATTGATGATTTTGCGGAGAATTTGGGCAAAAACACTGCTTAAAAGTAGTTAACTATGAAATTGAGTGAAGCACATCCTCGGTTAAATTTGTTACACATTAATCCTTGATCACTGATCTACATAAAAAAAAAAAATAAGGGAACGGGCCCCCGGGCCCCTCCCCGGATCCGCTACTGCAAATAACCAGGAACTAAATTTATCGGTCCCTACCCTGAGAATACTTTAAAATCATGTTAGCAAATCAGTTACGTCTTTCTTAGATTTGAACTCGGCTCTGGGCCCGCTGTACTACAATCTCTGTCTCCCGTCAACGACAGCCAATGGCACTCCATCAAGGTTTACAGGTAACAAACTTTTTCAACTACAATCTTGAAATAATAGTTCCTAGATCTCCGTATTCTAGATGCGTTACATTTGAGGAACAAGGAAGGGCCCGAGAATAAACCCACCGACTGTCAACCATGAAAAAAAATGTAATCAATTATTGATTTCGGCTTCTATATAATATGAAGCAGCACTGACTGCGTGATGTCATCCCTCCGATATTTTAATTATTAGACTAGTGACGTTTGTCGTTTAATTTTGTAGGCGTTTCAGTGAGGGTTCCCTTAAAGTTGATAATCATGATCATGTAAATGGCACCTCGGCTGAGGGAAGCAAAGGGCTGAATATTAACCAAGGTCATAGCATATTTATAGGTAAGTGCATTGTATATCCTTATCTTATCAGTCATCCCTACGATCAGAATGGGCAGTCCGAAATATCTGGATTTCATATATTTGAACTGCGGGAAGAAGAAACAAATGCAGACAAGATCATCAATACACAACTCAGTTGTAAAAAGAAAGCCTGAATGCCCGTATTCGACCCCTGACCTCTGCGATACCGGTGCAGTGCTCTTACCTATTAAGCTAGCAAGCAGACTGGGTGTGGATGGTCCGTTAGTATTATCTAAAAGTCTACCTCCTTTATCAGTGTTCAGGATGTTTAATAATGTAGAAGATTTTTTTTTCATATGAACAGGAGATAATTCGAACTATAGCCTATATTATCTTAATGTTTTTTCCTCTTATTTCCAATAGGAGGGGGTGAAAATATCGCAAAAATGACACATGGAAAGTTTAATACTGGTTTTAGGGGTTGTATAAAGAATATATTTTTCAAGGACAGAGGCATGGACCTCCAGGGTGACGCTATTCGCGGCTGGAATGTCCTACCGTGCGACAGCGATGAGGCAGAGCCATGAAAAGGCATTCTGGAGAATCTGGTTGCCGTGCGAAAGGAGCATTAAGCTCCAGAGGCCACACAGCTCTTAACCAAACAATCGTTTATCGTACTTTCACATTGGAATACTTAATAAATAGCGCGTTTTTGTTGCGTGGTTACCCTTTAAATTAAAGTTAAGCAACTGTTGACGGTAAGGAAGAGAAGAGAAATGTGGAACTGTACGAACAAGAGTATTAAAAAAGAGTTAGTTCTTCGCAAAAAAGTAGAGAATAACCTGGGCAGTTATTGTCCTTGTTTACCAAACGAAATCATCCAGATAACCAGTCTGGCTTTGTTGTTTTCCTCTGGGCTTCGACTGTTTAAAAAGCGTTTCTTGATATCAAATACTGTTGTCCTAAAATGCATCTTGTCGTACTGGACCTACGCTTAAACCTTTCATTTTTAGAGTTAATCGAGTCTACGGACAAAAACAGAAACTGTTTCTGCTTCAGCACACCCTCATGTACATGTAGCATTTATTAACAATTTTCACTGATTTCATGTATAGAGACGTCTGGTGAGTTCATGATTTCAAGGTAGATAACGTCTGTCTCCAAACTCCGAGGCCAAAAAAATATTACCTGCCATTTTAGAGCTCTGTTTTAGACTGTACAAAGATAAAATAGGGTTAACGTTGGCTTAGGGGAGGGGTAGGTGGGCAGTTTCCCAGAAACATATAAAGATCCACATAGGGATTTTCGCTTTTGATATTTATATTGGCTCTTTGTTGTCAAAAATTTATTTTACCGCAATTGTTTATTATATTTACACCTTTTGTACATATATGCTTTTTCGTCTTTTTTTCTTGGCATATATGTGTAAGTTTGACAAAAAAAGAAACGTCGCCTTTCAAGAACTTGTTGAAGATAACTTTAGTTCATTAGCTAGTAAGTTAATATATCGAAAAAAAATAAAACTGGCAAAACTAGTTGTGTTGCAAAGTGTTACTTTCCTGCAACGTTATAATTATGGTACGTTTACCAAAGAGACGTGTCACAACAATGTTATCACTTCCACTCGCTACTTTAGAAATGCGAAAGGAACTAGCATCAAAATATAACCCGCAATTGTTTCTGGGTGAGGTGACTGGCACAAAAAGCTGAGCTTTTATGGGTGTTGTAATACCTACAAAATTGTAATGGTTGATTTGAAAAAAAAAAAAACTAAACCGTAGTCGTATAGTCCCTACACCTTTTGTACATATATATATATACCTTATTATAGGAAATTAAGGATCCATGAAATTAAGGTATTGGAAATTAACGCGACTCAAATTAACGCGAATTTAATGGCGAAAGACTTTCGAATAAAGAAAATTAACGCGAAGGAGGAGGTAGAATTTCATAATAAAGGAAATTAACGCGATTAATTACACGAAATAAAAGGAGAAGATATTGACATCACTTCTGACAGCGACAACGATGAAGATGAACTCGAAATATTGAAAACCTTCGCCTTAGCTTTTGTGAAAGATGAAAAATAAAGGGTAAATGGAAAGAAAGAAAGCTTGTAGTTAATGGTTTTTAGGTGTCAAGAATACCTCGACAGGTTCCAAAATTGGGATTAAAATACTGGAAATTAAGAGCGCGGAAATTAACGCTGCACTTAATTAACGTCGCGCAAATTAACGCTCAACAAAATTAAAGCGACTTAAATTAACGCGAATTTTAACGATTCTCGTTAATTTCTTAGAGCGTTAATTTCCTATAATAAGGTATGCTTTATCGTCCTTTTTTCTTGGCATATATGTGTAAGTTTGACAAAAAAAGAAACGTCCCCTTTCAAGAACTTGTTGAAGATAACTTTAGTTAATTAGCTAGTAAGTTAATATATCGAAAAAAAACAAAACTGGCAAAACTAGTTGTGTTGCACAGTGTTACTTTCCTGCAACGTTATAATTATGGTACAGTTACCAACGAGACGTGTCACAACAATGTTATCACTTCCACTCACTACTTTAGAAATGCGAAAGGAACTAGGATCAAAATATAACCCGCAATTGTTTCTGGGTGAGGTGACTGGCACAAAAAGCTGAGATTTTATGGGTGTTGTAATGCCTACAAAATTGTAATGGTTGATTTGAAAAAAATTACTGAACCGTAGTCGTATAGTCCCTACACCTTCGTAACCGTTACTTTAGTGTACCGGTAGCGAAATGCCAGCCATCTTAAGGGGTTAAAACAATCCCACGGAATACACGAAAATTGCTCATATTTACAGCTTTATTCGCTCAAATCACCAGGAGATAGCGTGCTGAATGTCTTTCTTTCTTTGAAATAAGCAATGCCAAGTGAAATGAAAGGACACTCAAACCCAGCAAATAAGGACACTGATGAGGCCTTAGAAAGTGTCCGTATTAACGGGGTGTCCCAATTAAGTGGGTGTTCATAAAACAAGGTTTGAATGTACCTTGAAAAATCCCCATCAGTCTTGGAGCAGAGAAGAGAACCAACAACAAACTCAACTAACATTTCGCTCTTGAATACTAACGCATGCGCATACTAACTGTTGACGTACACATAGACGGACTGGTGAGGTTTGAAACATTTGGGGAGACTAAGGCAGTGTTCACACTTGATGCATGGGTACAACGCCCGAGTGCGGTACTCGTTGGAAACTAATGTGAACACACGCTTTTATCAAGTATCCACGTCCGAATTAATTCGTGTGGTCGGTGCCCGAGGACAAGGTCGAGACCTTATACATTGGCACACCGTTTCTGTTTGTTCTGGGGTAATCTACTGCTATCTACTCGAGCTCGCGTTTCAAAATGGGGTCTCACAGAGGGCAAAAAGGAGTAAATAATGTGCACAGTTCCCATCTTAGGAACCCCCAAGGTGTGAACAAAACACCATTTTTGTCACTACCCAGGCACTACACGTAGTTCTCGGGCACCAAGTGTGGACATTCCATAAATTTCCATCAGAAGAAATTGATTCGCACGGTCAAACTGTGGGGCAAATTTGCTCTTTTTCAGTTCTAGGGTTACCTGGAAAATGAACTTTATTCAATTCTTTAGTATACCCTGCCAGCGCTGTTGTTCCTAACTTTTTCTCATAGGTCGAATTTTAACATGATTCTAGTTGGCGACAGGAACATTATCGTATAAAGAAAGGGCTTTTTTCTGGAGAAGGAGGGAGGAATATTTTACCTTAAAAACTGAACTTTTGAAACCAATTAATCTGAGTATGAGCTGGAGACGGAAGATTTTCGTATGATAGCTCAATAAATTTTTTCAATGACAGAGCTACTCAACCATTAAAGCAGATTAAAAAACACAAATTACTGAGCTTTAAGGTAAAATTTTGAAGTGACCTACTCAAAAAATTGGATTAATAAGGGTTGATATTAAAAAAAAAAAAGATTTTAAGGTAAATCGCAAACTGGTACAGTCCCACACTTTAATTAAGCTGAACATGAGCTCAAGATTACCTATGTAAATACAGGTTCCATCTAAAGTTATTAATTCCATCCACTGCAATCAATAGCTCTTTTTCTGAGTTATTGAAGCAGGATGTTTCTAGATGCTAACATGTCAAATGAAGTGGAACAAAAACTGAAAGAGAACTTCCCTAATTCCATAAAAGAGAAATTTTTAGCGGAGCTCCACCCGCGCGCGAAGCGCGCGTGCAGACGGAGCTCCATAGCTAAGGAAATGTGGTAATCTACCCATCCGAGAAAATTTGGTAATCACGTGACCGTACGCCCGACCGTCCGTCCGCACCACAGGGAAACCAATGTTTTCTCTCACACTTTCTAGCTAGTTTGGGAGCCCAGTAGAAAACTAATTGCACATCAATGTTGTGCTCAATTGACAGCCGTCAAAACAGGATATCCGCTGACCAGTGTCACCTGACCGTACCGCGGGCTCAAGTGTCGACCCATCGAATTCGAGTACTTTTTTGAAGTTATCCGCTGACAAATTACCAGATTTAAATGATCGCAGGCTCAAGTGTATTTTTTCCAACGATTCATATGAAATATGTTTTGTTTTTATGTCACTATGGCCCCGCACTGTCAAGATTTTGATTTCAAACTGACCTCGGACGCGAAAATTCAGCCACTTTTTTAAAAATAAAGGCGGGGAAGACCTTTTCTTACCATGGTCACGCGTTGGTCACGCTCTACGTCCAATTTTTGTACTCTGATTGGTCAAAATTTGACAGGTGAGTTCATGCGGAAAATTTATGCAGCATCTTGAAAGTTGTTTACTTTGACAGGTAAAGCTGACAGAGTTTTGTGTCAACTTGTGATGTTTTTAACTGTCTTTTTCCACTGGATGTACAAAATGAAATACAGCTGCTATCAAGAGTCTTCTGTTATCCATGGCTGGTTTGTTTATTGGGTTTTTGGTTGAGAAATGCGTCGCTTGTCAAAATTGGGTAATCCGATTTCGGATGGCATTGTTTTCGTCTTTCACCTTGCTCAATGCGTAAGAGGGTTTAAAAGTCTCAAGCAACTATGGCCTTCCTTGATATCTTTCAGGAACTGAATCTCGAATGGTAAGCCTGAGTAATTATTGTATTTGATGTTTGTTTTTGTTATATCTAATTTCATGAAGTCTAGCACAGTTTATGCGGCAAGTTTTTGCTCGTTTGTTAAGATTTGAGTCAATGATCTGATCTAGTATTAGGTTTGATATAAGCTTACAGAACTTTAAAAGGCCTTCAGATTTTTTTTTTCACGACAAATAGAAAAAAAACGTTCCGAAGAATATTTAGTTACAAATTTAGCAGTAGAAAGAAAACTCTGAGTGATTTTCTTGCTTCGAGGAGTTCATCTTTGAAAAACAAAACAAACACCGGGAGGCTGGCTGAAAGTAAAACAAAATAAACCTAAGCTTAAGCTTTAAGCTTAAAGACTCAGAATTTTTAGAGACACTTTAATACTTGTCTTCGTGAATGAAAATTGTTGTCTCTGTAAATGTTTTACCGAATTATATTTCTTTTATTGATTGTTAGTAGTCTCTCTTGCAATTTAAATCGCTTGTCCGTGGTGTTTGTTTTCATCGTTCATGAACATCGCTTGCAGGAGTACTTAGAAATGTCGCGCGTATCAAACGCTTTATAACATTACACATCGTTATAACTGGAACCATTAAATAACAAAAAGTGGTGATAATAAATTCGTTATTATGTTGAAGCGTATCTCCATTAAAGTTCATTCAAACACTCCACCACACTGACAGGTCGCACTAAAAATGAGAACCGGCTGGCCGTATGGGTGATTTAGGAAATTTTTTGAACGGTTTCGCTAAAAGCCCACGATTGATCGTCCTGGACATTGAAAAATTGTGAAATGCCGTATTCTGCCCGAGGTCTGTATGATAAAAAGTACTGTTTCACCTCAGGTGTGATGTATAAAAAGTATAAAAGGTTGGTTTACACACCCTCAGATTTGTTGGCAAGGATTTGTAAAGTAAACCTGTCGAACGCAAAACAATGCGGCCTGATTTGTTTTCCAAGAATTTGTTTTCGAGGCCTAATCTACTGTGATCAAGAGCCATTATGGCTATTGAATGTGATAGAAGATGTTTGCTATTTTTTGGCTGTACATATATTTAGGCTATCAACTCGATGTAAGATCTTTCACTCTAAAATAACTTATCCTTTCCCTCAAAAGTCACATGAATGTGCCCTTAAGTTAACTGATTTGTGGATTACAAGTTTATTGTTTGATTTAAAATATAAATTTATTAATGGGAGCTTCGCTTTTAGCCCTGGCTAAATCTATATATTAAGGTAACTTCAATATTTAAACCAAAAAATCGATAAGTAAAAAGTATGTCAGTATTTTAATTTGGGTGACTATGATAAAAACACACGAAGAACACACAAAATGGCTTTGTCATCAATAATACCTCCTTATTTCACGTTTTAAGGAACCAGCAGTTACTCTTGAGAATTGCCGTAATCCCGGCAAATTGAAAAGGGCCGGTATTTAGACATTTGGCCGTGATATAATTATATCTGTTAAGAAAAGGGGTCCTTAGCAATTATTTCAGGAAACAAAACCAAAACGGTATTAAATATTTTATTATTTTGTTTCCAAGGCACTGGTATTTCGTTTAACTAATACGCATTAAAAGCGTTCAACTTTATTTAAACTTATTCTCTACGCTCAAGTAGCTTCTCTAAGCTTCCCTCTGAATAATGATTGGAAAAGTCGTAAAATAAACTAACTAAAACGCCAATCCATTTGTTTAGAAATGCTGGGCCATTCTGTTTATCCTGACAGCTGAGCAAATGTACGGGAGCGGGGAGGGGCACTCAACAAAGTCTTATGGGTACACTCCGCCCCATGGTCCAATCCTCTATATTTTTAACATAATTATACATTTTTTTACAGCAAAGGTACCCCTTGGTACCCCTTTTACATACCTAGGTTAGAACTTTTGCATCTTTGTTGTCTTTCAAATATATATCAATCACCTAACAAAATGTTTTCTCAACTTTTAAGAGCCAGAAAATGTAGATGTTAGCCCTTTTGAGCCTTTTTACAGACCGGAATGACTGATTTCCCTATATACCCTTTCATATTATGTGAAGCCAGAAAGAGGTTCTTCTATCGGGCGAAGTCTCCCCGCAAAGGCCACTGTATGAAGTACCCCCGGGGAATACCGCCTGCTCTTTATAAGCAATATCACCTCCTCCGACATCAAAAGAAAGCTAATTGTGTTCTGTCTTCAGGTTAATGTTCAGAGTTAATGTTAGTATTCAACATGAAGACTTTTGCTCGCGTTATCATCATCGTGTTTTTGCTAACTACAGTCAGTTCGACCTTCAGAGGTAAGGTTCTAACACATTGTATTCCTTTGCTGGCTATTCTAAATACCTGGCTTTGCAGGGTCATGGGTTTCGTCTTCGGAGAATTCCCATTAGAAAGAGACGGGGATGATTAACAGAAAATTAGAAAGAGAGTGAAAAATCTCTCATTCTGCTTCGATCCCCTGAACGAGACCAATCTGAGCCTAAAGGAGAGCGTACTCGAACACAATATGACGACGTTTGTTTCCTTTCAGGATACTTACGCACAACCCTAAGAAATACCTTCACTGGCAAAAATATAGGCGTTCGACCCTTCGTTTCGACAAAAAAATCTGCAACTTTTAGCTATAAGCGAGGCGACGTCATTTTCATATGGGAGACCATACGGGGTTTCTGTTTATGTTTTCAATGAGAAATCACACTAGATCATGTACCTACGTAGCTTTTTTTAGTAATCTGTTAAGGGCCATGTTTATCCTACAAAGAACAAATTTTGTGTCCACAAAGAATATCGACAACTGTGTTCTTTTGTTTCTGTATGTTTTGCCGATAGATGACCAAGCTGAAGTCAGAAGAAATGCAGATATACAAGTACCAGAGGGATGTCATTGGCCTTCTCATTATATTGAATGTATGATGGAGGAGAAGAAAAAAGATCACCTGATTATTATGATCTTGAAGGCATCTGTTACGAACTTGCCTGTACATAGAGACGGGTGCCTGAGGTATGAATTTCAGTTCACAATGTATCCGCTGAATACATTTAGACCACTGTTTATGGACGGAGAGCTTAGCTTCAAAGGAAATTGTGAAATACATGTCTCTACTTTCAACAAACGAGTGAATTTTGTCAAATTGCAACCCTAAAACTATATAATTAAAATAACGATTCCATTGCTAGAACCAAAACCGTCATCCCCTCTTCACAGCTCGTTCACCTTTCGGGTTTTTTTTTTCGTTGGACTGTGATCCGCACTGGTGTTCGTTGAGAGTGAGAGAAGTAAATTTCTTGGAGGAGTTCGTGATTCCGAAACCAGTAAAATAAACCAGGTCCTTTCCATTGCAAAATGTAGAGTAAGATGGTTGTGATATTGAACATTCAGCGGCATTTATAGCTGATTTTGGCTTTTGAGAAGCTATCGTCTCGAGATTGCTCGAAAGAATAAACAGGGGTTAATTCCATTAGGTCCTCAAAATGATGTAAAAGGGTTGTATCGAATAAAAAGCTAACAAAAAATGCTCTAGTTTGTTCTGTACGTATTGACTGTACTAGATTTGATTTGGCTGTGCATTTCAGCTGGGAAATAACTCACGGCAATATATTGAATTAAAAGGCAACTATAGCACTGTCTTGAACACATAATTGTTTCCTTATCAATGCAATTTTCACGATCCAATCTCACGCGGGAGAGTTTTAGCAGAGAAGCTGTCAATCCGTGCGGAGAATGGGCAGGTGACACTTTAAAACCCAAATCGGCGGTCTCTTCCAGAATGGCGGCTTTGCCACCAAAACTCTCACTCGTGCAAAAACAATTCCGCCAACTACGCAGGCTTCGTTAATCATAGTGGTTGAGTTGAGAGATAATTCCCAGCATGCTTTGTAAGCCTTATCCTTTTCCCACCTCGATAGGATTATCAGGTTTAACTGTTGTCTCCTCAGCAAAGGAGTATTAAGGTAAGATAAAAAAAGCCCTCATAATTTTTTTTTTTCCAACGGGTGTAAGCGAAGTGAGCCAGATTAATGTAAATAGCTATTGATATCGCTCTTGGATCTGCCCGTTTGAGTTGTCATGAATTGAAAAGCAAATTGACAATTTATCTATTTTTTGAACTAGCAACAACTAAAAGCTGGAAGAGATCATGTTCGGTATTTAGAAGTGTGGCCCAGGGGTTAAATTTGGCACTACCGAAAAACAAAGCTAGTCAGTGGTGCGAGCGGTAATTGATCGAATCCATACATCCAGTACTGTACAAATCCAGCGCGCTAACCACTCGGCCACCCTGCCTACAATACAAGCAGTTAAATCAGTGGGAGAACAGTAAAACATCCGCGCCACACCTTCTCTTTAGAGTTTTCTCTTCCATTTTGCCAAAGAAACTATTGATATATTCAATAAGACTTAAAACCAAGTTCCCTTTACGAAAGAAAATAAGTAACATACAACTGCTTCATCTAATAAGTAAGGCGGAGAAAGGAAGCATTTCGATTGAATAATTAAAATAAATAAGAAGTATACTTACTCCGGTGGTTCTTAAGTAAAACAAAAGGTATAATCTTCTAGTTGAAGGAAGAATATTCTGTTTTTATTTTTTACTCTTGTTTCTTAACAGCGCAACCAAATTATGAGTTTAATGGATCGAACTGAGGCTTTACAAGAGAAAAACTAAGAGGACGCATGCAAATTGTGTGCATAAGTAACTGAATCCTCCTCACTTTACTCTAATACATTAAAATTATTTATTTGCTCTTCAAAGCTTTGTCGTCAAGGTATATGTTTCACAATTTCTTCTTTGTTTTCAGAGTGAACATGAATCTGTAGAATTCATAACACTTTTTCAATGGGTTCGACTCATTGAATTGTCAGGTCATAGCAACTTTTACTTATTAAACATTGAAGATGACTGACAGCTCCAAATTATTATTTAGCTCTCCATAAATTGGGTACAATTTCTCGTTACGAGGTCACTTATTGAATACTGAAAGGGGGTTTGAAATAAAAAAAGTGTGTTTTTTATAAACGTGTATAATTGATTTCATTTCGCTTGATTAGAGCACTCTATCTGGTATTGTCTTTGACCGTGTTGTTATTGACTGCTTGCAGTCCTCCTTTTCTCGTAAAATCCGTCTACTTCTATTTTATTTTATTCATTAGCTGTAGAAAAAAGGGAAACGATTAAAGGATATTAAACAAATACTGAAACAAAGAATGGCAAATGCTTGATTAGGCAGGGATACCACGACAGCGGTAAGCTAATTACAGTGGTCCGAGAGTTCACAAAATATGTAAAAAAAAAAAAAAGCAGTAAAGCTAGATATGACGATTAAAAACAGCAACGAAGATGAACAGACACTTTACGTTAAACGTTACATGACAGAGAGATGGTTTTCTAGGATCGTGGGACCTCTGGGTCGTAGTTATGTTAAGGTTGCATTAAAGTTGAAGGTCAAGCTCACGTGTTGGAAAGACCACGCCCGTAACCAATCAGATTGCGGAACCAAGCCCTTTTAGACATTTAGAAAAAATTACGATTCTATGTCACATGATCGCCACTGTAAGTCCGAGAAAGCAAAGGAGGTAGGAATAGTACCTCTTGAAAGTAATTGTTATTGAAAGAGTAACCTCGGAAAGCATGCAGTTATTACTGTAACTTAAAAGGGACGTTTCATTTCCTCAAGCTTTTTTAGTATTATTGCACTAAAAGTATGTAATCACAGGCCCAACTGAGAGTTACCATTCCACTTGAATATTTCCAAGTACATTTCTGAACCGTATATTGATTAACTTGCACGTGAATCTTGCCGTCAATCTTGCCGAATCAAACTTACAGAAACAGATCTGAATTAAACAAAGGCGTTTTCTTGACGCCCAAAAAAAATTGATTACCAGTATGACAAGTAATACTATGCCAAGCACAGTATTAAAAAATTCTTTTTAACCTCGTGGTTAATTCTGAAATAGAAATTTCTGTTCCATCTAGAGATATCAAAGGGATCTCTAGCCATCTTAAACATTTTTATTTTTATTTTATTTTTTAACTGTGCCTTGATATTTGTTTTCATCTACTGAACTTCCGCTGTTCGATCAACAGTCGATTTTAAACAACATGGTTCACACACAAGGCGCAGAATTTTTCACGAAGTATGAATGGTGAGGGTATTTAAACTAACAAAATTGTTGATATCAAGTAACTAACTTTGTACAAAGCCTGATTATAGCATTGCTTGCGGAGGAACTTTCATGACCAAAATCCAAGTTTAAATTTACACCGTTTTATTAAACACCTGCAGGCAAACCCTAAAATTGAGCTCAAATGTCTGACTACAATAAAGATTAAATAAGCTGGACGAAAGTTTTTCTTTTGATGGTGAACGAAATTTAAATACATAATTATCTTCTCTCCATAGGGGCTTCTCAGGGATAATGAAACAAATAATTCAAATGGAAGAAAACAAAGATAAGAACCCAAAATGATGGAAAGCGAACCAGTTGTCTATTTTACAAACATGGCCCAATATTTAACACAGGGATGTTGGAAACAAATCAAGGAAGAGGTAAGGGCAAGGCTTAAACTCGGAACCTCCTTATTGCAAGTGCAGCGTTCTAACCACTCGGTCACAGTGTCACCTTCAAATTGCCTCCCTCAAATTGCTGAGCAGGTGAGGCTTGAACGTTTGAATTCAAACAAAGGTAGATATTAGTTTTTTCTATATTGCCAATATTATTGCACAAAACTCGCAATGGGTCTTTTAATAAGAGATCGTGAGAATTGCTTAGTCCTTCCTTTTTTTCAAGGAAGTCGGTTGCTAAAAAACGACAGTGAAATCCTGCTGACTGATTCTAATCAGTTTGACAGAAACTGATTTGACTGACAGTTTAACTTTAAATGATCGCAAGATAGATGGCGGTTGCTATTTTAATTCACCCTTTATCAGAAAATTTTTGGATTATTCAAATTTTGCTCAGCTACTTTCCGAACAGCTAAGTAAGAAATTACACATTTTTTTATTTTATTGAGGTATTGCTCCTTCACCCAAGGAAACCTAAATGCTCTTGTTAGAAGCAAAATATATTTTCTGCTAAATATCGTAGTCTGGTAAGGCGAAGAAAGATCCTCTGGAACAATTTGTGTTTTTGCAATCTTTAAACATTCGCATTGATATGACACAATTTGTGACATTTGCTACAGCAAAGTGACATCTTTCATTAGCATTCATGATCATCACAAAATGTAGACGAGAAAATTAGTTCCTATAGCCCAAGAAGAATAGAGCATCAAGAAATTGCTTCCAAATAAAACGACCTTTTCACGACTCCAGTACAGTATAATGTGCCCCAGTGGTAAGCACCAAAAGAACACGTATCTTCCAATGTAATGATCACCGTTTAAACGAACGTTTTTTCTATTCTTTTTGAGACCTTCCGGGCCTCAAACAAAAATAATTTTATAGGACGTGTAAACTTATCGCTCACAATGAAAACGATGTTTCTCCGACATAGCCAAAAATCAATTAATTAAAAATTAAAATTCAAAGGTAGCGAGTGAAAACCATCGACAGCTATTTGAATCCTACTATCTTTGCAATTTGTACAGTATACTAGATTTCCAGCAAATATATGAAACATTAATAGTATCACACATTGCTATATCTCAATGAAAGTTAAGGAAGATTTTAATTACAGACATCATTCTCTTTTCAGAAACTCTAAAAACCGAAATAATTATCAAACCATTTTTTATTAAACCTCTCGCAATTTTTTCCCCTACTACTAAGTGCGGCCTTCTAATTTTTACGGAGTTGCATTCTGCTGACTTTCCGTTAATGGCACAACATATAATTAGCGGGGCGATCCTTTACAAAACGAATTTGTCAGCGAGGATAAAAATGTTGTACCGAAAATACGTGAAGAAAATTCTGCACAAAGTTCTTGCTTACAACAAATTGTGATACAACTTACTCCACCCACTCAGTTTAGCTAATGGAACTGGCACAAAATGACAAAAAAATATATTTTAATACACGTATCGTTTTGGAGACTATGTAAATAGAGCACAACGGAAGCTTTTTGACTTCTTAATTACCCAGGTTTTGTGGGAATAAAACCAATACCCAGCCGCTTAAACTTTAATCAGGTTGCTATAATTTATATGGTGAATAGAAAAAGGAAACATTAACATCAAGGATGAAATTTCTTTAAAATTTCTTTTCGTGAACGTTTTTCTTTTTTAAAATTTACATGAGTGCCACGAATATGTGAACGTAAGATATGATGCAAACTACCTGGTATTGAAAAAATATAGTTAAAAAATAAAAAAGGCAATCTAATACGGTTTGAATACAGATAAGCGTGGACGTGGGGAAAGGTGTGGATTAAAAATATCCGGGTAAGTGTGGACCGGGCCTTGGTGTTGAAAGTGCGAGTTTTTGGAACACGGAAATGGCCTATTATTATAAGTGATGGATCAGGGCGGATAAAAGTTTATCGCCTTGGCTTGTATGGACTAAATAGGGATAGGGTGAGCCGATCTCCGGAGCTTCTATGCGTATTGTCTACACGGAGTTATTTCACCCTGGCTTCAGTAGCCATGAAGGATATCATGGTTCAGTTTAGGAAAGCGAACTTTGTGAAGACAGAAGTTTAATCATATTCTTTACTGGTGGGGATAAAATTTTGGTAGAAAGAAGAACATAATTTTGATATCCTTTAGGGAGGATTTCGGTCGCAGCTAAGCCATGTGAAGATTTACTGTGGGCCCAGCGTGACAAAACTTAACAGGGATTTACATTTTCTAGAATTTCTGAAAATCCGTTTTTCTAATCGTTCAGAAAGTACCCGATCCTACGTTTACCTTCATTTAGATCCGGATGGTTGGCCTGTGGTTGAGGTGGCAACCTTGTGCGGGGAACACATGCGCAGAACACGACCTGTGCACAACCAAAATCACAGCCACAGCTGACGGCAGCGAGCTGCCAGAAGTGAGCGGAATGGCAAAGTAAAGGGTGAGTTTTCTTGGTTTAAATCTGTCTTTTTCGAGATTATGGGAACAACAAGATCAATTGCTGAGGAAATCCAGTCAGATTAAACTATTAAAAATGCTTCTTGAGAGTAAAAAAATCAACAAACAACTCGTGATCGTAGTGTGTCAGTCACTAATCGGTGCATGTTTAATCCTATTTTCAATATATGTGTTTTCGTTGAAACCGACCTTGTTTGAAATGAAATCATTCAAGTTATGTTTTTATATACACTTAGAGCTAGTAAATAATAGTTTTGTTAGATTTTGGAGACGGTTTATCTAAACAAAGTTAACCACTTTGATTAATTTTAGCTTTATTTTGTCTGCACAGCGAAATCAAAGATGGCGAGTTACCGCTTGAATTTGCAGTGTTAGGAGGTTTGCAGTGTGTTTAGTTACGTAACACCGGCTCCTTGTTTGTTCTTTCGAAGAATTCAGAACTCGATAAGTCAGAATTTGTTTGTATGCTAACACTCTAAAACCTGAAAATCTTATTTTAAGAACAAAATTTCTCAAATTAAACTACAGATGAAGGGTTTTTTTTTCTGAAATGAAATTTCTTGTTTTAAGAAAAAAAATCTTATTTCAAGGGAAAATTATTAAAATAAGAAACAGTGCCTGGCCTTATTTTAAGTAAAAGCATTCTAAATCTTAATTTAAGAAAAATAATTCTTATTATGAGCAGGTAGTTTCTTAAATTATAATAACACTGTTTAAGAATTTAATTTTCTTAATTTGAAATTCTGCTTTTAAGAAAAATTTTCTTTTTTCAAAAAGAAAGACCAGTCCTTATTTCAAGAAAAAGGATTCTGAAAGCTCAGAGCCGATCAAAGGCCCTGTTCAAACAGCAAACTACTAAACTTGTGACAACATTGTTATGCACCAAATCAATGTTCTCTTTTATTTCTCCACACTTGAAGTTTGACATAATTAAAAGATATCTAACACCTTCTATTGTGGTTGCTCGTGATCGCTAGGCATATCACATCATCTTTGATTCTGTTTGTTTTATTTTTGTGAAAAAAAATAGGAGTAAAAAGGGAAGAATGGTAATCCCATTTTGGACATGGTAAAACAAAATAAATATATTTTTTCACAAAAAAAAAACCACCTGCCACAGGATAAGTAATATTACTACAAAACTAACACTTATTACAATAAAGATTGCACTCGGAATAGAACATCTGAACTAAATAAACTTATTCTAGCTATTTTTACTGATTACAGTCGAAGCTCTGATAAGTGACCACCTTGGAAATTTGAAAAAGTGGTTGTGACTATAGAGCTGGTTACTTACCAGATCGTAAGAGACTGCATGTTAAAACAATAGAGGGTGGTCGCTTATACGAGAGCTTCAAAAATTCATTAATAATTCATGAAAAAAAATAAAGAAATCAATGTTTAATTAGTGTCTTTACATCTGATATAGCCACGGCTAAACTTTATGTCTAAGTGATCACTAAGGAAATGACCCAGTACTTTGACAAATACAATACTGCACTGTACAAGAACCATTAGCACAGAGTGCAGTTTCATTTAAGTGTTTATTTATATAAATAAAACTCTGAGTGGTAGCTTACGAGAGCCTAAAAACAAAGGAAAAGTCCAGTTGGGTAATGGCCCAAAAGTGGTAGCAGTCGCTTCCGGTGGCTTACGAGAGCTTTTCAAACAGGGTTTCGCACTGGTGGTTGTAACTAGAGCTGCTCAGTTACAAGAGTGGTCGCAAGGAGTGCTTCACTTTATCTCTCTAAACATTTTGTTATTTCATTAGTAAATGTAGAAATGTGGTTTTTTATTTGTGACTTATGATGATCAATGTTGTTAATCAGTGCTGCTGGTTTCTACTACAAAAACTCTGCTTGAAAACTTAGTTTCAAGTTATTATCGTCTATTTAGATGATGTACTGTTCCGTACAATTATTGTATGGAACAGTATATCATCTAAATAGTCTCCTAGCCACAGAAAACTGAAGAAAAGTATTGAGGAAATGGGCACAGACTTCTTACTGCTGCCTAATGCCTCCACCCAAGTGACCCTTGAATGTCAAAAATGGCAGGTAGACACCAACTAACCCTGTCTGCCCACTGAGGGGGAGAGAAATTTTCCTAGTCACTTCAAGCTATGGAAACTGGTATCAACTTCGGCATGATGTGCCACTGTTTTTTTTTTTACACCTGAGATTCTACCTCACCTACTCTTATTACTAAAAATCACTATTAAATTCTTGGCTAATACCTTATACAGTAAAAACATGCTCTTCTGAATGCGAGGTGGCACATGTGCACCATCAAATACAAATCAGGCATCAGTATAAAACTCAGACCAAATCATGAAAATATAGGGAAAACAAAGAGTATTATTGTATTGTAAGCATGTACAGCTGTAAATGATGCTCAGTTCAAATCAGCACTTCTAAAACCATCAGCAGGAAAACCGTTCTTGAATGTTATTCCATCAGATGGAATTTAATCTTTTAGACTGGCTTTTGACAGCTAACATTCATATGGAGACATTTACATGACTTTCTAAAAAAACGGGCAGAATTTCATAACTACATGTACAAGTCATGTATACCTCATGTCGGACAAATTAACTGCTGATTAAGCTTGTAGAAATGAATTATATACAGTGCATCATCAGTGACTATGTTTTTCGATTGACCAGCACCCTTTCAAACCTCTTATTTCATTGGTCCCTAATTTTATGCATTTTCTAGTCTATTTTCGTAAAGTTTCAAGCTCTACAAAAGGGCAGCCAAAAAACTAAAATGTTCCTTATATTACTTGTTTTGTCTTAGATTCTTAGATTGCACAGGGAAAAAATAGTGTTTGCCTACTACACCCTTCCAGTCCGTATTTTTCTAGAAAACTGCATATATGTTTCAGAACACCATCTGATAAAAAGGTATCTTTGTCTTCGTATCCTGTGGCTATTCCATTTGAACCTCTCAACTTCTCTATGAACTTTTGGGATCATGACATATGCTAAAAGCAGTCTGCAAACAAACATAACTATTACGTAATGTCAAATAAAAATTACTGATATTCTTTCTCTTGAGAAAACAAGAGGGAACATACTGTATTTTCATAATATTTAATGCCCAGACACATGACATACATGTGTATTTATGAAACTGCTCTCGTTATAATAAAATTAGCATGTTTAAAATGTTATTTTTAGTTAATGGTTCACTTGTTAACAAGGGTGATACTGACTAAACACCTTCTTAAATCTCATTAAAATGGTTCATTTGTTTGTGAATGTTTGGAACGTGCGTAGGTTTTCTCTAACACCGACTTTTATTACACCAGGACTACCTGCGGTTCCCAAATCGTAGCAGTGTAACAAGAGAGAACGTCATGACTGCGCTGTCTGCTGTGGAGAGCATCTAATAGTTCGAGCAACTTATAGCACCACCACAACACAAGCCAGGTTAGATTAAAACTAACTTATTGAACGTTCTTATACCGTTCGTGTAAAGGCTGTAATGAGCTTTGTTATTTACTTATTCATTTATTATAATTATATACTGTATATTAATGGCATTATTTTCTTAAAAAAAAATCACCATTGCCTTACGGAATCAAATTTGCATAGTGGCATACAAGGACGGCCTGCATCCAATTTTTGGAAGTAACGAACAATAAAATTTTCAAGATTGGTTGGAGGCTTGTTCAAATTCTTATAAGAACCACTCTTTTTCCCCGTGTCTATCAATTTTGGACGGAAGATCTCAATTTTGCACCTTTTTGCTAAAAAGCGTATTATTTCCATTATTTATTAGTTCCGTTATTTGGAGTTGGGGCCGGTTTTTTTAAATCGAATTTTTATTAAAACGTTCAAGATCTCTTTTTCAAGAGGTTGTTCCAAGTAGAATAACATTTTTCAGGTCTGCCATCTTCCTTAATGGAGTGAAAAAAGTGATTCCTTAATTATTATCACCGTGCCACGAGCAAGGGAGATAAAAATTCTAGAGCCCCGGCAAGATTCAAACCCATGGCCACCCAAATCTCTCTATTCAGTGAGCAACGGAGAAACTCTAAGTGCTAAGTTAATATTTTGGTCTCAAGAATCGCCAAATTTTATTTACCGAGCTTTGAATTTGCAATCTGCGCATGCCTCGCCAAATCAGGACCAGTGTACATTACCAAACCTGATAATATGTATGGGCAATTAATAATCTATTCATTGTCAGATATCACTGAACGTACCAGAATCACCAAATACCCAGTCATGCCCATGACACCCTAAATAAGCAAGCTATCTCAGTGCCTAATGTTACAAAGGTCATTATCAGCTAGATGTCACAACCAAAAGGCAAAAAAATGATCATGGAGTGAACTAACAAATACAATGATTACCCCCATCCTATCCAATTCAATATTTACCAAGACAGCAAATTGTCTTCAGTGATTAAATCACAGAAAAGTATTAAGAATACCCACACTGCCTTAACTGTCTACTGAAGCATAACAAGAATGTCCTGCCATGTAATTTATTAAGAGGAGCTTTACTTTTTCTTCCAAATAAAATATTCTCAAAATAGTTACCAAGGTCGGTCATTGACAGCTGATTCTTTCCTTTTCCCCTTAATGACTTGTCCTTCAGTAACGTGTCGTCTTCGGATAGACAAGGAATCAGGGAGAATCCCTGACGTTTCGAAACAATTGTTGGAAAATTAAATTGCGATTATACTTAATGAAAAGTTAACGATAAAGAATTTTTACTCGTCACATTTGTCTTGTTTTAAAAAAACTTTTTACAAGGGCAAACATAATAGCATATTTGAAACACATTTGTCCTACATTTCTTCGAGACAAGTGTAATAACAGATTTGTCTCACATTTGCGACATTTGTTGGGTGGACAAATCTAACATCAGATTTGTCTTAGATTTGAATTTGAGGCAAATATCATCAAATCCATTTCCCTTCCAGTAAAATTAAAACAACCTGTATAAGCTGGCAAAAAAAATTTGTCCTTTCTGTTCACAGGGTCTACAGCAACGTCCCAATTTGGCTATTAATCATAACTATAACAAAATTCTCAAATCTGATTGGTTCTCAACTGCCCTGATTTCAGCCTTAATTGGACAGTTAAATAGGACAGTACGCGTCATGCCTAAGTAATTGGTCGACAGTACGCGCCATCACGCGCGTGCTTAAATGGCTTTTTTTTTTAATCGCTAGCGAAAAAATCTTGGAATTTCTTGTGTTTTGATTTAAAAAGAGCCCTATATATCACAAATTTTGTTGTGATTAAACAAATCGGACTCCTGCTACGCGGTCGTCCGATTTTGTTAATCACTCGTATGATTACAGACCGAATTGGACTCCACTCAGTCCTGTTACCATTACAAATTATTAACAAGTCCGCTTTCTGAATGCTGCATTCTGTAATAAGGTTTAATAGACTGGCATTTTGATGATCACAACGGTCTCTCGTAATGGTAAGTTACAGAAGTGACCAGAAGTCGGCATACGGGTTGCAGAAAACGGCTCGGTAGATCGAGGTGGTTCGATCTCGGTTCACGCTGGAACCTGACTCCGGCGATGATAATGGTAAAGAATTGTAAATTGGAGACTGCGAGACTGAGAAACCCTGGTTTTAAAATTCGAGGCCGTGATTTAAAAACTCCGAAACGCACGGAGTCACCTGAAAACGAGACTTCGAGACCGGCATCACAAACGCTTCTGAGATCTTCGAAATCGGGCCAAACTTTTCGCGAGACCCACGTTTTCTGTGTCCCTGATGATGTTTTCCTCGAGTTAACCGTTAACAGGTGCGGTTAGAAAACACCGCATTCACCTACTAAGGAAAACGAGGAGCTAACGTAGCATTATCACTGGAAAGATAATGGCAAATGAACGTCATGTTTTCCTTATGTTTTGCTGTCAAATGAAAACCCGCGAAAAACTCTACGTTTGGCCACCGCGGAAAACAACAGAAAACGCTTAGAAAACAGCATGTTCGTCGATGTTTTTCTAGAGGTGGAAAACCGTAGGTTAATGACATGTTTTCCTTTCGTTAACTGTTAACAAATACAGTAGGAAAATGCCGCACAAACTGCGCGTTCACCTGGTCTGGAAAATACATGTAAACGCCTTGTAAAATACGGTGTTTGCCTGAGATTTTCAAGTGCAGGAAAACGCCAAGTTAACTCCCAATTTTCCTTGGATTCACACAAGGAAAATTAGCAATTTTCGGGATGTTTTCAGGAGTGGGAAAACAGATGGTGAATGCCGAATTTTCTAGGCTTTACCGTTTTGTAAAATTATTGGTAAATGAGGGTTTTCTTGCCGTGTAAAGCTATACGTTCCCCTTCCCTGATATATTCGGTAGTCTATATGACGTTAAGATGGAAACCGCAGTGAAGCAAGGAACAAGATACGGAAAAGCCAAAAACATCGAGGAGTGCGCGTGTCCTCCAGAATACACTGGTACATCTTGTCAGGTGTGTCTATCATAATGTAAAAAAAGGTCAATTACACATCGGCTTTCATTCGTTCGCCACACTTATGTATCACCTCTCTCTCATTTCATGCCATATTAACTTCTTTGGTGAAAAGCCCTTTTTTGGTTTGGTCAGTGTTAATAAAGTGCAATGCAATGGATAAGAAGCCCTTTAGCCTACTTTGGCATTTTTATCTATTTATGGATTCATTCATCTTTATTTATTTATTGTTATTATTATTATTATTTCTTTTTTTCTGGTTAGCTATTTTTGTCTTGACCTTGCACAACTTTCAACGACTTTCCTATCTTTATCAGGTGACTGAACGAACAGAAAAAAGGGACATTTTAAATTTATGGAGTCGCAATTTGTGAACAAAGAGAAAGGATTATGCACAGTCAGAGAGTTCCCAACATAAATGGAGGCACCGTTGTTTTGATTTTGGTGTTTGTTAACTTTTATAAACAATCTCCTCTACCAACTATCGATAGTGTTCATTTACCAGTTTCAGACTGCATGTTGTGAATATGATGGACATTTTCTTTTTAAGTGTCTGATTCACAAGGCGAAGAAATGTTTTCCTTGCGAACTCAACTATCTCCTGGTAGAACTGGCGGAAGGTTTGAAACTCTTCTGTCTGAATACAAGATATTTTTGAAACACTTTTTCCATAGTTGTGTACTCTCTAGCCTAACGTCCACAATGACAAAAACCAGTGAAGAAAAAGTCACATTGAGTCTACCACGACAGTGTATTGACCTAATCACCAGTGTGTTCATTCTGCAGCAATGTGCCCGTGGATATACGCGCTTGTACCCGGGTCCAGACTTCTCTCCTTGCGTACCGTGTTCCTGTAATGGGCATTCAAAGGAATGTCACCCTGAAAATGGCCAGTGCTTGGTGAGTATTTATATTTGCTCTCTTTGTTAACAATCCGCAAATCGCATTAAAAAAGTTTAGAGCGTCTGCGACGCAGGCAAAAAAAGAAATAATGTTGAAACCTCACTAAAGCGTGTAAACTCATCCTAATCGACGTGGAGAAAAATCCAATATTATTGTTTTGCTGATCTTTTTAAATGAATGTTCAAAGGTATTGTATTTCTCACAAGCCATTTTGAAACAATAATAAAAAATGGATCTAACTCTATGACGCCCCTACTCGGTAACATAATCCAGTTTCGAGTTGGCTATCGCCTGTTGAATAAAATAAGTGAAGGAGCAGCCTCCATCTAAAGTAAACATAAATTATAAGACGTTGTATGAGAAATATTCTTTGCTCACTTAATTAATAAAATGTGCATTGAATATCGCCCTGAAGCTCACCTTCAGCCTTTTCTTGTTTTTCTTTGTGTTCTGAATACATTTCAGACCTCCTAGGCACTGTTTAATGCCTTTTTTTGAGCGATAGTTTTTCACCCAGACGACAGTATGGTCATTTTCATTTTTTAAAATTTTATTCTTAAAATCGCACTTGTAGAAATGTCTTTATCGTGTTTATAAAAACCTTGCACTCGCTTGTTTTATATGTAATAATATTGGTTATCTACATCCTTTTTGATAATTATGTATTTATTACTATTTCCTTGGTTGCGAATTCCAGGCTTGTGATCACAATACCGCAGGCGTCAAATGCGAGAAGTGTGCTGTTGGTTACTATGGCGACGCCACCAAACGAACGTCTTAAAGACTGTAAACCGTGTCCGTGTCCTCTGATGACCCCATCCAATCAGTAAGTACCTCAGAGTTCCGGTTAATTCCTGCCCACCCATGAGAGGCCCATGGGAGCTCTTTCTTGTCCAGCTTCAATTTTACCTTTGCAATCCTTTTTAGTAACGTAATTTATGAAAATGATTTTAAATCAAAGGAAAAATTAACCCAAGGATAAAACCAAAGCACAATCTAAACGTTGCCTATTAGGATTCCGGCCTCAGATGTCCCGTTTTTTCTAAGCCTTGGGTTCCGAAGATGTTGGCTATTGCGTCGAACGTATCATCAAGCTACGCTATGAAGTCATTATGGAAACTCACACAATGTAAACCACTCTTGTCTCACCTTATTTACTCTTAATTGGAGAGTGTGACCTGATTCTGATTAATGGTGCTGATGTAACTGTTTAACAGGTTCAGCCGAATTTGAAAGCTAGACACGGACGGCAGACCAACGTGTACCTGATGTCAACCTGGTTATACTGGCAGGAACTGTGAAAGGTATGTGGATAATTCTTCTGAGTCCCGTTACTGAGAGATATTTCTTTCTTTCCTTTGTAATGTATTTTTTGGCTCGTTTGTTGTTGTTGTTTTTTTTTGCTGTTGCTGCCGTTGTTTATTTGTTTTTTTTTTCACGTATTCGTTGTTTGTTTTTCTTAGTTTTCAACTTAGTCTAGAAGAACTTTTATTTGTATATCCAGGACCGGGTTAAGTTGGGTTAAGATAACCCAGGGTTAGTGCGAAATTTAAATTCAGATATGAAAGCTTAAAAAGTACATTCAGTTTAATTCTTTTTGTCAACAAGTTGTTGATTGGATGCTCTTAAAAATAACAGAGAAGACTATCCGAGAAAATGCTTTTGAGCAAAAGAAACAGAAAGCCCGGCTAAGTTTAACCCTGGGTTAAGCGCTAATCGGCCTTCGAATAACTGGGTCCAGGAGATAATTCTTCTGTCCACCCATCAATGTATTGCGTTATCGTCATTGTAGATAAGGTCAAGTGCTCCTTTTTAGTGGTGTAACCGGTTTGGCAGGATTGCGATAATGCCAAAGTCTATTTTCGTAACTATGCAAGTTCTATCTCCTGCACGCTTTCATTATCCGACAATTGTTAAAATTCCGGTTCACTGATTCGGTCAATACCAGGTTAATTTCGGTGACGGTAAAAGGCGGTATGAGTTTGCGGAATGGCATGTGGCATGGCTTGCGGAATGACACAATTAAGCGGAATGTAAAATATAGAAAATGGCGCAAAGAAATAAATTAAATTGAAAAACATGCGGGCGTCTTTGCCGCGCCTTTTTTGGCGCCAATTTGAGTGAGCAACTTTTTTGTTGGTCCATTTATTACTGCTGGCTTTATCCAAAAAGGCAGAGCAGAAAGTAGCGATAAGCTTTACTGCATTCGTGTCTTTGTAATAATTAATTTAATTTAGTTGCTTTAGACAATACTTTTCCTCTTTCTGCCCACCATTATAATAAAGTCAAATGTCAAAACGCTAGAGGGAAAAGAACGCTCGTTGAACGTGAAGCCGGGCTAGCTACAATTCGAGGGATTATTAATTAATACGGTGGACGAGTCAGAAAATATTGGAGACTAAATGAAAGCCCCGAGTCAAACATTAATCTGTACTCCAGAAATCGAGTGAAGTGAACCGCTCTTGTCTCCTTTTGGCCCTTCCGTGTGTCTTCGCACCTTCCTTGTTTGTGTGAGTGTGTGAGTTTGATCGTGAAAAAATACTAAAACTGTAGGAAGGGAAAAAAAAGAGAGAAACAGACAAACACTCAATTGCCAGGATTCGAACTCGCTCTTCTCCTCCAGCTGTTAGCTTCGCGTGCAGGAAACTTAACCAAGCAGCTAAGGAAACAAAATACAGGATCCGTTTCATCTTTGAATATCATGATCACGTAACCCACCGTCTGAAAAAGAAACACTTCGCACGCGGTTGCAAATACAAATATAGGTAGAAGGAAACCGTAAAGTTAATCGTGCGAACATCTTTTGCACAAAAAATTAACGCAGAAGGGAGCGTGACCTTCCAAAACATCTTTTCTTCAATGGCCGACTTTCGTGCTGTAGTATCGGTGCTGCCATGCAACCCGACTAATAAAGGCAAGAAGAATCTTTGAAGCTGTACGGAAAATGCTAATCGACAATTAGCCTTCGTGGATTTTTGATTGTCATCGTGCAACATTAAAACAGCGGCTGCGTTTGCAAATTGATTGGCGCAAAAAAAGGGCGCACTTTTCAGTTTAATTTATTTCTTTGGGTCACTCTGCATATATTACATTCCACATAATTATGTCATTCCGCAAGCCATGCCACATGCCATTCCACAAACTCATTCCTCCTTTTACCCTCACCGGGTTAATTTTGTTTGTTTGCTTGTTCGTTTTTGTTAATCGTTTTACACGGCGTCTTAGGTGCGAAAAGGGATACTTCGGAAATCCTTCAAAAGTCGGAGAGAAGTGTATCAAGCTACCAGGTATGCAATTATCGAACCAGTAAAACTAGAGACTAACTTGCTTACAAGACACAAGCAGAAATACGAATATTTTAACACCCCTCTGTAAGGATACGATCAATTTTACAGTTCTGGATGACTTACAATACCAATCCTTCGAAATGCTTTGGGCAAAACTTAGACCGGCTCGTCTCCCAAGGGGATGCAATTCTATTGTAGTTGGGATGCTTTATCATCTGCCAAGCGCCAGTGACGCTGCGATAATGGAATATTTAATCAAGTGCTTATCAACCATTGAATCGTGCTATCCCAACTGTGGTATTCTGATTGCTGGGGATTTTAAAAGATTGCAAAGAACACGCCTCCGAAACAATTTCCAGCTAAAGCAAATGGTCCACTTTCCAACACGAGGCAGAAGGACACTCGATTTAATCCTTACAAAGATTTCTGAATACTATCAGGATCCCATTGAACGCCCGGCTTTCGGTTTATCTGATCACGCCTCAATTGAGCTCCAACCGAAAGAAAGAGCACATATGAAGCAACCTACTATCACCATTAAAGCGAGGGATTTGGAAGCTGTGGATGTGTGCACCATGACTTGCGCCTTAGAAACGTGCGGAGAAAAGGTCACGCTCCTGGAAAAGATTATAACAACAGGACTTGATCATATTCTTCCCATTCAATCCCGAAGGGTGTACTCTACCGAGCCCCCTTGGATTACACCCACACTCAAAGAACTGATTCAAGGGCGTCAGCGCGCCCTTTCCCGTGGGGATAATCAACAGTTTCGGGAGATAAGGAATCGTGTGAATCGCGAACGAAAAACGTGTCGGGCTAAGTACTTTCAAGCGAAGGTAGAGCACTTGAAGGAGTGTAAGCCGTCCGCGTAGTGGAATGAAATCAAAAAGCTTAGCCGCTGTTCCCCGGCTTCCACGGAGAGATCTTACGTCACGAAGTCCCCACAACACCTGTATGGGCCTTCAGATGACATCACTCTTGCCATCATCATCAATAAGGCCTTTCTCTCGCTCCCTTCTGATTACGTCATACCTCCCACTAACAGCGCAACTCAACAACCCAGCTGCGCTTGTTGTATCAAACGAGTCGGTTTATAAGAAATTGATGAAACTGAACAGAAGCAAAGCGCATTGTTCCTATGGCATCCCGGGTGGGTATTGAAAGAAAATGCAGATTTACTGGCAGCGCCGATAGCAGATATTCTCAATTCATCTTATCGCGAAGGTCGTCTCCCACCATCATGGAAAGAAGCAGATGTTGTGCCGGTGCCCAAGCAAAGACCCTTGCAGAACATAAACAAACACCTGCTACCCATCTCCCAGACACCAATCCTGTCAAAGATAGCGGAAGAGTACGTTGTCGGCACTTATGTCAAGCCTGCTGTCCTCTCAAAGATCAACCCACAGCAATTTCGAACGGTGCCCAAATCCAGCACCACGCATGCATTAATCAGTATGATTCACTCTTGGGCGAAGTCAACGGATGAAAATGGGTCGACTACGAGAGTTGTACTCTTTGACTTCCGGAAAGCATTTGATTTGATTGACCATCATGTTCTGGCGCGGAAGCACTCCTCATATGATATTCCAAGGTCGATTTCGCGCTGGATCATAGACTTTTTAATGGGCCGTAAGCAAAGGATAAAACTGAGCCGCGACTGCTTCTCGGAGTGGGAAGCTGTTCCCTGCAGGGGTCCCACAGGGGACGAAACTGGGACCCTGGCTGTTCCTTATCATGATAAATGATCTTTCTGTAGCAGACAAAACTCTTTGGGAATACGTCGATGACACCACTCTTATCAAATCAGTATCGAAGAACGGGACTAGCTACATGCAGTTACGCGTAGATGAACTTGTACGACAGTCGGAAGCTGATGGCTTCCAACTCAACGAGTCTAAATGTAAAGAACTGAGAATATCATTCTCTAGATCAGGAAGTTCTGTAGATTATATCACTACCAATGATAAGCAAATCGAAGTTGTCTCGTCCGCAAAGCTGTTAGGACTGGTAGTTTCGGACAACCTCAGGTGGAACGCGCATGTAGAATCTATATGCAAAAAGGCTGCGACGCGCCTGTACTTCCTAAAACAGCTAAAGCGCGTAAGGTTTCACCCAAGGATATGCTACTTATGTATACAACATGTATACGCCCTGTATTAGAATATGCGTGCCCAGTTTTTCATCATTCATTGCCGCAATATCTGTCGAATGAAATGCAAAAGTTGCAAAAGCGCGCGTTGTGGATAATTCAACCCTATGCTGAGGCTCAAGTAGCTCTAGACGTCACGTAACTGTACGAGAGGAGGAAGGCCTTGAGTAATGCTCTATTTGACCAAATTGTAAGAGGCCAAAGCCACAAGCTCCATGATCTGCAGCCGCCACGCAACGGGTCCACTTATTGCACCCGTAGCCAGAGATATTTCAAACTACCGATTTGTAAGACAAATAGGTTTAAAAACACTTTTATTAGTAGTAATCTTAATTATTAGTATTTTGGTGTTGATACTTCTCCTTTTGTATTTTATTGTAGGTTATATTTTACGGTTTAGTAGTAGTTATCATATGTTTATAGATAATTTTTAGTTCCATTGTAAAGTAAGTCACATTTCAGCCGGACCGGGGGCTGCAACGATTTTACGTCTTAATAAAGCTAACTATCTAACCATTTAAACCCTGCGCAGTGGTTTAATCAGTTTACCCAATAAAAACGTGACCTCCCCGATACTTTGCGAATAGTTGTTTCTACCCGGCAATTTTGTTGCTTTTTCCGTTCACTTTCTGTTGGCAAACCAGTGTGTTTTGTCAAAAGAAGCGAAAATCATTATAAAACATTATTATTACCATTGAGGTACAGGGTACATGGAAACGATCTCGCACAAAAAGTCTAAACCTCTTAGTTCTTCTCGCCAGAGCAATATGTAAAAGGTTTTTAAGGGTTTCATATTGATAAAGTTGTAAGAATTGCCACCCCTTCTAGCTTTTTTGGGAGTTACACAACTAAGAAAAAAAATAAGCCAAAAAATACGTCGAAAATAAACCAACCCGGTGACGTTTTCAACGAGAAAAAGAGGAAGATCTAGATTCCACTGGGTCTGTTACAGAGGGGCATATTTTAAGTCACCTTTAAGTACTTTTCTTGACTTGTATGATATGATTGTTACGATGACCTGAAGACGTCAGTTCTATCCCTATGATTGCGATCGCCTCATATGCCCCCCCATTGCACCAGACGTGCTTCTGTCTAATCGTCCCTATTGCCTGCATATATATTAAGACGACTTGCGCGATTAAGACAGTTCTGACGTCGGTCATATTCCACCAAACTAAATGGTGCGTATTTACCTTACTTCATGCCATGGCCAAACAAATAAAACAGGTGACTTATTTCTCTGTTTATAGTGGGATATCTACCAACTGTCAAAGTCAGGCCCATGAAGCGCATCAAGGAGGAAGGTAAAAACGCTGTGTTTTATTGCTTTGCTGGCGGACAGCAAAGACCAAGATTCGCTTGGACTCGGGAAGACGGACAACCGATGTCGCGGCGCGTTTCAGTGAAAGGAAAAAGATTAAAGATCAGGGGAGTGCAGAAAGAAGACTAAGGAACGTACGTTTGTAACGCTAGAAATGTTTACGGGTCCGAAACAGCTTCGGCAAAGCTGACTGTCAAAGGTAAATGTTCCCTTGTCAATACCTCTACTGCATTTAACAGAATTTATGTCAGTTTCAAATAAGATAGACATATGAACACTTCTTCATCGCAGCTTCTCATTGATGTTCTTTCGCTACAGCTGAGTTACGTAAGGCCTGGTGAATAGCACAGCGCACAAATGAATAATTTCAATACATTTCGTCATTTATGTCATTTTGATGACAAAAGTCAGGCTAGTATGACAGAATACAAACAAAAGTAAGGAATTGTTTGATTAGCCAATCGTTTAGGTTTTGCAGTATGACGTCAAAGCAAAGTATCGATTGATTTCTAGAAAGTTCTCAGGCATGAAGTTTTTTCACCTGAGCATTTGATAAACCAATCAAATCGCTCTATGTCCGTTCGTTTGTTGTTTCTGTTTTGATCGCGCGTTTTCATTTCAAGGTCATACGAAAATCGCTCTAAACTGTGAACTACTGTCTTTTTTTAGACGTTCTTGTAGACCCTATTGCAGTTACTGTCTCCCCAAAAGTTCTCTACGTCCCATTAAACAAAAGTGCACAGTTCACTTGCACAGCCAAAAGTGACGCTGATTATAGTCTCAAATGGACGCTTGGTATGTATGGTGCACTTCCTGAAGGGGCTGTAGACGAAAATGGTGTCCTTAAGTTTGAGAATACACAAGGTATTCACGAAGGGACCTACACATGTACTGGTAAAAACGCATTTACTAATGACATGGCCAGCGTTCAGCTGCGTGTGGGAGGTAAGAAAATACTGGCTTTTGGATAGCTAAAGGTACGGAAAAACGAGCAACAAAAAGCGTGTAACTTGTTTTGCAACATTGCTGCAAAACGATTTGAATAGCGATGTTGCGCGTTTTACCACCCACGATCAAACCTGTTAACAACCTGATTTGTTGCGAGACAGGTTTGATGTGGGTGGTAAAACGCAAAACATCGCTATTCAACTCGTTTTGCAGCAATGTTGCACGACAAGTTGCACGTCTTTTGTTGCCCATTTTTCCGTACCTCAAGCCTCGCCCGTTACATTAACTTGTCATTATTAATATTTTCCTTCATTTGACTAAATATAAAAAGAATACATTTGAAGATCCCGCAGGCGACCACGCAAAATGTCAAGATTTTGTTGTCGCTTACGAGGATCAGCAACTCAACAGTCGAACAGGTTTTCAGTAGAACAGGCACCCAGATATGCTTTTACTGGGCAGGAAATCCCATATGAACTCGGCTAAGATGCCCCTCCTCTTGTTTATGGGGTGTAAATCGTAGATTGTGATATGACTCAAGGTGTTTAAGACAGAAGTCCGACATTGTTCCAACGAAGGTATGGCTAATAATCTAGATTAAATGCTTGCCACCTATTCTATATCAGGCGGTCATTTGATTGAATAAACTTAACCTTTTAAAGAAAAAATAAACGAAAGTGCAAAATATTTAGGGTAAACAGATTTTCGCCTTAACTCATGGCGAGTTACTATTCCAAATACTCCATTTAATCTTGTTTCTCGTTGTAACAGATTTATACATATATATGTCAAGTTTAGCAACGGTTACCAGCTGTATGGATTAGTGGAGTTCTGTCATGCAATTTAGTTTTTTACCTTCCTCTATAATTCAGTATGGTTAATGGTTATATTTAGTATGGTTAATCTAATGGCCGCAAAAGCACTTATTTTTCTTTTGTAGTGACAAGTCCGAAAGTGTCGATTTCACCCGTACTACTGAGCGTGCGCGAAGGAGACTCGGCTCAATTTCGCTGCTCAGCCATTGGATTTCCCGCTCCAGTCCTCCAGTGGCACGGTGGTCCTGACAGTAAACTACCATCAGAAGCAATATTGTCTAATGACAATGGGCTTCTTACAATTCCTAAAGTAGAGAAGATACATGAAGGAAAGTACTTTTGCACCACTGAAAACTTGGGTGGCATTTCCGGTACTAGCGCGTTTCCGAATGTCTCCGGTAAGAAATTGATCCTTAATTGTTCTTCATTTTGTCTTTGATTTCCTTGATTCTTTCCCAGGGGTTACAAACAATAAATAAAGCTTTGAAAAATTGTTAGGTTAACACTGAAATTTTAAAAAAAGATCATCTCCATTCCATTGCTTTTGAAGTTTTGAGCAGTTATTTTTATCTTTCGCTCGATTTGGGTTTTGATAAATTTCTTGAAGTAGCTCCCTTAAGCAGAAAATAAACACGTTTTCTACTCGGTGCCAACATGGCTCCAAGGGTTCTTACCCCCCTACTTGCCCCTCCCCCCTCTCCCTCTCTCTCGTCAGCATTAACACTTACTTCTCACTGAGGGCAAAATGTTGGCTTAGGGAAGAGGTAGGTGGGCAGTTTCCCAGAAACGTATAATGATCCCTGGGAACGATGTTTGTTTCTTGCATCAGTTATTTATCATCTTTTTAACAGCCGGTGGCAGCGTCCCTGTAATCTCAGTCACTCCCAGCACCCTCAATGTTATAGAAGGTGATGAGGCGTTATTTGAATGCCTTGCTGTTGGAGACCCGACTCCTACAATTCGCTGGTCACGTGAGAAAGGTCGGCTTTCCTCGTCATCTTCGTCCGAGAATGGCGTGCTAATCATTTCCTCAACGAAGCTTGAAGACGCAGGAACCTACTTTTGCAGAGGTGCGAACAAATTCGGAGCCAAGGCTGAACCTGTAACATTGAATGTTGAAAAAGGTATTATTTAGGCCCCGATCATACGTATCAGGAAATTTCTGAATCCGCAACTTTTTCTTTGCAAATTCGGCTTCTGTCCATACATATCCGGTGTATCCGGCATACGAATCCGTTTGCCAGAGTGGAGATTTTTGAATACGCTATGAATCCGGAATCGCGGGGACGCTAATTCCATATATGTTTTTATCCAGTGACGTCACAACATCGAGCCCAGTTCTTTACCAGGAATATTCAAGACGATGCCAATCGCAATGGGTTATCGCTTCTACACTTCTTGGACTTCAGTTTCAAGTCATAACTTGTGTACTGTTAAACCTAGCTATGATTACTTGACACTTCAATTATGCCAAACGGCGGCTCGACATTTTGAAGCTTCTTTCCAGGTCGGACGGACGAATTTGGATGCCGTAAACGAGTTAAACGACCGAAATAGTGCTTGGCGACAATTTTGTCAGTGAAACAGTTATTGAAGAAGACTGGCAATAAAATTTTCGCATGAGCTGAAGATCGCTGTACAAATTAGCTGACGAACTGAGAGTGAATCCAAATACGTGTGGACGTGGGCAAATCATATTTGAGTACGGATACATGTGGATTTAAAGATTTTGCGGATTAGAAAATATCCGGATACGTGTAGACCCAGACGGGACCTTATTCGACATTGGATAAAATTGTACTTAAAGGGGTGTCACGGCAGTCCAGTCCATTTTGTTTAATTTTGCCAGTTACTCGCCCTCAATCGCTATGAGGTTAAAGTAAGCAAAGAAATAACTTGTAAATGACACAAGAAAAGATTCGAGACAAACAAATATGTCTCCTGAGCATTATTTTTGAAGTTACAAACAGAAGAGATCAACTTTGAAAAACTGTTAGGTTGAACAGTTTTCAAAAACCCTAATTTCAATCCGTTTCAGTCTTCTTCAGTTTTGCCCATCCGTGGCATCTGTTGTATCTGTTGTGTTATTTTAACCTTCGTTTAATGTTTTAAGCGGTTATTTTTACGTTTCTCTTAATTTAACGGGCATTTTGTAAATACCTAATTTGGCTGAATTTCGTGACACAGCGCCTTTCATTTTTTTTCGGTTTTCTTAAATATTTTCTAACAGAACACATTAGGCTAGTAGCCTGGGTGAGGTAAAACTTACTTTTGAGAGGCAGTCAAACAGTTTCGAGTTTTGTAAAAACGAGTTTTGGTGAAACTAACGCTTGATTCTGAGATAGAGGCGTATGAAACAAAAGATTCCGGCCCAGGTATGAATAATTCGTAATATTTTGTTTAAATCTGCTCTACCTCAGAGCCACGTATGGTCTCTTAAAAATGAAAGTTGTAACATGTCATGTCGTTTTTTTCTTCAGACAACTCCGTCGCTCCAACAGCAGTCATGGTACTGTTGAATCAAACTGTTGACGTAGGTGCATCAGCAATCCTGTCATGTCAGGTGACAGGACGCCCCTACCCCACCATACGGTGGAACAAAATTGGCGGCAGCTTAACGGAGAATCATGTAATTGAGGAAGGCGTGCTGCGGATACAAAACGCGACTATTGAGGACGCGGGAACGTACGTGTGCGTGGCGCAAAACAAGAAAGGAGTCCAGCAGGCAACAGGGATAGTTGATGTGAGAAGTGAGTAATGCTCAAAGCACTCCTATCGGTGAACTTGTGGAATAGTTTGCATGAACGCATGGAGGGTCAGCCTGGGCCATACTGAGATAGGTTATGTTATTAATACACATACCATAATTATCCCTTTCACTCCAGCCAAAAGTGTTACGTAGCAGGGTCTACGTTGCCACTCCAAGGGCATTATTCAGTGAAATCAAAATATCGCAACTTTACGTATAACGATTTGAAGGGAGAGTTTAGTTTACGGTTAGGGCTATGCTGCTTGCAGGGTTTTGAGTTTTAGACACACTCCCAAGTTACATTATTTTCGCAATTATGAGTGCATGTGATTCATCAGTAGTGAACAAAGGATGCGCTTTCTCTGCTTGTGTGTATATTAGCAATTGACAAGATTAGGGTTTTGTCAGATGAAGTTTTTCACGCTAAGGTTACGAAGGCTCTAAGACCATATTGCAATATCTTATATCGTCCAAGCTACAGTTAGGTTATTTACTTCCCATATCCGCATTAACTCGGTACTTATCATTATTTCTATATTTCTACGTTTCTTTTTTTCTCTCTCTCTGTAGCCATCTTTGCCAGATAACTGTGATCAAAAATTGTTTTTTAATTGCCATACGTTCAGAATTTTGTTAGATTGCGCAACGATTATTGTTATTGTTTTTTGTTGTTTTTGTGGTTGTCGTTGTTAAGAACTGGATGACGTAGCATAACAACGATCTTGCATGTGGCAGCCTGGGCAGAGTTTTTTGAAGCCCAGTTAGTTCTTGAACATATCTGTTGTTAGCTATCTTAAATTTCCTCCAATCGGGCTTCGAGCAACTCAGCTCTGGTGTGGAGTGAAAGGATTAATGAATCAACACAAGTTGCTCTGCTCTTGAATTCTCGAACGGCTCTATTTTGCATTAGTGTTAATTCCATAAACAAGCAATCGCCAGCTATTTAAACCCTTTCACTCCCAGAAGTGCTCTTGTTCATAATCCGATTAGATTTTTATTGCAGTGTTGAAAACAACCAGAACATCTGACAGCATTGCCATATCGTACTGCTCAGTAGCTTCCCTTCAACTCTTCACGCGAAAGTTAAAGCCAGTAATCGAAGTATTCTGGTTGACTTTTAAAGTTTACGAGTTTTGAAAATTACGAGGAATTTACGAGTTATTTTGGGAGGAAACGGTTAAACAACGCATGCGCGTGATCGCTAAGAGACTTAGAGGTGTGCTCGTAAAAATATTACCATACATATAGGGCCATAGCGCCCTCGTTACTAAAAGTAGTTTGTCAGCATAGTAACCGCTAGTGCACACTCATTGACGAAATTTAAATGCCTGAGACTTTTTGAGGCATGTTAAATGAGCACAATGCAGCCAAATTGACTTCTGGATCCAAATAAAATATGCATTATTACACATTGTCTCGTAAGTACGCACCTCGCATTTCTCGATTACCATTTTCTTTGTTTTGTTTTCTTTAAACCACTTCACTGCTTTAAAACTTTCTAAATAAATAGATTTGAAGAAAAAAGTACCAAAAGGTAAGATACCAGCTGGACCTTTCCCTAGACCAATGTCCCATTAAAGTCTCTAAACTATATTCTTACCATTCGTTCTTTGATGTTTAGGCTATAATTTCTTTTGATAAAACTGCAATTTTTACTGATGACATTCAGAATAAGCGTTTTAAAATGTTATTTGCCTGCAGCATCCAACTGCCCAACTTATAAATTGCAAGCGGTCATGTCATCTTTCATGCACGAACTCTCCATACTCGCTGATTGTTATATCTTTGATAAGTACACCCTTTTAATGGAATCTGAAGAATCGCTTTCTGTAGACAGTGGACACGCCTGCCTTTGAGCCTGACTTTGGGGTTGCTTATAACTCATATATTTATACATCCACCGCGCTCCTAGCATAAAACCATAAAATTCTGGAACATTTCTCGAAAATATTACTCCAGAAAACCTATTTATACCATGAACAATTGTAATCTTTACTTTAGATGTCTAATTTGCGATTAAGGCAAAGGAAACAATCATTGTGAAAGTGTTACTTGTTCACTTGAACTTCTAAACTAACAAAGCATATTAAGTTCTAATAAACTGTTAATACTAGTAATGAAAATAGAATCCTTCTGAATTGAAAGGAAATATATAACTTAACGAGATACTTTCCAACTTAGCATTCATTCTCTCCACCAAAGGCGCATATAAGAGATCATCATCATCGGTCGACCCAACTGAGTATCACGGTGCCCGTAGGTTAATACTGGTGGCGGACCGACACGTGACTTGGCATGAGTGTCTTACATCCGTGACTACTTGAGTACGATGTACTGGAGTTAGGTTATTTGCAACTTTCCATTCCCCAAAATGCGGTTTTCTTTCCCACAAATGTTTGCATAAGTATTGAGACTGTCAATCGTCCCTTATTGATAAATTGACGCAATACCCATGCACTTTCTTTTGTGAGAAAACCTACTGTATTATGGGAAAGGTGAAAGTCGCAAATAGTGGGATTTTTTACAAGGAAATCAGAACCACACTATAAATGCACAAAGAGAATTAAAAAATAAACTCTCTAAAAATCAAGTGAAACCCTATCTTTTGCATTCAGGTGTAGATACCTTAACACGTTGCTTACGGTGGCAGGCTTTAGATTCACCGTTGGTAGTTGGTTTGTTGCCTTAACGGCTTTACCCCATTAAAAAAAGATAATCATAAAATCCGTGTTGAAATTTTTTGAGTGTCTAAGGTTTTTAAATACTCAATTTCACAGTTGTCCTTGGTAGATCCACTTTCTAGATTGAAACCTCAAGGCTCGTCCTGTATTGTGACCTTTCAAATGGAGTTGGAAGCTACTGAGCAGTTTTTGGATGGTGCCATAAGCCCTTTTCTGTTATGTTTTCATCAGAATTGACTGATCTTGTTTGAGTTGAAACCGTAACGAGGTTGGAAATTTTGTTCCACTTCATCGACTTTCACGCCAAAACTTGCCCGTGCTATGCGAACTGGCAAACTGGCAAACTGCATTATGAGTTTTGATTGTGATTTCCTGCAGCACAGATTTAAAACTTGGCTCTGGATTTTTTTGTTCGGCTTTTTCGTGATGCAAAAAAGACACTTCCAGACCCAACTTGCTTTTTGCACCACTCAGTTGTTCGCGGGGAAGGGAGGGGGGGAGGGCTACTTCCTGTAATGGCCTATAAGTGGAAGTTCCCCCTGTGCAAGTTTGTGGCGTACTCCCCTCGTACTCTCTTTAGCGATGGACTCCAAATGTTCGGTTGGGCAATGCAAAAGGTCTTTACCATAACATTAGAGATATTTTAAGCCCATCTATAAAGCCTTGCTCTCACTTTGACTCCCAGCGAAGGTTCCACCAGAGATAGAAATCATACCTGCACCCAACCTCACAGCTATAACAGGAGAGGCAGTGGTTTTGAGATGCGCGGTCAAAGCGGGTCATCCACCTCCAGCTGTAGTCTGGGAAAGAGACACAAAGCAACCGCTTAACAGCAGTAGCGACGGCATATTGGTGATCTCCCCTGTAACTTTTGACAATGAAGGAATGTATATCTGCAAGGCGTCGAATATCATTGGGTCAACTGAGGCCGTGGCCTTGCTTACTGTACAAGGTAATTAAGTAATGATCCGGGTAAGGTGGATAGCAATTTCTTTTGTTATGCGGCAACGGTGCATTCCCCACACAGCAATGTTCTCAATTTTACACAGAGAATGCATAAACCTACATGAAGGTCGTTTACGCAATAAAATGCACTTACACTCCACTTTGAAAGGGTGTTTTTTTTGTGTTAAAAGATTTTGACCAATCACAAGAGTTGAAAACAATAGCCAAGAAAAGTTTACAATTTTACATGTTCCCCACATAGGATTTCTTTGTTATTCAAACTGAGACCAGATTTTGTTATATGGAAGATGGTTGAAAGTAAGGATGAATATATGTACCGCTTTATGAAGTTTTGTTAACTTTTGCTGTTTAAGCCAATCAGAGGTAAGTACCGACAATAGAAAAGTTAGCACCTTTCTTGCATTCCAACATGTTCGTTGCCATTGTTGCTATTGTTCTTATCTGGACTGTTACTTAAAGAAGAAGGAAAATTCAAACACCAGAAAGCTCAGAACAATTTTCCGAGCTCCAGGTGAGAATCGAACTCACGACCCTCCGAGTTCTAGTTCGGACGCTCTAACCACCGCGCTTCTGGAACTCTAATGGCGAACAGGGTCGGGATTTAATGTTACAGTGAGAAAAGCTCTTATTGAAAGCTACACTGTAAGATACCGGCCTCCCTGTCGGTTCTGTCATTTATGGAATTTGCTGCAACCTGTTCAGTAGCGACTATCTTTCAAGGGTTCGTCGCTTATAAAATAAGTCTTACTAAATCCTCCTTCCTGCTTAAATGTTCCTCAAAAGACATGTTAGTGTGTCGCCTAAAGGTATCGCTCAATAAGGTTATCAAGGGCCTGTTTACATAGAGGTGGGGGACCCAAGATAGGTGAGGTAGCCTGATGTAAACGTGATCAAATTAAAATGAGATTATATGGACAGGCGGTTTACCCCACCTAAGCGGGTTATCTCACCCACCTGCGGTCTTCCACCTCCATGTAATCAGGCCCTAAAAGTAACCCTAAACGTCTTAGGGAAGGGGGTGGGGAGCAAAGGCAGCAAGAAATTTCCCTGTTATTCAAATACCCACAAGGATTACCCAGATTATAACCCGGTGGTGTTCAATTCCTGCGAGCATGTTTTCCTTACTTTCTATATATGTCTTGTTTTCCGACTTCCCCGCCATTTTGCATAACCTGTTTGTGGCGAAAAATAATGTTGTTGAGTTACCTAATGTTTGTCTGGCCGCAGAAAATCAGATCCTGCATTAACATTAAGGAAGATGTGTGCAATCATTTAGCCCTTATAAACCTTTTGAATTTGTTTTAATCTACTTTTATTTCATCACACAGCTGAACCCAAGATAATGCTGAGCCCGCCCAACTCCATTTCCGTGACAACTGGGGGGTCGGTCACTCTAGAATGCGCAGTCGTGGGGAATCCCCCTCCGGAGGTTCAATGGAAAACTCAGGGAAATTCCCAATCCAATTTTCAACTGATGGTGAACGGTCCCGGAATGTTGAAACTTGTTATTATAAAAGTGACTGCGGAACATCAGGGAAATTACACTTGTCATGCTCAAAACATTGTAGGGAAAACTCTGGAAACGATTCAGTTGATAGGTGAGTATGTCGGGTGTCAGTATGAGTATGTTTTTCAATTCTTCCACTCTGTTGACAAATTAAGTAAAATAACTTGGTGCCACACAACGTTATTTAATTTGTTATTGTTATTGTTGTTGTTTTTTGGGGGTATGTGTGCGGCCCGGGGGGGGGGGCACCTAGGTATTTTTTGGGTGGGTATGTGCCGCCCGTGACTCCAAATTGGCACCCCGTTCTAGAAAAAATTTCCCCTAAAATTGATACCCCGTTCTAGAAATGGGCCAATTTTTTATACCCCGTTCTAGAATTCACCCTAAAACGGATACCCCTTTCTAGAAATGGGCCAATTTTTTATACTCCGTTCTAGGGTGCAACAAGAGTACAACGGTTTGCTTGTTAACGCATTGAACCGTATTTTTAAAAGCAATCTGTCCTTGAATACTTTCAAATGACTGCTTACAAAAGTGGAGCTTTCGTGCGTTCGAAATATTATACCCCGTTCTACCAAACGCTTCTGAAATGGATACCCCGTTCTAAATCAGAAGCTTCAAAATCACGACCCCTTTGGGCGGCACATACCCGTATTATTTTTTGACGTCTGTATTCTAATACGGCTAAACGGGTGTGTTATACGTCTTTATAATGCAGTGCGCTTCGATTTTCATTCTCTCTTTTCCTCAGGAAATAAAGTGGTGTTATTCCGGTAACATTTGCTTTTGATCTTTTGCTTTAAATTTTGTCAATGCACGGTAAACTTCCCACTATCCCACCCGTGGTTTAAAATTAAACTGGTTTGCTTTCCTTTTCGAAGTGTGTGGGAATGACATTGAAAAATTTTAAACCGAAAACAAGGATAGGTTGAACCACATGTATCAGTGTAACTGATATTTGCGTTGTATATGTATCCAAAGTTGTTTCGGCAGATCTCATGACGCTTGTGTAGACTATTTCATGCAAAGCAATTCCTAGAGATCAAGTAATGCGTGATGCAGTGATTCAAAAACTCTCCTTGTAATTTTCCATAAGCAAAGGTTGACCTTTGCTTTTTCTTTGCTCCTTAGTAAAGGTTCCACCAGAAATAGAAATTACACCAACCACGAACCTCACAATTGCCACAGGAGAATCAGTTATTTTAAGATGCGTGGTGATAGCTGGTAATCCATCACCGTCATTGGTCTGGGAACGAGAAGGGAATAAACCACTGAACAGCAGTAAAGACGGCGCCTTAGTGATCTTTGCTGCCACTGGCGACAGTCAGGGAAAATACATTTGTAGAGCGACGAATAATCTAGGGACATCTGAAGCCATTGCCTTTCTTACTGTTCAAGGTATCATACAGATTGTGTTATTTATATCCATTCTCCACTTAACAAGTGGCGAATGAAAGAGCTACGGCTGAAGTGATAAAGGTGCTACATCCGTTCTCGCTAATTAATTTAATAAGGTACCATCAATTCAATTAAAAAAAAATAAGCTCCTTTCTTAACATTTAAGCGCCATTAGGACTTGTAGAATGTTTCCACCCAAGCGCAAGCTATGGCAGAAATAAATGTATACACTCTTTTAAAATATAAGCCTTGAGCCGTTGTATTTGGTTTGTAAATTATCACGCGCGTAACAGAGCTTGAATTTTTGGCTATGAAGAATGGTGAAAAAGAAATAAATTTCATAGAAACCAAAGAGAAGGTAAGATGCCAAATATAAAATTGGGATACATATACTGCTTTTTGTCTATGGTTTAGGTTGTCCGTTTGTGCCACGTGGCCAAGGTCAGGAGAGAGGAGCAAAGTTTGGCGATATTCATGATAATCTATTCTAGCTGTGTTGCACCACGTTCCCTCTTATTTTTTCAGATAGGTTCTGTGTGATGTGTGGAAAAAGCGTTTGATTCCTGAACTGGTTTATAATTTCACACTGTATCTGTCCCCTTGTGCTTTCCTTTCACAGCTGAACCCAAGATAATGGTCAGCCCCTCTAATTCGATCTCCGTGACAGCTGGTTCTTCGGTCACACTAGAATGCGCAGCCGTGGGGGATCCCCCTCCGGTGGTTCAGTGGATACCCCAGGGACATTCCAATCTACAACTGATGGAAAGCGGCCCTGGGGTGCTGAAACTAATTGTAAAAAACATCACTTCATCGAACCAGGGTAATTACACTTGTCAGGCCCAGAACATCGTAGGAATAACCAAGGAAACAATTCATGTAACAGGTGCGTAAGTTGATTTTGCCCAGGTTATCAAAAGAGCTCTTGAAAATGCTTTTTAGAACTTTCGGCTTCTGATCACTAGCCGGTTAACAGTGCATGAAAAGACTGTGACCGCCGGCAACCGAATTAAGTTAAGAATCGCCTTCTCATGGCTAAGGCGTGTCCGGGACTGAAAGACGATTGTTTTCAGTTTTAATATTTCTTCACTCAGAGCCTTAAATTGCCACTGCTTACGAGACACATCATGATAAATCAGCTTCCTTTTAGGAAATAAAACGACTTCACTAAATCCTCAAAAGCCTTAGCAAACGCAAGAAATTTACGTCGGTTTACGTCGTTTCCACTTAACTTAGTTGTCCTTTTTGTTGTTGTGATTTGCCAGGACGAAGAAACAATATAGGACACAGCGTTAAAATAACTTCACACGCCATGGTAATTATTTTGGTTCCACTTTTACCCAAATGTCAACCAAAACACGAAGTCCTTTGATGAGTGAATTCTCATCAGTTTGTTGACCTAAGTATCATCGAATGCATCATCGAATTTTCTCCGTGTGGCATTTCCCATCACTCTCAAACCAAAGATACTCTAACCTCAAACCCTGTCTAAAATCTGCAATTGCCACTAGTTAAGTAATTAAAAGTGTTACGAGTAATAATAGTAACAATAATAATTATATAACAACAAAATCTTGAATCTTCAGTAAAGGATATGCCAAGAATAGAAATCAGGCCAGCACCAAACCTGACAGTGAGCGGTGGAGATACTGTGAATCTAACGTGTGCGGTAATTGCGGGTAATCCAACCCCGACTGTGGTCTGGGAACGAGAAGGAAATAAACCGCTGAACAGCAGTAGTGATGGCGTGTTAGTGATAGCTGCTGCCAGTGGTGTCAGTCAAGGAAAGTACATCTGTAGAGCGACGAATATTCTGGGGTCCACTGAGGCAGTCGCCTTTCTTATTGTTCAAGGTACAATTATCTGGCAACACGTTATAAAATGTACGTCACGAAATAGGAAATTTTTAAGATATAACGTCAATGCTTTCTGAAAGCACACCATTTTGTCATTAGAGTTTAGACCTCTCAAATGAAAAATTAATAAAGTTACGCATTTGTTTATTTATTCATTTATAGACCATACAACACCCTATTTGTCTGTAAGATAGAGCGTTTACCGTAACTAGCGACCAGTTCGGCAAGATTCACTAAAGGGTCTCGCGCCTTCTTCCATAACGTTTACCCCCAATGACCGCCCGTCATGGTAAGCCGGTTCTTCCAGGACGATCTTACTGTAAGACGGGGAACTGCAAACAACCTTATCAATTCTTTTAATCATTTAATCTAATTAAAGGCGCCCTTGGTAGCAACTTTCAGTCTCAGTTATGATGAATTGTTGTGGCTAAGCGTTCAAAGGCTAGTGTCTCTTGTACAGAAGTAAAAACACAATGTAGAAAAGCAGTGCATAACGCTACTTCTGGCTTATGCTTTCATGGGCCATAGCCCAAGTTTCTGCGCCAATACAATAAAGCACATTTCTTTAATACACAGGTGAGCCAAAGATAATAGTGAGCCCTTCCAGTCCCGTATCAGTTAAAGCTGGCAGCTTTGTCTCTCTAGAATGTGTAGCAGAGGGAAAACCCACCCCAGATGTTCAATGGGAAACTCAGCTTAAATCTCACTCCAGCCTTCAGCTGGGGGAACGTGGCCGTGGTGTCTCAAAACTGGTAATTGAGACCGTGGGTCCAGAAGATGAGGGCAATTACACCTGTCAGGCTCAAAACATCGTAGGGAAGACCCAGGAAACTGTTCAGTTGATAGGTAAGTTCGTAGTGAGACCAGTTGTAATACAGGTTATTGTTGAAGTTTGTAAGTTTCTTTGCCAACTTAGAGCTGGATATAACAAAAAGGTATCGGACAATAGATGGAATTGCCCACTAGAGGACAAGAAAATTAATGTGGCTTGGTAATTAATACAGGCGCTATGATATCTTCATGCTGATATTTTTGTGGAAAAGTTGTGTGGAAAACTTTGTCGTAGCTCAATGTGCCTGTTTTAATGACGAAGTTACCCTAACTCAGCATGTCATTTGCCTGAGAACTTTTCTGGTTTTTCTGACTAGAATGATGTTCTGGTGGGTAATACCGGTATGTCTTTTTTCCACCGTTCTGAATGAAATACCTAAAAAAGACCTAATATTTGCAGCTGTGCTATTCTTAATTATCAGCCCAGCAGCCTGACCACCTCTACCCCCCACTGAATCTTTACAGGCTCATTTTTAGCCCCGCTTGGATGAGAAGCCATGAAGTGTACGAGGGCACGATAAGCCCTGATATCATGCATATGGTTACCAGCCTCAGGGCTGAAAAATCACCCACCTTAAACTAATCTTTAGCTGTCCTAACAGTTAACTCTGAAATCACTCTTTTTACTTTCATCTGTTAGTAAAGGTGATGCCAAAAATAGAAATCATGCCAGCGAGAAAGCTGACCGTCACAGGTGGAGAGAGTGTAACAGGGAGCAAAATGAACCGCTGAACAGCAGTGACAACGGCGTCTTAGTGATCTCTCGCGCGTCCGGTGACAGTGGAGGCAGATATATTTGTAAGGCGACAAATATCCTAGGGTCAACTGAAGCAGCGGCTGGCTTATTGTTCAAGGTAAATTTTAGACTAACACAAGCCAAGGGCAACTACTCTACAAATACCTATCTTGTTTCTGACAACCCTTTTCAAGAACCACCACCCAAAACATCCAAAACTCTTCTTGTGTGTTCGTTTCTTTAAGTCACTTTTTCTTGTCCGTCTTTTATTACTATGAATTCCTGAAGACAAACTTCACGAGGAAAGTAACGGCCAGTTGTCGTTTTTAGCCAGATCCTTATCTTTACTTCACTTACAACAGCACGAGTAAGCAATGACTACATTACCCAAGGAGAAATTGAAACAATACTTATAATTAAGAGTTTTAAGGGGACAAACAACGAATATCTTGACCAGTGCTGAAATGGCGAGACTTTTCAACAAGAAAGTATCTCGTTTCTTCCTTTTTGAAACCTGTATTCATGTGCCAGTGATAAAGCTTATTTTATGGCATCTTGAAGGTAGTGACTGCACAATTACGTTATGGTTTGCTTAATTGTTACACAGGTGAACCCCAGTTGATAGTAAACCCTTCCAGTCCAGTCTCCGTGCTAGGTGGAAGACATCCGAAATGTAAACGATCGTAAACAAATCATTTCCTCTTTTGCTTTCCACCATATCATGAACTGGAACTGGTTATCATAGAATAACAAGGTTTTATTTGTTTTTCTTAGGTTTTCTTGCGAAATTGCAACCGATGTTTCCTCATTTTTTTAAATCTTATCATCCAATGTTGACATTAAAGATTCCTTATTGTCGAAGAGTGTCTGTGTCTAGCCTGACAAAACAGCTGACATTTCGAGACGCCATCAACGGAGAATACGTCTAAGGAACGGGCGCAGAAATTTCATATTAATGATGTGTCACTACCCAGATCTGGAAAGTGCCAACCAAAATCACTACCCAGGTCAGAGTAGTAAAACGTCATTAGTATAAAATTTCTTCACTCGTTCATCAGATGTCATTTCCAGGAAAACCATTGGTGGCGTGGCGAGATGTCGGCAGTTTTTTCATGCTAAGCTGTGTCAGGATGTCTGTCACTTTACATTAATTTAGAGGAACTTTTGCTATTGTCCTTGCTTTAATTAAAGGAAGCTTTAATTTTAGGCCAAACTTGTTCTCAAAGAGGATTGTATGACATGATATTTTAAGCATGTGGCGTATGTGTGGAAACTTTTTCACACTTATTCAGCTTAGAACAAAACTAATGAGTGATACAAAAGTTGAAGTAAATTTATGTTTTGTTTTTCTCCATTGACGAAATATGACCTGAGGTTATTGTGATTCCTTCTAGTAACTGTTCCACTAGAACCACCAGAGATCCTCTTAAATTCTGTTTTAAAAACTGTCATCGAAGGAGAAGACGTGGAGGTTCGGTGCAATGCATCTGGCTTACCAGCTCCGACCATTGTCTGGGAAAGACTGGGTTCTAATTTACTCAATGACGCCCTTGATAGAGATGGAATACTGATGATCCCGTCTGTCGGTGCAGAAGATGCTGGGACGTACTCCTGTAAAGCAGTTAATAGTGAAGGGCAGGACAGTTTTAGTATCAAGTTGGAAGTGATAGGTACGATTAAGGAAAAAAACTGAACCCAAGAAAAGAGAGGATAAAGTTTCTCGAATCCAGGCTAATCAAAATTTATTACTGAGAAAAATCACATTTAGAATCCAAGTTAGAGACATTCAAAGGTTTCAAAGGTTTTATTTCTTGTAGCTCAACAGTAAGATACCTCTCCCACAAATTTCAACGTAAAACAAATTTTAACGTCAATTACCATTGATCGTGTATCATTTCGTAGCGGCATATGATCGAGTTACACATTTTATCCTGGCGAAGTTCAACGATACCGTCAACTGGAGGTGTAAAGGCCATTTCTTTATGTACCACTTTGACCAATAAGGCATCCTGTTTCTGAGCCTTCCATAAAAATTGTTCCTTCTTCATATGCTTTAATGTGAAGAAGCGCTTTGATTAATAACTAAGGGACTTTCCCACACTTTCACTTGGTAACAGTTCAAACTATACGATATTTCAAAAAAGCCCTTTTTAAATAAGAAATGGCACATGTCTTACCCGTTTCTGTACTACAAACTGTCAAATACAGTCAAATTTCCCTTAGGCAGACACCATCGGCAAGCAAAAAAGTAATTCATTGGGAGCTGGCCGGTAACAAATCATGCTTTTGTAGTGAAGTTCCTAATGGGAAGATTTGTTAAGGTGGCCGTAAGTGAAGCTGTCCGCTTGAGGCATATCGTACGTCCGTCAAAAGATAAAAGAGCTTAGACTGCTACTACCCTGTTATACACCTCTCCCATTAGATCTTTTCAACGTAATTATTACTATCAACGATTCCAAGTAATGCTGTTTTTTGAACTCGAAGTTTTTAACATTTTCCAAAGGTTTCGAAAACAATGAAAAAATGGAACACCACCTTTAGGAACTTTTAGGAGAAACGTAGCCATGTGGTTGAATATTCAAGACTGAAATTTGTGTTTCCTTTCTTCCCCAAACTTGATTCCTCCTATGAGCATAAACTTAAACGCAACATCTGAAGGATCAAGGAGACAAAATGTAGTGAGTTGTATTAAGCTGTCATGCCAAGCCTCGAACCCCTTTTATTGTGTCTTCTCACCAAGGTAGAATTATGAATTTTTTTTATCATAAAACTCGCAAATAGTGAACTGACCTATGTCTACATTTAAGTGATAAACAACCCGAACCCTACCTGTTTCTTTCTTTTTTCAACTAGTGCCTCCTCTAATCGACGTGACTCCCTCCGAGATCTCCGTCAATCAAGGAACCTCCTTTAACATCTTTTGCATTGTTAGGCCATCACTTGCAATCACGTGGTCAAAACTCAATGTTAGTTTCCCGAACGGCATCGTGAGCGACAAGGGGACCTTAAAAGTCAGTGAGGCGAAACTGAAACATGCAGGAACATACCGCTGTTATGCTAACAATTCAGCGGGCTCCAGTGAAGGCTTTGCAAGCGTCGTCGTGTATGGTAGGAACCTTTAGGGGCCGTTAATTTAAAAAAATATCGCAGTATATATAAGTGCATACCTCAAGAGTTAAGGTAATAAAAGTTTTAATTGTAAAAACACAAATTAAAAAAAGGCCTTTCATCCCTTCTTCTTCTCTCTCAATGACTCCCATTTATCCTTTTTCCCTTTTATTTAGAAAGAAACATTCTATGTTGTACTATAAAATCTATATTGTACTACAAATGATGTTTTTTTGTGATGGCAGTCAAAGTTTCTTTGAAATATACGTTCGAGTCTTGTTGCTCTTTGCATATCGATTATCTTCATTATTTATCAACTTATATTTGGGAAATCAGTGCTAACCAACACGCTAGCCAATTTTCAGTTTCATCCCATGTTCAATTTGTCCTGGCTTTTTGACTGACTTTCGTTCTGATATCTCAGCTGCACCAAAAGTGGTGGCCTGGCCTAGATCTTTTGAAGCAGCGCATAAATCCAATGTTACATTTCACTGCAACGCGACTGGCATACCCGACCCGGTGATCTCCTGGTCAAAAGAGGGAAGCGACATTCCCGTACGACACTCAGCTGGTGTCTTGAGTCTTACAGGAGTTATAGGTGACGATAATGGTCGATACATCTGCACAGCAAAAAATGCTGCTGGAACTTCTACAACATCTATAAAACTCACTGTCGAAGGTTTGTTAGAGCTTCGCTTTGAAGAAAAAGAAGTCACTTTCTGTTCATCTCCATCCCCTTTTTATGCTTATTTCCCTTTATCATGCCTAAGTTCATTGGTCCGGTTCACGACCCCATATTCTAAAAGTACAGTGTTTAATTATATCATAACCAAAAATTAATGTCCACAAATCTTTTTCAAATGTCGAGCCAATTCATTTTACTGTAATTATATTATGCTATACCCTTGAGTTTATCCAATTGTTATTGTTATCATTATTATTATTATTATTATTATTATTGTCGTTGTTGCTGCTGTAATTATTACTATTGTTATCTTTATCGTTCTTGTCATTGTATCAGTATCATAATCATTATCATTATTACTATCATTAAATCATTCGTATGAGTAGCCATGTAATCATATCCTTTTCAGATCTACCCAGTGTGGTTATAACAGGTGGAACCTCCGTCAAAACAGTTTCAGTAGGAAAGAATTTGACTTTAGAATGCATCGCGAATGGAACCCCACAACCAGAAATACAATGGACCCGCGTCGACGGTCTGTTGCACGAGGGACTCATTTCAAAAGGAGGACAGCTGATTTTTCCCCGCGCGCGGTTTGCCTATGGTGGTGTATATAGGTGCAAAGTCACTAACAGTGCTGGCTCTGTGCAATCTGAAGTAGCCATCTTTGTGCAAGGTTGGTGTTTGCTGTTTGTTCTTTTCTGCTGTTACCTTTCACGTTTACTGGTCTGCAAAAGAAATTAAAGCTAATGCAAGTAAAGCTAAAAAACGCTTGAAATATTTGACCGTCAATTGCAAAGACATTCACATTTGTGGGGAATAGGATTGGTTCACTGGTTTGTCAACCGAGTTGATAAGCCAAGATAATAAGACAAGATAAAATAGCGAAAGCTGGCGATTACGTGTTCTCGTGTCAGACCAAGTGAGGAAGGCGTGAAAACATAAGCCTGCTTTAAATCTTACTGCGGTAAACCAAAATGACCTTATCCGATTGGATTTTTTGGTACTACCACCCAACCACCCCAACCCTACGGTTACAACTAATATCCATCTGCGAAGATCATGCAGTTTTATTGACGATGTTACTATTAAACATTGTGTTATTAACTCGAATGGCAAGGCTGTACTCTATTGACTCTTAGAGGCCCCCAAGGTCATGGTTACTCCACAGAGTTCACGTGTAAAAACTGGTGAGACCGTGCAATTCACTTGCATCGCTAGCGGCTCCCCGTCACCAGACCTAACATGGCGGAAAGTTAACGGATCGCTTCCAGTCAGCAGTACAGTGCAAAGAGGAGTTCTGAAGATTGCCAATGTGACTCAAAAGGATGCTGGGAGTTACAATTGTGAAGCCAAAAATGTTGAAGGATCGGCTAATAGAAGTGGAATTTTAGAAATTAAAGGTAAGGTATCAAAGGGTCGGCTCTTTGGAAGTAATTTTACTTTAACCTCCCTCCTTGTTTCATGTCTTGATTTTGACGAATTTTGGAGCAAAAATTTTACAGTGCCTTTCCTTCCATACATTTTTCCTGATGCAATTCCAGCGCGAAAAGCTACGAATGTTCTTGCGGTCATGTTGAGGGTTAGTTTGGGGAGTTTCTGCTAAGCACACTTCGCGTCAATGACAAGAAGGAACCTTTGTTATGATATTTACTCTAACCATAACTTAAAAATGGTCACCAACCATTTGTATCTCTACCTTTTCTATCTCTTCTTAGTGACCGTTCCACGATTTACACAGGAACCTCTGTCCTACCTCAGTGTACAGACATTAACAGACGAGCCACTTAATTTCACGGTTGAAATTGTGTTCATACCGGAGATGGCGGATGGGCTGATTCTGTACAACGATCAGCTAACAAATGGCTCTGTTGGAGACTTCATTTCATTTGGAATGTCAGACAGATTTGCTGAATTTAGGTAATGGGGTTGTATTCACAAACAGGGACGAAGAGCATTCTTCTTGATCCCCGCCAGTAGTCCTGTGAGGCTTAGCTCTAGCAGGAGTCTGTCCTCGCAAGCTATTTTTTCCATAAAGCCTTTGGTTACTCACAAATCTTTTTTCGAGGTCATTTGAAAACTAATGCAAAAATAGGACCTGAACTTATTTTGTTACTGTAAAACCCTGAAACAGCAAGGTAAGCAAACTATGGTATTACTAACCAAGTCTATCATATTCCATCTTGGCTGCAGTCATATTGCATACATTTAGCCAAGCCTTAAAACGGAGCTTCCATTTAATACAACACTTTAAGTTCCGGTTTGGAACTTAAACTTCATGCACTCTGACTGTTCCATTGACTTATTCCAAGAACTGCATCACGTCATATGTAACAACATACTTAGCACGAACACACCATTATAAGATGAGGTAGTTTACTTGTAGATTGTGTGTTGGTTGGACTTATAATCCTATGGTCAACTATTACAAGTGTAATATAAACGTGTAGCCATTTTCCGTGAGCACAGATTGAAGAAAAAAGACTCCGCTTCAGCGCAAGCTTCCCACATATACTCTGGGCTCCGTTGTCCTAGTCTAACAAAGTATACTCGAATATCTCCTCCCTGATAAAGCTGAGCCGGCACATTAGAGAGTATATTACGATGTTTTTTTTTTCGAAATGGGCTATATCCACGTTGTAGTGGCTGTGCATGTCGTCTTGATTTTAACCTAACTGTGATGCACATGTTATAATCCAGTTTCATTCTTGGTTGATATTTTTTTTCTTTTTTGGGGGGTATGGTAACGTAAGAAAAGAGCCTGAAACAAACTAAATTAAATATAAACCAAGGTCAAAATTGAAGAGAACTTATCCGTATTTAGATTCAACCTTGGCTTTGAGCCTGCAATCATTCGAAGCCGGCAACCATTGAGCCTGTATGAGTGGCACAGAGTCGTCTTATCACGTAACAGGAAGGAAGGAAATCTCACCGTAGATGGGGAGTCACCTGTAACAGGAATTTCTAAGGGGAGTAGTACAGGTCTGAATTTGAATCAGGATTTGCACGTGGGAGGAGTCCTTGATTTCTCATCAATAAGCTCTTTGGCGGGATTCAAGTCAGGATTTATTGGCTGTTTAAGCTACTTGGCTATCGACGGAAAAGTTGTAAATTTTGGTAAGAATGTAATCGTTTCTTTTACATTCCATTACAAAAGTGGTTGGTATCTAAAATAGGGACCTGAAAAACTGAAAAACCGGTACATGTATTGTCTCCTTTGATTATTTTGAGAAATTTTCCCTTGTCGATACCTCTACTGCATTTAACAGAATTTATGTCAGTTTCAAATAAGATAGACATATGAACATTGCTTCATCGCAGCTTCTCATTGATGTTCTTTTGCTACAGCTGAATTACGTAAGGCCTGGTGAATAGCACAGCACACAAATGAATAATTTCAATACATTTCGTCATTTATGTCATTTTGATGACAAAAATCAGGCTAGTATGACAGAATACAAACAAAAGAGAGGAATTGTTTGATTGGCCAATCGTTTAGGTTTTGCAGTATGACGTCAAAGCAAAGTATCGACTGATTTCTGGAAAGTTCTCAGGCATGACGTCTTTTCACCTGAGCGTTTGATAAACCAATCAAATCGCTCTATTTCCGTTCGTTTGTTGTTTCTGTTTTGATCGCGTGTTTTCATTTCAAGGTCATACGAAAATCGCTCTAAACTGTGAACTACTGTCTTTTTTTAGACGTTCTTGTAGACCCTATTGCAGTAACTGTCTCCCCCAAAGTTCTCTACGTCCCATTAAACAAAAGTGCACAGTTTACTTGCACAGCCAAAAGTGACGCTGATTATAGTCTCAAATGGACGCTTGGTATGTGTGGTGCACTTCCTGAAGGGGCTGTAGACGAAAATGGTGTCCTTAAGTTTGAGAATACACAAGGTATTCACGAAGGGACCTACACATGTACTGGTAAAAACTCATTTACAAATGACATGGCCAGCGTTCAGCTGCGTGTGGGAGGTAAGAAAATACTGGCTTCTGGATAGCTAAAGGTACTGAAAAACGGGCAACAAAAAGCGTGCAACTTGTTTTGCAATATTGCTGCAAAACGATTTGAATAGCGATCTTACGCGTTTTACCACGAACGTTCAAACCTGTTAACAACCTGATTTGTTGCGAGACAGGTTTTGATGTGGGTGGTAAAACGCGCAACATCGATCTTCAACTCGTTTTGCAGCAATGTTGCACGACAACTTGCACGTCTTTTGTTGCCCATTTTTCCGTACCTCAAGCCTCGCCTGTTACATTAACTTGTCATTATTAATATTTTCCTTCATTTGACTAAATATAAAAATAATACATTCGAACATCCCGCAGGCGACCAGGCAAAATGTCAAGATTTTGTTGTCGCTTACGAGGATCAGCAACTCAACAGTCGAACAGGTTTTCAGTAGAACAGGCACCCAGATATGCTTTTACTCGGAAAATGAACTCGGCTAAGATGCCCCTCCTCTTGTTTATGGGGTGTAAATCGTAGATTGTGGTGTGACTCGAGGTGTTTAAGACAGAAGTCAGACATTGTTCCAATGAAGGTATGGCTAATAATCTAGATTAAATGCTTGCCACTATTAGGTGGTCATTTGATTGAATAAACTTAACCTTTTAAAAAAAAAATGAACGAAAGTGCAAAATATTTAGGGTAAACAGATTTTCGCCTTAACTCATGGCGAGTTACTATTCCAAATACTCCATTTAGTCTTGTTTCTCGTTGTAACAGATTTATACATATATATGTCAAGTTTAGTAACGGTTACCACCTGTATGGATTAGTGGAGTTCTGTCATGCAATTTAGTTTTTTACCTTCCTCTATAATTCAGTATGGTTAATCTAATGGCCGCAAAAGCACTTATTTTTCTTTTGTAGTGACAAGTCCGAAAGTGTCGATTTCACCCGTACTACTGAGCGTGCGCGAAGGAGACTCGGCTCAATTTCGCTGCTCAGCCATTGGATTTCCCGCTCCAGTCCTCCAGTGGCACGGTGGTCCTGACAATAAACTACCACCAGAAACAATATTGTCTAATGACAATGAGCTTCTTACAATTCCTAAAGTAGAGAGGATAAATGAAGGAAAGTACTTTTGTACCGCTGAAAACTTGGGTGGCATTTCCGGTACTAGTGCGTTTCTGAATGTCTCCGGTAAGAAATTGATCCTTCATTGTTCTTCATTTTTTCTTTGATTTCCTTGATTCTTTCCCAGGGGTTACAAACAATAAATAAAGCTTTGAAAAATTGTTAGGTTAACACTGAAATTTAAAAAAAAGTTCATCTCAATTCCATTGCTTTTGAAGTTTTGAGCAGTTATTTTTATCTTTCGCTCGATTTGGGTTTTGATAAATTTCGTGAAGTAGCTCCCTTAAGCAGAAAATAAACATGTTTTCTACTCGATGCCAACATGGTTCTCAGGGTTCTTACCCCCCTACTTTCCCCTCCCCCCTCTCCCTCTCTCTCGTCAGCATCAACACTTACTTTCCACTTAGGGCAAAATGTTGGCTTAGGGAAGGGGTAGGTGGGCAGTTTTCCAGAAACGTATAATGATCCCTGGGAACGATGCCTGTTTCTTACATCAGTTATTTATCATCTTTTTAACAGCCGGTGGCAGCGTCCCTGAAATCTCAGTCACTCGCAGCACTCTCAATGTTATAGAAGGTGATGAGGCGTTATTTGAATGCCTTGCTGTTGGAGACCCGACTCCTACAATTCGCTGGTCACGTGAGAAAGGTCGGCTTTCCTCGTCATCTTCGTCCGAGAATGGCGTGCTAATCATTTCCTCAACGAAGCTTGAAGACGCAGGAACTTACTTTTGCAGAGCTGCGAACAAATTCGGAGCCAAGGCTGCACCTGTAACATTGAATGTTGAAAAAGGTATTATTTAGGCCCCGTTCATACGTGTCAGGAAGTTTTTGAATCCGCAACTTTTTCTTTGCGAATTCGGCTTCTGTCCACACATATCCGATGTATCCGGCATACGAATCCGTTCGCCAAACTGGAAATTTTTGAATACGCTATGAATCCGGCATCGCTTGGACGCTAATTCCAGATATGTTTTTATCCAGTGACGTCACAACATCGAGCCCAGTTCTTTGCCATGAATATTCAAGACGATGCCGAGCGCGATGGGTTATCGCTTCCACACTTCTTGGACTTCAGATTCAAGTCATAACTTGTGGACTGTTAAACCTAGTATGATTACTTGAGACTTATGCCAAACGGCGGCTCGACATTTTGAAGCTTCTTTCCAGGTCGGACGGACGAATTTGGACACCGTAAACAAGTTAAAACGAGCAAAATAGTGCTTGGCGACGATTTTGTCAGTGAAACAGTTATTGAAGAAGACTGGCAATAAAATTTTCGCATGAGCCGAAGATCGCTGTACAAATTAGCTAACGAACTGAGAGTGAATCCCAGTACGGGTGGACGTGGGCAAATTATATTAGATTTGAGTACGGATACATGTGGATTTAAAAATTTTGCGGATTAGAAAATATCCGGATACGTGTAGACGTAGACGGGACCTTATTCGACATTGGATAAAACTGCACTTAAAGGAGAGTCAAGGCAGTCCAGTTCATTTTGTTTAATTTTGCCAGAGTTACTCGCCCTCAATCGCTATGGAACTTAAAGTAAGCAAAAAAAAAATAACTTGTAAATGACACAAGCAAAGATTCGAGACAAACAAATATGTCTCCTGTGCATTATTTTTCAAGTTGCAAACAGCAGAGAGCAACTTTGATAAACTGTTAGGTTGAACAGTTTTCAAAAACCCTAATTTCAATCCGTTTCAAACTTCTTCAGTTTTGCCCATCCGTGGCATCTGTTGTAACTGTTGTGTTATTTTAACCTTCCTTTAATGTTTTAAGAGGTTATTTTTGTTTCTCTTAATTTAACAGGCATTTTGTAATTACCTAATATGGCTGAATTTCGTGGCACAGCGTCTTTGATTTTTTTTTTCGTTTTCTTATTTTCTAACAGAACACATCAGGCTAGTAGCCTGAGTGAGGTAAAACTTACTTTTGAGAATCAGTCAAACAGTTTCGAGTTTTGGTAAAACTAACGCTTGAGTCTGAGATAGAGGGGTATAAAACAAAAGATTCCAGCCCAGGTTTGAATAAGGCATAATATTTTGTTTAAATTCCCTCTACCTCAGAGCCACGCACGGTCTCTCAAAAATGAAAGTTTTAACATGATAATATTTTGTCAGTAGACTTAAAAGATTGAAATTTATTAAAACTCTTCTTATTAAGAGGTGAGATGGTAGAGTATATACCTCGTTTTTTTCTTCAGACAACTCTGTCGCTCCAACAGCAGTCATGGTACCGTTAAATCAAACTGTTGACGTAGGTGCATCAGCAATCCTGTCATGTCAGGTGACAGGACGTCCCTACACCACCATACAGTGGAACAAAATTGGCGGCAGCTTAACGGAGAATCACGTAATTGAAGAAGGCTTGCTGCGGATACAAAACGCGACTATTGAGGACGCGGGAACGTACGTGTGCGTGGCGCAAAACAAGAAAGGAGTCCAGCAGGCAACAGGGATAGTTGATGTTAGAAGTGAGTAATACTCAAAGCACTCCTATCGGTGAACTTGAGGAATAGTTTGCATGAACGCATGGAGGGTCAGCCAGGGCTATACTGAGATAGGTTATGTTATTAATACGCATACCATAATTACCCCTTTCACTCCAGCCAAAAGTGTTACGTAACAGGGTCTACGTTGCCACTCCAAAGGCATTATTCAGTGAAATCAGAAAATCGCAACTTTACTTATAATGATTTGAGGGAAGAGTTTAGTTTGCTCCCACGTTACATTATTTTTGCAGTTATGAGTGCATGTAATGCATCAGTAGTGAAAAAAGGATGCGCTTTTTCTGCTTGTGCGTATATTAGCAATTGACAAGATTAGGGTTTAGTCATATGAAGTTTTTTACGCTAAGGTTGGGAAGGTTCTAAGACCATATTGCAAAATCTCATATCGTCGAAGCTATAGTTACATTATTTACTTCCCATATCCACATTAACTCGGTACTTATCATTATTTCTATATTTCTACGTTTCTTTCTTTCTCTCTCTCTCTCTAGCCATCTTTGCCAAATAACTTTGATCAAAAATTGTTTTTTAATTGCCATACGTTCGGAATTTTGTTAGATTGCGCAATGATTATTATTGTTTTTTGTTGTCGTTGTTGTTGTTGTCGTTGTTAAGAACTGGATGACGTGGCGTAACAACGATCTTGCATGTGGCATCTTAGGCCGAGTTTTTTGAGACCCAGTTAGTTCTTGAACATATCGGTTCTTATGGTTAGCTATCTTAAATTTCCTCCAATCGGGCTTCAAGCAACTCGGCTCTGGTGTGGAGTGAAAGGGTTAATGAATCAACACAAGTTGGTCTGCTCTTGAATTCTCGAACGACTCTATTTTGCATTAGTGTTAATTCCATAAACAAGCAATCGCCAGCTACTTAAACCCTTTCACTCCCAGAAGTGCTCTTGTTCATAATCCGATTAGATTTTTAGTGCAGTGTTGAAAACAACCAGAGAATCTGACAGCACTGCCGTATCGTACTGCTCAGTAGCTTCCCATCAACTGTACCACAGTAATATTTTCTCTTCACTCGAAAGTTAAAGCCAGTAATTGAAGTATTCTTGTTGACTTTTAAAGTTTACGAGTTTTGAAAATTACGAGAAATTTACGAGTTACTTTGGGAGGAAAGGGTTAAACAACGCATGCGCGTGATCGCTAAGAGACTCAGAGGTATGCTCGTAAAATATTACCATACATATGAGGCCATAGCGCCCTCGTTACTAAAAGTAGTTTGTCAGCATAGTAACCGCTAGTGCAAACTCATTGACGAAATTTATATGCCTGAGACATTTTGAGGCATGTTAAATGAGCACAATGCAGCCAAATTGACTTCTGGATCAAAATAAAATGTGCATTATTACACATTGTCTCGTAAGTAAGCACCCCACATTTCTCGATTACCATTTTCTTTGTTTCGTTTTCATTGCTTTAAAACTCTCTGAATGAATAGATTTGAAGAAAAAAAGTACCAAAAGGAAAAATACCAGCTGGACCTTTCCCTTGACCAATGTCCCATTAAAGTCTTCTAAACTACATTCTTACCATTCGTTCTTTGATGGGTAGGCTATAATTTCTTTTGATAAAACTGCAATTTTTACTGATGACATTCAGAATAAGCGTTTTAAAATGTTATTGGCCTACAGCATCCAACCGCCTAACTCATAAATTGCAAGCGGCCATGTCATCTTTCATGCACGAATTCTCCATACTCGCTGATTGTTATATCTTTGATAAGTACACCCTTTTAATGGAATCTGAAGAGTCGCTTTTTGTAGACAGTTGACACGCCTGCCTTTCAGCCTGACTTTGGGGTTGCTTATAACTCATATATTTTTACATCCGCCGCACCCCTAGCATAAAACCATAAAATGCTGGAACATTTCTCGAAAATATTACTCCAGAAAACCTATTTATACCATGAACAATGGTAATTTTTCCTTTAGATTTCTAATCTGCGATTAAGGCAAAAGGAAATAATCATTGTGAAAGTGTTACTTGTTCACTTGAACTTCTAAATTAACAAAGCATATTAAGTTCTAATAAACTGTTAATACTAGTAATGAAAATAGATTCCTTTTGAATTGAAAGGAAATATACAACTTAACGAGATACTTTCCAACTTAGCATTCATTCTCTCCACCAAAGGCGCATGTAAGAGATCATCATCATCGGTCGACCGAACTGAGTATCACGGTGCCCGTAACTAAAAAAAATCATATCCAAATGAAAGGGAAGTTAATACTGGTGGCGGACCGACACGTGACTTGGCATGAGTGTCTTACATGCGTGACTACTTGAGTACGATGTACTGGAGTTAGCTTATTTGCAACTTTCCATTCCCCAAAATGCGGTTGTCTTTCCCACAAATGTTTGCATAAGTATTGAGACTGTCAATCGTCCCTTATTGAGAAATTGACGCAATACCCATGCACTTTCTTTTGTGAGAAAACCTACTGTATTATGGGAAAGGTGAAAGTCGCAAATGGTGGGATTTTTTACCAGGAAATCAGAACCACACTATAAATGCATGCACAAAGAGAATTAAAAAATAAACTCTCTAAAAATCAAGTGAAACCCTATCTTTTACATTCAGGTGTAGATACCTTAACACGTTGCTTACGGTGGCAGGCTTTAGATTCACCGTTGGTAGTTGGTTTGTTGCCTTAACGGCTTTACCCCATTAAAAAAAGATAATCATAAAATCAGTGTTGAAATTTTTTGAGCGTCTAAGGTTTTTAAATACTCAATTTCACAGTTGTCCTTGGTAGATCCCTTTCCTAGATTGAAACCTCAAGGCTTGTCCTGTATTGTGACCTTTCAAATGGAGTTGGAAGCTACTGAGCAGTTTTTGGATGGTGCCATAAGCCGCTTTTCTGTTATGTTTTCATCAGAATTGACTAATCGTGTTTGAGTTGAAACCGTAACGAGGTTGGAAATTTTGTGCCACTTCATCGACTTTCACGCCAAAACTTGCCCGTGCTATGTGGGGGCGAACGGGCAAACTGTGTTATGAGTTTTGATTGTGATTTCCTGCAGCACAGATTTAAAACTTGGCTCTGGATTTTTTTTCTTCGGCTTTTTCGTGATGCAAAAAGGACACTTACCGACCCAACTTGCTTTTTGCACCACTCAGTTGTTCACGGGGAAGGGAGGGAGGGAGGGCTACTTCCTATAATGGCCTATAAGTGGAAGTTCCCCCTGTGCAAGTTTGTGGCGTACTCCCCTCGTACTCTCTTTAGCGATGGACTGTTCGGTTGGGCAATGCAAAAGGTCTTTACCATAACATTAGAGATATTTTAAGCCCATCTATAAAGCCCTGCTCTCACTTTGACTCCCAGCGAAGGTTCCACCAGAGATAGAAATCATGCCTGCACCCAACCTCACAGCTATAACAGGAGAGGCAGTGGTTTTGAGATGCGTGGTCAAAGCGGGTCATCCACCTCCAGCTGTAGTCTGGGAAAGAGACACAAAGCAACCGCTTAACAGCAGTAGCGACGGCATATTGGTGATCTCCCCTGTAACTTTTGACAATGAAGGAATGTATATCTGCAAGGCGTCGAATATCATTGGGTCAACTGAGGCCGTGGCCTTGCTTACTGTACAAGGTAATTAAGTAATGATCCGGGTAAGGTGGATAGCAATTTCTTTTGTTATGCGGCAACGGTGCTTTCCCCACATAGCAATGTTCTCATTTTTACGCAGAGAATGCATAAACCTACATGAAGGTCGTTTACGCAATAAAATGCACTTACACTCCACTTTGAAAGGGTGTTTTTTTTGTGTTAAAAGATTTTGACCAATCACAAGAGTTGAAAACAATAGCCAAGAAAAGTTCACAATTTTACATGTTCCCCACATAGGATTTCTTTGTTATTCAAACTGAGACCAGATTTTGTTATATGGAGGATGGTTGAAAGTAAGGATGAATATATGTACCGCTTTATGAAGTTTTGTTAACTTTTGCTGTTTAAGCCAATCAGAGGTAAGTACCGACAATAGAAAAGTTAGCACCTTTCTTGCATTCCAACATGTTCGTTGCCATTGTTGCTATCGTTCTTATCTGGACTGTTACTTAAAGAAGAAGGAGAATTCAAACACCAGAAAGCTCAGAACAATTTTCCGAGCTCCAGGTGAGAATCGAACTCACGACCCTCCGAGTTCTAGGTCGGACGCTCTAACCACCGAGCTTCTGGAACTCTAATGGCGAACAGGGTCGGAATTTAATGTGACAGTGAGAAAAGCGCTTATTGAAAGCTACACTGTAAGATACCGGCCTCCCTGTCGGTTCTGTCATTTATGGAATTTGCTGCAACCTGTTCAGTAGCGACTATCTTTCAAGGGTTCGTCGCTTATAAAATAAGTCTTACTAAATCCTCCTTCCTGCTTAAATGTTCCTCAAAAGACATGTTAGTGTGTCGCCTAAAGGTATCGCTCAATAAGGTTATCAAGGGCCTGTTTACATAGAGGTGGGGGACCCTAGATAGGTGAGGTAGCCTGATGTAAACGTGATCAAATTAAAATGAGATTATATGGACAGGCGGTTTACCCCACCTAAGCGGGTTACCTCACCTGCGGTCTTCCACCTCCATGTAATCAGGCCCTAAAAGTAACCCTAGACGTCTTAGGAAAGGGGGTGGCGAGCAAAGGCAGCAAGAAATTTCCCCGTTATTCAAATACCCACAAGGATTACCCAGATTATAACCCGGTGGTGTTCAATTCCTGCGAGCATGTTTTCCTTACTTTCTATATATGTCTTGTTTTCCGACTTCCCCGCCATTTTGCATAACCTGTTTGTGGCGAAAAATAATGTTGTTGAGTTACCTAATGTTTGTCTAGCCGCAGAAAATCAGATCCTGCATTAACATTAAGGAAGATGTGTGCAATCATTTAGCCCTTATAAACCTTTTGAATTTGTTTTAATTTACTTTTATTAAATCACACAGCTGAACCCAAGATAATGCTGAGCCCGCCCAACTCCATTTCCGTGACAACTGGGGGGTCGGTCACTCTAGAATGCGCAGTCGTGGGGAATCCCCCTCCGGAGGTTCAATGGAAAACTCAGGGAAATTCCCAATCCAATTTTCAACTGATGGTGAACGGTCCCGGAATGTTGAAACTTGTTATTAGAAAAGTGACTGCGGAACATCAGGGAAATTACACTTGTCATGCTCAAAACATTGTAGGGAAAACTCTGGAAACGATTCAGTTGATAGGTGAGTATGTCGGGTGTCAGTATGAGTATGTTTCCAATTCTTCCACTCTGTTTTCAAATTAAGTAAAATAACTTGGTGCCACACAACGTTATTTAATTTGTTATTGTTATTGTTGTTGTTTTTTGGGGGTATGTGTGCGGCCCGGGGGGGGGGGCACTTAGGTATTTTTGGGGTGGGTATGTGCCGCCCGTGACTCCAAATTGGCACCCCGTTCTAGAAAAAATTTCCCCTAAAATTGATACCCCGTTCTAGAAATGGGCCAATTTTTTATACTCCGTTCATAGTAGGGTGCAACAAGAGTACAACGGTTTGCTTGTTAACGCATTGAACCGTATTTCTAAAAGCAATCTGTCCTTGAATACTTTCAAATGACTGCTTACAAAAGTGGAGCTTTCGTGCGTTCGAAATATTATACCCCGTTCTAGAAAACGCTTCTGAAATGGATACCCCGTTCTAATTCAGAAGCTTCAAAATTACGACCCCTTTGGGTGGCACATACCCGTATTATTCTTTGACGTCTGTATTCTAATACGGCTAAACGGGTGTGTTATACGTCTTTATAATGCAGTGCGCTTCGATTTTCATTCTCTCTTTTCCTCAGGAAATAAAGTGGTGTTATTCCGGTAACATTTGCTTTTGATCTTTTCCTTTAAATTTTGTCAATGCACGGTAAACTTCCCACTATCCCACCCGTGGTTTAAAATTAAACTGGTTTGCTTTCCTTTTCGAAGTGTGTGGGAATGACATTGAAAAATTTTAAACAGAAAACAAGGATAGGTTGAACCAATGTATCAGTGTAACTGATATTTGCGTTGTATATGTATCCAAAGTTGTTTCGGCAGATCTCATGACGCTTGTGTAGACTATTTCATGCAAAGCAATTCCTAGAGATCAAGTAATGCGTGATGCAGTGATTCAAAAACTCTCCTTGTAATTTTCCATAAGCAAAGGTTGACCTTTGCTTTTTCTTTGCTCTTTAGTAAAGGTTCCACCAGAAATAGAAATTACACCAACCACGAACCTCACAATTGCCACAGGAGAATCAGTTATTTTAAGATGCGTGGTGAGAGCTGGTAATCCATCACCGTCATTGATCTGGGAACGAGAAGGGAATAAACCACTGAACAGCAGTAAAGACGGCTCCTTAGTGATCTCTGCTGCCACTGGCGACAGTCAGGGAAAATACATTTGTAGAGCTACGAATAATCTAGGGACATCTGAAGCCATTGCCTTTCTTACTGTTCAAGGTATCATACAGATTGTTATATTTATATCCATTCTCCACTTAACAAGTGGCGAATGAAAGAGCTACGGCTGAAGTGATAAAGGTGCTACATCCGTTCTCGCTAATGAATTTAATAAGGTACCATCAATTCAATTACAAAAAATAATAAGCTCCTTTCTTAACATTTAAGCGCCATTAGGACCTGTAGAATGTTTCCACCCAAGCGCAAGCTATGGCAGAAATAAATGTATACACTCTTTTAAAATATAAGCCTTGAGCCGTTGTATTTGGTTTGTAAATTATCACGCGCGTAACAGAGCTTGAATTTTTGGCCATGAAGAATGGTGAAAAAGAAATGAAATTCATAGAAACCAAAGAGAATGTAAGATGCCAAATATAAAATTGGGATACATATACTGCTTTTTGTCTATGGTTTAGGCTGTCCGTTTGTGCCACGTTGCCAAGAGGAGAGAGGAGCAAAGTTTGGCGATATTCATGATACTCTATTCTAGCTGTGTTGCACCACGTTCCCTGTTATTTTTCAGCTAGGTTCTGTGTGATGTGTGGAAAAAAACGTTTGATTCCTGAACTGGTTTATAATTTCACACTGTATCTGTCCCCTTGTGCTTTCCTTTCACAGCTGAACCCAAGATAATGGTCAGCCCTTCTAATTCGATCTCCGTGACAGCTGGTTCTTCGGTCACACTAGAATGCGCAGCCGTGGGGGATCCCCCTCCGGTGGTTCAGTGGATACCCCAGGGACATTCCAATCTACAACTGATGGAAAGCGGCCCTGGGGTGCTGAAACTAATTGTAAAAAACATCACTTCATCGAACCAGGGTAATTACACTTGTCAGGCCCAGAAGATCGTAGGAATAACCAAGGAAACAATTCATGTAACAGGTGCGTAAGTTGATTTTGCCCAGGTTATCAAAAGAGCTCTTGAAAATGCTTTTTAGAACTTTACGCTTCTGATCACTAGCCGGTTAACAGTGCATGAAAAGACTGTGACCGCCGGCAACCGAATTAAGTTAAGAATCGCCTTCTCATGGCTAAGGCGTGTCCGGGACTGAAAGACGATTGTTTTCGGTTTTAATATTTCTTCACTCAGAGCCTTAAATTGCCACTGCTTACGAGACACATCATGATAAATCAGCTTCCTTTTAGGAAATAAAACGACTTCACTAAATCCTCAAAAGCCTTAGCAAACGCAAGAAATTTACGTCGGTTTACGTCGTTTCCACTTAACTTAGTTGTTGTGATTTGCCAGGACGAAGAAACAATATAGGACACAGCGTTGAAATAACTTCACACGCCATGGTAATTATTTTGGTTCCACTTTTACCCAAATGTCAACTGCTTGTCACCTTGAGTTTGGAGATTCCGAAGAAAGAAAATGGCGTTGTGTTTTTCGCTTTACATGCCATTGCATTTTATTCTCAGTATCTTCTGATACCAAAACACGAAGTCCTTTGATGAGTGAATTCTCATCAGTTTGTTGACCTAAGTATCATCGAATGCACCATCGAATTTTCTCCGTGTGGCATTTCCCATCACTCTCAAACCAAAGATACTCTAACCTCAAACCCTGTCTAAAATCTGCAATTGCCACTACTTAAGTAATTAAAAGTGTTACGAGTAATAATAGTAACAATAATAATTATATAACAACAAAATCTTGAATCTTCAGTAAAGGATATGCCAAGAATAGAAATCAGGCCAGCACCAAACCTGACAGTGAGCGGCGGAGATACTGTGAATCTAACGTGTTCGGTAATTGCGGGTAATCCAACCCCGACTGTGGTCTGGGAACGAGAAGGAAATAAACCGCTGAACAGCAGTAGTGATGGCGTGTTAGTGATAGCTGCTGCCAGTGGTGTCAGTCAAGGAAAGTACATCTGTAGAGCGACGAATATTCTGGGGTCCACTGAGGCAGTCGTCTTTCTTATTGTTCAAGGTACAATTATCTGGCATCGCGTTATAAAATGTACGTCACGAAATAGGAAATTTTTAAGATATAACGTCAATGCTTTCTGAAAGCACACCATTTTGTCATTAGAGTTTAGACCTCTCAAATGAAAAATTAATAAAGTTATGCATTTGCTTATTTATTCATTTATAGACCATACAATACCCTATTTGTCTGTAAGATAGAGCGTTTACCGTAACTAGCGACCAGCTCGGCAAGATTCACTAAAGGGTCTCGCGCCTTCTTCCGTAACGTTTACCCCCAATGACCGCCTGTCATGGTAAACCGGTTCTACCAAGAAGATCTTACTGTAAAACGGGGGACTGCAAACAACCTTATCAATTCTATTAATCATTTAATCTAATTAAAGGCGCCCTTGGTAGCAACTTTCAATCTCAGTTATGATGAATTGTTGTGGCTAAGCGTTCAAAGGCTAGTGTCTCTTGTACAGAAGTAAAAACACAATGTAGAAAAGCAGTGCATAACGCTACTTTTGGCTTATGCTTTCATGGGACATAGCCCACGTTTCTGCGCCAATACAATAAAGCACATTTCTTTAATACACAGGTGAGCCAAAGATAATAGTGATCCCTTCCAGTCCCGTATCAGTTAAAGCTGGCAGCTTTGTCTCTCTAGAATGTGTAGCAGAGGGAAAACCCACCCCAGATGTTCAATGGGAAACTCAGCTTAAATCTCACTCCAGCCTTCAGCTGGGGGAACGTGGCCGTGGTGTCTCAAAACTGGTAATTGAGACCGTGGGTCTAGAAGATGAGGGCAATTACACCTGTCAGGCTCAAAACATCGTAGGGAAGACCCAGGAAACTGTTCAGTTGATAGGTAAGTTCGTAGTGAGACCAGTTGTAATACAGGTTATTGTTGAAGTTTGTAAGTTTCTTTGCCAACTTAGCGCTGGATATAACAAAAGGGCATCGGACAATAGATGGAATTGCCCACTAGAGGACAAGAAAATTAATGTGGCTTGGTAATTAATACAGGCGCTATGATATCTTCATGCTGATATTTTTGTGGAAACGTTGTGTGGAAAACTTTGTCATAGCTCAATGTGCCTGTTTTAATGACGAAGTTACCTTAACTCAGCATGTCATTTGCCTGAGAACGTTTCTGGTTTTTCTGACTAGAATGATGTTCTGGTGGGTAATACCGCTATGTCCTTTTTCCACCGTTCTGAATGAAATACCTAAAAAAGACCTAATATTTGCAGCTGTGCTATTCTTAATTATCAGCCCAGCAGCCTGACCGCCTCTACCCGCCACTGAATCTTTACAGGCTCATTTTTAGCCCTTTCTCGGATGAGAAGCCATGAAGTGTACGAGGGTACGATAAGCCCTGATATCATGCATACGGTTACCAGCCTCAGGGCTGAAAAATCACCCACCTTAAACTAATCTTAGCTGTCCTAACAGTTAACTCTGAAATCACTCTTTTTACTTTCATCTGTTAGTAAAGGTGATGCCAAAAATAGAAATCATGCCAGCGAGAAAGCTGACAGTCACAGGTGGAGAGAGTGTAACATTCAGATGCGTAGTGAAGGCGGGCAACCCGCCTCCCTCGGTGGTCTGGGAAAGGGAGCAAAATAAACCGCTGAACAGCAGTGACAACGGCGTCTTAGTGATCTCTCGCGCGTCCGGTGACAGTGGAGGCAGATATATTTGTAAGGCGACAAATATCCCAGGGTCAACTGAAGCAGCGGCTTTGCTTATTGTTCAAGGTAAATTTTAATCTAACACAAGCCAAGGGCAACTACTCTACAAATACCTATCTTGTTTCTGACAACCCTTTTCAAGAACCACCACCCAAAACATCCAAAACTCTTCTTGTGTGTTCGTTTCTTTAAGTCACTTTTTCTTGTCCGTCTTTTATTACTATGAATTCCTGAAGAAAAACTTCACGAGGAAAGTAATGGCCAGTTGTCGTTTTTGGCCAGATCCTTATCTTTACTTTACTTACAACAGCACGGGTAAGCAATGAATGACTACATTACCCAAGGAGAAATTGAAACAATACTTATAATTAAGAGTTTTAAGGGGACAAACAACGAATATCTTGACCAGTGCTGAAATAGCGAGACTTTTCAACAAGAAAGTATCTCGTTTCTTCCTTTTTGAAACCTGTATTCATGTGCCAGTGATAAAGCTTATTTTATGGCATCTTGAAGGTAGTGACTGCACAATTACGGTATGGTTTGCTTAGTTGTTACACAGGTGAACCCCAGTTGATAGTAAACCCTTCCAGTCCAGTCTCCGTGACAGGTGGAAGCTCGGTCACGCTGGAATGTACAGCTGCAGGGAGCCCTCCTCCAGTAGTCCAATGGATTATTGAAGGGCATCCTCGGTCTAATCTGCAAATAAGGGAAACCAATCGTGGGGTGTTGAAGTTGATTATTGAAAATGTCAGACCGGAAGACCAGGGGAACTTTACCTGCCAGGCAGAGAATATTGTAGGATTGACTCAGGAAAGTGTGCAGTTAACAGGTATATTCCTTATGCAGTGTAATGGCAGCAAGGTACTGAGAAATGAAGGACTCGCTAAATGTCTTTCTCAGACATCCGAAAAGTAAACGATCGTAAGCAAATCATTTCTCCTTTTGCTTTCCACCATATCATGAACCTGGATCTGGTTATCATAGAATTACAAGTTTTTTTTTGTTTTTCTTGCGAAATTGCAACGACTGTTTCCTCATATTTGTTAATCTTATCATCCAATGTTCACTTTGAAGATTCCTTATTGTCGGTCGAGGAGTGTCTGTGTCTAGCCTGACAAAACAGCCGACATTTCCAGACGCCATCAACAAAAAATACTTCTAAGGAACGAGCGCAGAAATTCCTTGCTAATGATGTGCCACTACCCAGATCTGGAGAGTGCCAACCAAAATCACTACCCAGGTCAGAGTAGTAGAACGTCATTAGTATAAAATTTCCTCACTTATTCATCAGACGTCATTTCCAGGAAAACTATTAGTGGTGTCGCGAGATGTCGGCAGTTTTTTCATGCTAGGCTGTGTCAGGATGTCTGTCATTTTACATTAATTTAGAGGAACTTTTGATATTGTCCTTGCTTTAATTAAAGGAAGCTTTAATTTTAGGCCAAACTTGTCCTCAAAGAGGATTGTATGACATGATATTTTAAGCATGTGGCGTATGTGTGGAAACTTTTTCACACTTATTCAGCTTAGAGCAAAACTAATGAGTGATACAAAAGTTGAAGTAGATTTATGTTTTGTTTTTCTCCATTGACGAAATATGACCTAAGGTTATCCTGATCCCTTCTAGTAACTGTTCCACTAAAACCACCAGAGATCGTCTTAAATAACTCTGTTTTACAAACTGTCAACGAAGGAGAAGACGTGGAGTTTCGGTGCAATGCATCCGGCTTACCAGCTCCGACCATTGTCTGGGAAAGACTGGGTTCTAATTTACCCAATGACGCCCTTGATAGAGATGGAATACTTATGATCCCGTCTGTTGGTGCAGAAGATGCTGGGACGTACTCCTGTAAAGCAGTAAATAGTGAAGGGCAGGACAGTTTTAGTGTCAAGTTGGAAGTGATAGGTACGATTAAGGAAAAAATTGAACCTAAGAAAAGAGGGGATAAAGTTTCTCGAATCCAGGCTAATCAAAAATATTACTGAGAAAAATCACGTTCAGAATCCAAGTTAGAGACATTCAAAGGTTTTATTTCTTGTAGCTCAACAAGAAGATACATCTCCCACAAATTTCAACGTAAAGCAAATTTTAACGTCAATTACCATTGATCTTGTATCATTTCGTAGAAGCATATAATTGAGTTACACATTTCACCCTGGCCAAGTACAACGATGCCGCCAACTGGAGGTTTAAAGGCCATGTACCACTTTGACCAATAAGGCATCCTGTTTCTGAGCCTTCCATAAAAAATGGTCCTTCTTCATATGCTTTAATATGAAGAAGCGCTTTGATTAATAACTAAGAGACTTTCCCACACTTCCACTTGGTAACAGTTCAAACTATACGATATTTCAAAAAAGCCCTTTTTAAATACGAAATGGCCTGTGTCCTTACCCTTTTCTGTACTACAAACTGTCAAATACAGTCATGTTTCCTTTACGCAGACACCATCGGCAAGCAAAAAAATAATTTCATCGGGAGCTGGCCGTTAACAAAACATGCTTTTGTAGTGACGTTTCCCAATGGGAAGATTTGTTAAGGTGGCCGTAAGTGAAGCTGTCCGCTTGAGGCATATCGTACGTCCGTCAAAAGATAAGAGCTTAGACTGCTACTACCCTGTTATACACCTCTCCCATTATATCCTTTCAACGTAATGCTTTGTTTTGAACTCGTAGTTCTTTGACATTTACCAAACGTTTCGAAAAAAATGGAAAAATGGAACACCACCTTTAGGAACTTTTAGGAGAAACGGCAATTAGAAAGGTAGCCATGTGGTTGAATATTCCAGACCGAAATTTGTGTTTTCTTTTCTTCCCCAAACTTGATTAATCTTTGAGACAAGTTTCAAGCTTTCGAGGCCTGTTTTGGGAATGGAAACAAGTTGTGAAATAGATTCCTGCCGTGAACATTAACTTTAACGCAAGAACTGAAGGATCAAGGAGACAAAATATAGTGATTTGTATTAAGTTGTCATGCCAAGCCTCGAACCCCTTTTATTGTGTCTTCTCACCGGGGCAGAATTCTGGATTTTTTTCACCATAAAACTCGCAAATAGTGAACCGAGCTATGTCTACATTTAAAATAATGATAAACAACCCGACCCGTGCCTTTTTTCTTTCTCTTTTTAACCAGTGTCTCCTCTAATCGACGTGACTCCCTCCAAGATCTCCGTCAATCAAGGAACGTCCTTTAACATCTTTTGCATTGTTAAGCCATCACTTGCAATCACGTGGTCAAAACTCAATGGTAGTTTCCCAAACGGCATCGTGAGCGACAGGGGGACCTTAAAAGTCAGTGAGGCAAAACTGAAACACGCAGGAACATACCGCTGTTATGCTAACAATTCAGCGGGCTCCAGTGAAGGCTTTGCAAGCGTCGTCGTGTATGGTACGAACCTTTTGGGGATGTTAATTAAAAAAAATATCGCAGTAAATAAAAAGTGTATACCTCATGAGTTAAGGTAATAAAAGTTTTAATTGTAAAAACAAAACCAAAAAAACGCCTTTAATCCCTTCTTCTTCTCTATCATTGACTCCCATTTATCGAATTTTATCCCTTATATTTAGAAAGAAACATTCTATGTTGTACTATAAATTCTATTTTGTACTACAAATGATGTTTTTTTCAATGGCAATGAAAGTGTCTTTGAAATATATGTTCGAGTCTTGTTGCTCTTTCCATATCGATTATATTAATTATTTATCAACTTATATTTGGGAAATCGGTGCTGACCAACACGCTAGTCAATTTTCAGTTTCATCCCATGTTCAATTTGTCCTGGCTTTTTGACTGAGTTTCGTTCTGATATCTCAGCTGCACCAAAAGTGGTGGCCTGGCCTAGATCTTTTGAAGCCGCGCGTAAATCCAATGTTACATTTCACTGCAACGCGACTGGCATACCCGACCCGGTGATCTCCTGGTCAAAAGAGGGAAGTGACATTCCCGTACGACACTCAGCTGGTGTCTTGAGTCTTACAGGAGTTGTCAGTGACGATGATGGTCGATACATCTGCACAGCAAAAAATGCTGCTGGAACTTCTACAACATCTATAGAACTCACTGTCGAAGGTTTGTTAGAGCTTCGCCTTGAAGAAACAAAGGTCACTTTCTTTTCCTCTCGATCCCCTTTTTATGTTCATTTCATTATCATGACCAAGTTCATTGGTCCGGTTGACGACCCCATATTCTCAAAGTACAATGCAAAATTATATCATAACCAAAAATTAATGTCCATAAATCTTTTTCAAATGTCGGGCCAATTCACTGCACTGTAATTATATTATGCTATACCCCTGAGTTTATGCAATTGTTATTGTTATTGTTATCGTTATTATTATTGTTGTTGTTGTTGTTGTTGTTGCTGCTGTAATTGTTACTGTTGTTATCTTTATCGTTTCTCACAGTGTATCAATATCATAATCATTGTCATTACCAAATCATTAAATCATTCGTATGAGAAGCCATGTAATCATATCCTTTTCAGATCTACCCGGTGTGGTTATAACAGGTGGAACCTCCGTCAAAACAGTTTCAGTAGGAAAGAATTTGACTCTAGAATGCATCGCGAATGGAACCCCACAACCAGAAATACAATGGACCCGCGTCGATGGTCTGCTTCCCGAGGGACTCATTTCAAAAGGAGGACAGCTGATTTTTCCCCGCGCGCGGCTTGCCTATGGTGGTGTATATAGGTGCAAAGTCACTAACAGAGTGGGCTCTGTGCAATCTGAAGTAGCCATCTTTGTGCAAGGTTGGTGTTTTCTGTTTGTTCTTTTCTGCTTTTACCTCTCACGTTTACTGGTCTGCAAAAGAAATTAAAGCTAATGCAAGTAAAGCTAAAAAACGCTTGAAATATTTGACCGTCAATTGCAAAGACATTCACATTTGTGGGGAATAGGAATGGTTCACTGGTTTGTCAGCCGAGTTGATAAGCCACGATAATAAGAAAAGATAAAATAGCGACAGCTGGCGATTGCGTGTCCTCGTGTCAGACCAAGTGAGGAAGGCGTGAAAACATAAGCCTGCTTTAAATCTTACTGCGGTAAACCAAAATGACCTTATCCGATTGGATTTTTTGGTATTACCACCCAACCACCCCAACCCTACGGTTACAACTAATATCCATCTGCAAAGATGCAGTTTTATTGACGATGTTACTATTAAACATTGTGTTATTAACTCGAATGGCAAGGCTGCTATTGACTCTTAGAGGTCAGGTCATGGTTACTCCACAGAAGTCACGTGTGAAAACTGGTGAGACCGTGCAATTCACTTGCATCGCTAGCGGCTCCCCGTCACCAGACCTAACATGGCGGAAAGTTAACGGATCGCTTCCAGTCAGCAGTACAGTGCAAAGAGGAGTTCTAAAGATTGCCAATGTGACTCAAAAGGATGCTGGGAGTTACAATTGTGAAGCCAAAAATGTTGAAGGATCGGCTAATAGAAGTGGAATTTTAGAAATTAAAGGTAAGGTATCAGAGGGTCGGCTCTTTGGAAGTAATTTTACTTTAACCTCCCTCCTTGTTTCATGTCTTGATTTTGACGAATTTTGGAGCAAAAATTTTACAGTGCCTTTCCTCCCATACATTTTTCCTGATGCAATTCCAGCGCGAAAAGCTACGAATGTTCTTGCGGTCATGATGAGGGTTAGTTTGGGGAGTTTCTGCTAAGCACACTTCGCGTCAATGACAAGAAGGAACCTTTGTTATGATATTTACTCTAACCATAACTTAGTAATGGTCACCAACCATTTGTATCTCTACCTTTTCTATATCTCTTCTTAGTGACCGTTCCACGATTTACACAGGAACCTCTGTCCTACCTCAGTGTACAGACATTAACAGACGAGCCACTTAATTTCACGGTTGAAATTGTGTTCATACCGGAGATGGCGGATGGGCTGATTCTGTACAACGATCAGCTAACAAATGGCTCTGTTGGAGACTTCATTTCATTTGGAATGTCAGACAGATTTGCTGAATTTAGGTAATGAGGTTGTATTCACAAACAGGGACGAAGAGCATTCTTCTTGATCCCCGCCAGTAGTCCTGTGAGGCTTAGCTCTAGCAGGAGTCTGCCCTCGCAAGCTATTTTTTCCATAAAGCCTTTGGTTACTCACAAATCTTTTTTCGAGGTCATTTGAAAACTAATGCAAAAATAGGACCTGAACTTATTTTGTTACTGTAAAACCCTGAAACAGCAAGGTAACCAAACTATCGTATTACTAACCAAGTCTATCATATTCCATCTTGGCTGCAGTCATATTGCACACATTTAGCCAAGCCTTAAAACGAAGCTTCCATTTAATACAACACTTTAAGTTCCGGTTTGGAACTTAAACTTCATGCACTCTGACTGTTCCATTGACTTATTCCAAGAACTGCATCACGTCATATGTAACAACATACTTAGCACGAACACACCATTATAAGATGAGGTAGTTTACTTGTAGATTGTGTTGGTTGGACTTATAATCCTATGGTCAATTATTACAAGTGTAATATAAACGTGTAGCCATTTTCCGTGAGCACAGATTGAAGAAAAAAGACTCCGCTTCAGCGCAAGCTTCCCACATATACTCTGGGCTCCGTTGTCCCAGTCTAACAAAGTATACTCGAATATCTCCTCCCTGGTAAAGCTGAGCCGGCACATTAGAGAGTATATTACGATGTTTTTTTTTTTTTAAATGGGCTATATCCACGTTGTAGTGGCTGTGCATGTCGTCTTGATTTTAACCTAACTGTGATGCACATGTTATAATCCAGTTTTATTCTTGATTGATATTTTTTTCTTTTTTGGGGGGGTATGGTAACGTAAGAAAAGAGTCTGAAACAAACTAAATTAAATATAAACCATGGTCAAAATTGAGGAGAACTTATCCGTATTTAGATTCAACCTTGGTTTTGAGCCTGCAATCATTCGAAGCCAACAACCATTGAGACTGTATGAGTGGCACAGAATCGTCTTATCACGTAACAGGAAGGAAGGCAATCTCACCGTAGATGGGGAGCCACCTGTAACAGGAATTTCTAAGGGGAGTAGTACAGGTCTGAATTTGAATCAGGATTTGCACGTGGGAGGAGTCCTTGACTTCTCATCAATAAGCTCTTTGGCGGGATTCAAGTCAGGATTTATTGGCTGTTTAAGCTACTTGGCTATCGACGGAAAAGTTGTAAATTTTGGTAAGAATATAATTGTTTCTTTTACATTCCATTACAAAAATGGTTGGTATCTAAAATAGGGACCTGAAAAACAGAAAAAAAAGGTACATGTATTGTCTCCTTTGATTATTTTGAGAAATTTTCGTAGGGACAAAACGAATGGTAGTTGGATAAAGGTTTTCAAAATTCAAATTTCTGGAAACTAGTTTTCGAGGAGATTTGACAGAGGCACCCAACGGGGAATTTGAAAAAAAGACGTTAAAAACAACAACAAAGCATAATTAAAGCTTTCTGAAGCCATTCTAAGCATTTTGGGAGATCGCTTGGAAAAAATTATCTGTTCCTCACTCCCAGTAAGACTGATGGAAGAGTTCCCAGCCAGCAAAGTGCACCTAAAACCTGCAACCTGACGTCCATAGGCAGTTTGGGAGTGGCCTATGGGAGACATTCACCCATTCAATGAGGAAGGAGAGATAAACAAATAGAATATACAAGCTATTGTATACACCAAATCCCCTCTGACACCCTGAATTGTGTATTGCCCAGCAACACTTTCCTTCCAAGCACATATTAATTTTTCCAAATTTCCGAGCCAGCAAAACTTGGCCTGAGGAACAGATATTTTAGGGAACAGATCCATTGGGTGCCCCTGATTTGAATTTTGTTCAGGAGTCGAAGAAACGAACAGAGTGTCCGAGGGGAGAGTAAGGGTGCTTTCTTGACAAGGGGAAAACAATTCATACAAATTCTTCAATTCGGTTTTACCAGCTGAGTTGATGAACACATCTTGAAAGTCTGCTTTTGATTTCTGTTCTGGAGGTAAATTGTCTTTAGCAACTGATTGGACCAAAACCACTATTTCTTTGTGTTACCGACGCAACAGTAAAGTTCTGGAAACTAACCCTTTTATTTGAACTCTTTGAACTGTCTATACGCTAATTTTTTTATGCATAACCATTACAAACGCGTTCCAAAAGTGGAAATGATTCACCATGGTCTAATTGACATTAGTAGATTGAGTCATGTCTATAGAACATGAGCATGTTTCTTTCTGTTTCTTCGACTTCTAAAGGAGCCAGCTGTTATTGAAAGTGTATGCGCTTGTCAAGGGCAGTATTGACGAACTTGAATGAGAATAGGGCCTGTTTCACGAGGAAGCTATTTTTGTAGCCTTTCGGTGTAGCTTAATTACCTAATTTTATGATTAGATTTTATCTTCTTCCTTCTCTTGCCAAAACACAATACTTAAATGGATTTTGTCACAAGGATATTATTGTTTTATGTCAACTCTGTGCTGATGTCATTACTGAAGGTCTTTACCCATACACAAAATGCTTCTGTAAAATAATGAAGAAGAGTTCAAAGAAATTTCATCAGGGAACACTAACCATGATGATTTGTTACATGATTTGAAAAAAAAAATGGAAAACTATTTTTGGAATTCAATTGATACGAAGACACTTTATAGCTTTTTAAAAATAGAAAATAGCGTGACATAACCCTTTGAATACCTCTTTAAACAAATTTCAGGTGATCCTATTAAAAGCGTGGGTTTGGATGATTGTGAAGTCTGTCAAACAAGGCCTTGCAAGAACGGCGGCACGTGCACAGAGGTCGCTGGAGACTGGGGATTTATTTGTACTTGCAGGCCTGGTTACTCGGGAAGGACCTGTGATGACGCTGGTAACAAGTGTTCACCTGGCGTTTGCAATGAGGGGCGTTGTGAAAATATCGGCAATGATGGTTTTAGATGCATCTGTCCTGCTGGTTACTCTGGGGAGAGGTGTGAGGAAGGTTTGTTGTTGACCAAAGGCCCCTGAGTCCTTTACGATCTGATGTCAAAACATGAGCTTTGGTATAATTCCATTTTTTTTCCTGTTTGAATAGGATGCATTAAATACTTTTTAACTGGTTTGCATCAGTTGGTATGGGCGAAAGACCTTAATATATTGTTTGATTCACTGGACAAAATAAAATGGATTTTCACCCCCCCACCCCCCCCCCTGTTTTTTGGCCCCATATTTACTCCTCCAGTTTTCACAAATTTGCTATGTATTTGCAAGGATCATGTTGGTGCAAATTCATTTTTTTGCCCAGTGATTTATATGTTAAAAGTGCCGGATCGAGGGAGGAGGGAGCTCGGGATGATAGCTTGCCAGGGCCTCATTTTAAGGTCATTTTCGATGGTGCCCCCTCCCTCTTTGAAGGGTTTGAATAAGCAGCGCCCCCAATTACTTGAAGGTCTGGTTATATAGTCGCTGCTACTTGAAATACCAGACCGAAGAATGTCGCTATAAAACGCCTCTGTCACTTGAACAGCCCCAGGGTGAGGTGTATGGTAGAAATCAAGTGAAGGGTACTTCGTTAAAGAAACGTCTCTTAGACTTCTGGTGGTGTTTTTGGTTTTTTATGTCATTTGGTGTACTAAAAAGGAAACTTATTACGGTATTCATCCTGTAGGAAGGCCAATAGACACTCCTATGTTCGAGGGCGACTCATACATGTCATTACCAGGAATCGAAGGCGCAGTTCTGCAGCTAAGGTTCTCCATCAGATTCCTCGCACTTAAATCAGGCAATATGCTTCTACTGTACAATGGTCAGACGATATTCCCTGGTCGCGGTGACTTCATTTCCCTTGCCATTAACGGAGGGCGAGTTGAGTTCAGGTTCAATATGGGAAGTGGTACTGGTATTTTTACGCAGCGCAAGAAACATTTCCGTAGGATTCTGGCACACTGTAATAATAGAAAGACAACTGAGAGACAGCTTGCTGGTTCTGGATGACGATCCCCCAGTGAAAGGTTCCTCCCCGTGTTGTTCACGTGGATTAAATCTTTTGTTAGACTTGTTCATAGGCGGAGTGAAAAACTTCACGACATTCCACACTAGTAAAGTTGGCGTTAGCTCCGGTCTCTTTGGTTGTATATCCGAACTATCAGTAGATGGTAGGGAAATAAACCTGCTCAAGTCCAATCTTGACATGCGCGGTATCAAACAATGCACAGAATGCCTTTTGCCTTGTGAATTAAGACCATGTTTGAATAATGCCACTTGCATCCCGGTTGGAAAAACGGGCTTTTTCTGTTCCTGTGCTCCTGGATATACTGGACAAAAGTGTGAGTTTACACTGGCCGATCCTTTGAAGAGTAACATATGTGTAAATGGCGGAGTTGAATTATCGTCATCTGACAGGTTACTTTTATTTATTAATTTTTTATTTTCCCAAACATAAGAAAAATGCACTCCACTACAGTCAACCCGCAGCTTGTTTTAATGAGGTGTAGCTATTAATTCCCTCCGGTGTCTCTGCTATTGATAAGTTCGGCTAGTCTGTCCAATATTTTCTGCGTTACGGTTGGTACTATAGTCAATCTAAATATAAATAGTGATATATTGTAAAGAAATTTCTTCTCGGACCTCAAATGACGATCTCTCGCGATTAAGGACAGTAATTCGTTGGAGGGTGTCCGAAATAAAGGGAGTTGACTATATTTACTATAATAGACGGAAAGTCTTTGAATAATTAGAATAAAAACAATACTTAATTTTAAGACGTGATAAAAGCAGTTCGCAAACTTAGAGAGCTTCAGAAATTCTGAGCCTAAAAGTTGATTTACTGTGTTACAGGTTATGCAACTGCCCGCTCGGATATGGAGGCAGAAGGTGTAATAGAAGTAAGTACTTTCAGAAGTTTTGCCTTTTGAAATAGCTTCCTAATGCGACGGATATATTTTCAAATCTGTCATTAACTGATGTTGTCGCAGTATAAACTTTTCAATCTAAGGGATCTTAAGGCACATAGTCTTTGTGTGCGGATACAGCTGACCTCCCCATGCTGGAGCCGTCAGCATGGGTAAAGTGCTTCTTACTATAACCCGGAGGCCACACTTAGGAAGTCTTGGTGGCCTTTTAAAACCGGAAGGGGAACTACCGGTGGTGCAAATGGTAAGAGTAAACGCCTTCCACAAAGTGGATTGACTTTGTTGTTGGTTTTCTTCACAAGTCTACTTCGAGCTGAAAAGTTTTCTCTAATTTATTGGGGACGTTTAAGAGGCCACACGTTTAGAACAGTGAAATCTATCGGGTGTCACGCTCTCTAAACTACATAAGTGTAAGTTTTCATAGTTGCAGTAGAATTCTTTGACGACAACCCCTACAAAAAAAAAAAACATGCACACTGGCAATAGATGTTAAGTACTAAAGAAACCTTAGTTTACAAACTTCTGCTGTTGGGTTTATTTTAACCTTTTCGGTGCAAAGTTCTTTAAAATAGCTTGCATGAGGCAATGTATAGTTGAGTCGATTCCAGTGACTCTTGCTGATTGGCTGTTTCGTTGTAGCTGTCCAGTTTGGAAAAAATGCCTTGTTCAGTGGTGACGGTTTCTTGGAATTCCCATCATCGAGCATGCGAGGACCGAGGTGAGGTTTTTTCTTTGGTGTTCAGTGAACCTTCTGAGATAACATTTCTCAGCATCAGGAGAGTTTTACGACTGTCATAATAGAAAATGAGCGCCCAAGTTATTTCCATCCTGGTATTTTATAGCCGAAATACCTTATAATCCACAGTGCAATGTTTACGGCTTTGAGCATGCATGCGTCCATTTTTTTTTTACAGATCGACAACACCTGACTATATGTCACTTGAGATAAAAACAGAAGCTCAAAATGGTGTAATCCTCTGGCAAGGAGAGGTAAATTAGAGTGTTGTAATGAGTTCGGCCAACAGAGATTGTTTATAACTCATGCCTGATAATCCGATGACCAGAAAAGACATCCATCTACTTTGCCACATTCAGTTCTGAGCTATTTCTTAGTTATTAAAAGATTGTAAGAACAAAACCTTTTTCCAAAACACTTCCGTATCTCTTTGCCAACACGTTCGTGTATATTTCACACACACAGGCCCCTTGCATTACGAACAGTTCCCTTCATCTGTAAGGCATCAAGCAACAAATAGATACCTCATGTTCTCACCTGGATCAATTTGGTGTCCCTATGAAAAATTTTTCTTCTTGTTCCTTCCAGAGAAGAGACCACTTTGCAATCGGATTAAGAGACGGATTTCTGGAGTTCAGGTAATTATTTTAGGACTCTTGACGGCCCAACAACTGGTCTCTTTCTAAACTTTGGTATTCTTTGCTTTCAGAGTAAAAACACCCATACATGTACGTGACCACAAAAATGCCAAAAGTTAGGGGTGGCTAATGGGAGCTCGTCGCATACGAGACTCTGACGCATCTGAATGTCGCTAAAATGGCCTCTGAAATATGTAATGCATGCGCACTAAAAAACATAGACAATATACACGTATTAAAAGAGTATATTTCGCCACATAAATGTACTGATGGATCACATAACCCACTTAACATCCGGGGGCGATAAAATAATAGGGAGTTTAAGCAAAAGCATTTTTGAGTGACGCACGTCAACCGAGCTAAAAAAAAAAATTGTATTGCTTTGCGTCTTTGCGCGTTTTTTTTTCTCATATTGATGATTTTGCGGAGAATTTGGGCAAAAACACTGCTTAAAAGTAGTTAACTATGAAATTGAGTGAAGCACATCCTCGGTTAAATTTGTTACACATTAATCCTTGATCACTGATCTAAAAAAAAAAAAAAAAGGGAACGGGCCCCCGGGCCCCTCCCCGGATCCGCTACTGCAAATAACCAGGAACTAAATTTATCGGTCCCTACCCTGAGAATACTTTAAAATCATGTTAGCAAATCAGTTACGTCTTTCTTAGATTTGAACTCGGCTCTGGGCCCGCTGTACTACAATCTCTGTCTCCCGTCAACGACAGCCAATGGCACTCCATCAAGGTTTACAGGTAACAAACTTTTTCAACTACAATCTTGAAATAATAGTTCCTAGATCTCCGTATTCTAGATGCGTTACATTTGAGGAACAAGGAAGGGCCCGAGAATAAACCCACCGACTGTCAACCATGAAAAAAAATTTAATCAATTATTGATTTCGGCTTCTACATAATATGAAGCAGCACTGACTGCGTGATGTCATCCCTCCGATATTTTAATTATTAGACTAGTGACGTTTGTCGTTTAATTTTGTAGGCGTTTCAGTGAGGGTTCCCTTAAAGTTGATAATCATGATCATGTAAATGGCACCTCGGCTGAGGGAAGCAAAGGGCTGAATATTAACCAAGGTCATAGCATATTTATAGGTAAGTGCATTGTATATCCTTATCTTATCAGTCATCCCTACGATCAGAATGGGCAGTCCGAAATATCTGGATTTCATATATTTGAACTGCGGGAAGAAGAAACAAATGCAGACAAGATCATCAATACACAACTCAGTTGTAAAAAGAAAGCCTGAATGCCCGTATTCGACCCCTGACCTCTGCGATACCGGTGCAGTGCTCTTACCTATTAAGCTAGCAAGCAGACTGGGTTGTGGATGGTCGTTAGTATTATCTAAAAAGTCTACCTCCTTTATCAGTGTTCAGGATGTTTAATAATGTAGAAGATTTTTTTTTTCATATGAACAGGAGATAATTCGAACTATAGCCTATATTATCTTAATGTTTTTTTCCTCTTATTTCCAATAGGAGGGGTGAAAATATCGCAAAAAATGACACATGGGAAGTTTAATACTGGTTTTAGGGGTTGTATAAAGAATACATTTTTCAAGGACAGAGGCATGGACCTCCAGGGTGACGCTATTCGCGGCTGGAATGTCCTACCGTGCGACAGCGATGAGGCAGAGCCATGAAAAGGCATTCTGGAGAAACTGGTTGCCGTGCGAAAGGAGCATTAAGCTCCAGAGGCCACACAGCTCTTAACCAAATAATCGTTTATCGTACTTTCACATTGGAATACTTAATAAAATAGCGCGTTTTTGTTGCGTGGTTACACTTTAAATTAAAGTTAAGCAACTGTTGACGGTAAGGAAGAGAAGAGAAATGTGGAACTGTACGAACAAGAGTATTAAAAAGAGTTAGTTCTTCGCAAAAAAAAGTAGAGAATAACCTGGGCAGTTATTGTCCTTGTTTACCAAACGAAATCATCCAGATAACCAGTCTGGCTTTTTTTTTTTTCCTCTGGGCTTCGACTGTTTAAAAAGCGTTTCTTGATATCAAATACTGTTGTCCTAAAATGCATCTTGTCGTACTGGACCTACGCTTAAACCTTTCATTTTTAGAGATAATCGAGTCTACGGACAAAAACAGAAACTGTTTCTGCTTCAGCACACCCTCATGTACATGTAGCATTTATTAACAATTTTCACTGATTTCATGTATAGAGACGTCTGGTGAGTTCATGATTTAAAGGTAGATAACGTCTGTCTCCAAACACCGAGGCCAAAAAAATATTACCTGCCATTTTAGAGCTCTGTTTTAGACTGTACAAAGATAAAATAGGGTTAACGTTGGCTTAGGGGAGGGGTAGGTGGGCAGTTTCCCAGAAACGTATAATGATCCACATAGGGATTTTCGCTTTTGATATTTATATTGGCTCTTTGTTGTCAAAAATTTATTTTACCGCAATCGTTTATTATATTTACACCTTTTGTACTTATATGTTTTTTCGTCTTTTTTTCTTGGCATATATGTGTAAGTTTGACAAAAAAAGAAACGTCGCCTTTCAAGAACTTGTTGAAGATAACTTTAGTTAATTAGCTAGTAAGTTAATATATCGAAAAAAAATAAAACTGGCAAAACTAGTTGTGTTGCATAGTGTTACTTTCCTACAACGTTATAATTATGGTACGTTTACTGACGAGACGTGTCACAACAATGATATCACTTCCACTCGCTACTTTAG